CAACGGACCTTGCTCATAATTGTATTGAATGGCATTGAGACCGAAGAAACCGGCTTTGGCATTAACGGCAGAAGATGGAGTTGGAACCTGCTAATACGCGTTACGTGGGCCCGAAAGACGGACGGTAATATACACCCCTAAGAGGGAATAAGGCGGTCACTAGGATAGAGGAGAGAGAGAGGAGAGGATGATGACAAACAAGGTGTCAAAGAACCGTGATAGAGGCCATGGCAACGTAAAGCGCTTCTCGTGTGTTCCCTATCCTAAGTCATTCGTGATGATTGCACTCGCGCTACGTTATCTGAATTTACTTTTTAGCAACCTGCTTCAGTCCATCTCTCTCGGCAAAAACTGGTGCCAAGCGCATGATAAGGTCCTCAAGATCTAGACAAAGACCTATACAGGTATAGCTGTCTAACAAACACCGACCGAGCCCTTAATCGCTTATGTACTAATATTGTTTAGGTAGGCATTATACCTCATGCCTCTACTCCTTAGATGAAGTAGGTAGGTCTTGCTTGGGACTGTTAGTATGCCTCGTTCTGGGCGGGGGGTAAAGAAACATGGAATGGAAGAAAGTAGTATTAATGGCATGAGCTGGAGCTGCAACCGCGGCTCATAATACTTCAAGCTACGCTGAAAGCTTCATAAAGAGCGGTCTTTCCTGCTGGACAACTGAGACTGCTCGTTAGTTGCCGCTGGCGGGCTACTCTACCCTAGGGACTCAAGACACAAAAGGTCAATGTCAACTTGCCCTGGGCTTGCGGGCTTGTGACCCTTGACGTTTAGGTAAAGAAGGTGGTTGCAAAACGGTCGTTCTGGCGCGTGCGTTGATACTGGATTCTCCAGTTGCTGCTGGCTCAAAGAGCCATGCTTAGCCATGGCCTCGGACGGGGATATCTACACAAGGTTCCCCTTAGTTCGAATAGCCTTTGTTTTCTTCTTGGGAATCTACATTCGCATTGGATTGTGCTTACGGTCCTTGTTCTGGAGTTGTTGTGGATGGTTATTTATTGCAGTTGCTGTGGCATTCATATTGCCTCCTCGATGAAATGTTTAGCGTAGCTAGTTCAGTGTTAAAAGCCAGAGCGTACCTTTGCTTGGGTCAATTACACTGCGCTTAAGGCACTGGAATTGTCATCTCTGAGCAAGCAAGACGCTCCCGTGCGGAGAACTTGCTCTCTGATCTGCCGTCTATGCTGAAGACTCGAGAGTTTACCGATATATCATCGAGAATGTTTATGCTTTGTGTGTGTTGATTCCTTTCCTTATGCACTTTCTCAATTCTCTGAGCAGTACCGTTGAACTGTGCAGATTGCGTCCATGTCGTTGAGTGCAATCATTCTTGTCTTCAACCCATCGATTACGTTGCGAAAGACGAAGTCGATGTGGTCACTGAATATGGAGCCCACGAGGACGAATTATGAGCTTCGAAAGTCAGCAGAGAAATCAAATGGCCCCCAGGTAATCGGGCGCTCAGATTCACAGCCCTATCGACAAGAGACTCGAGGAGGCATCGGAACTCAGAGCTTCAGTTTCTGCAAAGGGCCGAGGCGAATAGCTTGGAATTGGGAAAAAAGGTAGTTATGGGGGTTCCATAGCGTTTCGAAAGGCGGTAATTCGTTTGATACCAATGCAGTTATTCTTGGAAGCCTGGAAGGTTCCGTGCATAAGAATCACAGTGATATGTTCCAAGTCCTTGGCAGCAGAATAGAGAACAATGGAAGGGTCCTTACCGTCCGGCTCAGCAATCTTCGGATCGAGCGGTTTTGGCAGCTGATTCGGCAACCTTGAGTCTACCTACCCACGTGAGGCCTGTCTGGGCAGCCACGGAGCCACTTTAACCAAATTCGACTATTTAAAGAACAGGAGACTTTGGGATGGGTGGCGATCTGCTTCGCAGTTTGCAACCAACACACACCAGTCTGAATTAAGGCGGGATCATAATTAAGGTCAATAAGCGCACCCTGTACGACGTCGGTGAAGTAACTCCATGCCGTCTTTAGAGTCTCCGACCAGAATTCAATTGCCGGTAAAGATGCTCAAGATGATGCTCGAGATGATGAGTCCAAGGAGGTTACGGAAGTTTAGTTCCAACTGACAAGCGCGCCGACAAGACTAAGCAGCCTGTGTTACGGGCTACGCCACAGTTATTGCAGCATGAAGCTGCGCCCACGCACATTCCTCCCTTAAGATCAGTTGAAACCAAGTGCGTAACTTGTTTCTACGCATACTTTTGCGTTTGGTTCAATTGGGTAGCCCCTTTGTGATTGGGAACGCGTTCAAAGTTGGTTTGCCGGTGCCACTGCAGCTCCAAGGCGGGACCTGACAATTTGAAGCTCATATTGCATCTTTTTATGCTTGAATACCACCAAGGGGTCTGTATTATTACCGTCAATATTAACTGGAAAGCCCGTCTACATCGAGCTGTAGGAAGACACATCGCCAACGTCGTTTCAAGCTGATAGAGCTCTTCAATTTGTACGTTTCAAGAAACGCAGGAACACCAACGCGGTTATCACTGAGACAGGTCAAATAACAAAGAAGAAGACGAACAAGATGGCTGAGTAATGGACGGCTCTGAAAGCTGGGATTGGTTCAGCGGGCTGAGTGTTGCAAGCTCGAGGTCTATGTAGATGCCGTTGTGGCAGCTGATTCCTCGCGGCCGCGTATCTGGTGTCATATTGACCCTGAATACCGATGCCGTCTTAACACTGGGGAAAAGCTCTGATGATGCTTCATTGAGTACGTTGAGCCTGTAGAACCGCACAATTGTTGTTCTCGAAAGGCCCGCAGAGGGAAGAGTGGTGCTGTGGCGTCGTTACTTCTGGCACCAGGGCTTACCACACGCAGAGTCGAAAGATAGGAGATTCACAAGCTGCCGCAGGGGCAACAAGAGGAGGACAAAGACGAGAAGCGACACTATTCGTGACAACCCCGTTGAGGTAGCAGGTCACTTTGGCGACCTCCACTACAGCGGTTAGCACAACCGGTACTTGATCAATCTTGCAGGATCCGAAGCCCTTGTGTTGTTGGGGAGTGGAGGGGTTGATGCTGGTGTTTCTGCCTCCATTTCTAGGTATGTCCATGTCTAGGGGAAGAGGATTTATGGTCGAGTGGATGTATTTCGGGGCAAAGGCCTACAAGCTGTGCTCTTGTAATTGTGGCGTGAAAAGCCTTCTCGAGTGTGCCCGCCCCAGGCCGTCAATTACCATGGTGGTAGCTTGAGTGATTCGTATTGAGTGAGTTGTATGCAATGAGTGTTTAGTGGTCTGTTTCTTTTGGGGTTAGCAGAGCTAACTTGATGGCAGAAAAGGAACATGAACCGTTCAACGGGGTCGTAAACTGGAAAGTTCATTTGTTGCAATAATGATCAATATGATTCGGAGAACTAGCGGATGCGTAGTGGTTCTGAGTTCAGTCTGTGTTGAAACTAAATAGCAGTCTGAAAATATCAGAAGAGCAGTTAAGTGGGAATAGACTTTTGTAGGACCTTTTGTGGCATGTTAACAGAAGAACGAAGCAAGACTGAAGACGGGGCTGGAGCCTGTCTGTTAGGTTAGGTAATGGTAAGGAAGGTATTTGTACCTGAAAGAATTACGTTATTCAAGGCAAAGAAATGTATTTGCATCTAAAAGAATGTGGTCTGGCAACAGGAAGGAAGGTGTTGCGAACCGCGATTGCCTGAGTGTGGCGGATCGATCGTCCCTTCCCAGTCTTCCCTTATCGACGAGCTTCCACTCCTTTCGAACCTTTCGAAAAGCACCACCACAGAGAGGATTCCAGAACATCGCAAGAATACGCAAACCTCCTTCGACGTCCTTGGTTGAAAGGATCTAGACCATGTGCTTCAATTTACCTTGCCTTAGATGGTCTGTAGCAGGCTCAAGTATGATATTTTTATATTAAGTGAGTATCCCCTGATGCCTTGGATCGCTTCGCCTCCATGAAACCCTCTTTCTTCTACCCAATCCATCACATCTCTGTTTAGAATGGCCTTTTGTCCTTCGTTGCGTTAACTCGACGATACCAGACTGTCTAGAAAACCACGTACTTCGAGCTGACATCACGCTCCAAAACACAACACAGACAGCCAACCGCTGGTCTCCAATCCTCATCATCAAGACAGCATCAAACCTTCCAACTCAATGTAAGAAACACGCTGCAAAGAGATCCTCACGTCAGGTGGGACACTATTCTTCAGAGCAAACTCCCACAAACGCGATTCCTCAATTGCCAAATGCTTCGCCGACTTGCACTTCGCAAGAGAAGGTACCCCTCTCGATTTCCCAAGTACCGCTGTGTCCCGAAGCACCACCATCTCGCACAGGATCCTCATCTCCAGAGTCTGGCTACAGATCTTAACACTAGGCTCCATATAACTAAGACGACCCTGATCCTTTTCCAGGCGGCACAAGTCCCCTCCACCATCAAAAGTTCGTAGTAGAAGATCGCTCTGAGAAAGGATACTCGAATAGAACGATTACAACCACGGTAATAGTTGCAAGTCCGGCTTCGGTGCCCCGTTGACTTGTTTATTTCGACTCTTCTTTCTTTCGACTCTCTTCCTGTCAGGTACGACACATTCACCAACACGCACACAGAAGGGAGGGAAATCTACCAATCCAGACTTCACTTTCTCTAATCTTGCGTAGTGGCAAAAACACCAATGCGACTACCTCCATACACTCTGATTAACTCCTATTCCTCCTTCTCCTGCCATGTCTCTTCCTCTCCTTCTTCACCATCCTTAGCGTAACTACTGTAAACATTCTCCAGAAAACCATCATCGCCATTGCCAGATACTGAAAAATGAAGGACATTTAAGGCACGGCTTCTTCATTCCAACGTCCTTTTCCTTGACTGGAAAGGCAGGTAATTGCTAGCATAGAAAACCCCCACAAGCTCTGCCATATCGCACGGCATGTATGTTGCCCCAACTCGTCCTTTTGCTGTCTATAGCTTGTCTTATGTCTCCGTTGTTACCTCTTCAAGCAGTCATGGATACCGAGACGGAGCCAATACCGTCTATCCTCCCCCAGCGTGATCCAGCCGTCCAAGCTCTTCTTGGTAAAATCGACAAGGCCCTCAACCATTTTGCTCAAGGACCCACCGTCACCATCTGTCAGCTTTTTGATCGCCTCCAAGTTGCGTTCTGGAAGTCCGCTTGGGCTATTCACGCATCCAAGATAGCTAGATCCCTCCCATCCGGCGAGATAGATGTAAGGAACTTCCCCGCCTGGCTCCGTGGACGCATTCCCAACCCTCGTCTGCAATCCACCCTTCATCCTGTCTTCTCTCCCTGGCTTGATGGGATTAAAGGCAACACCAATCACCTGCAGCACTTCCGTAAAGCATGCAGCGAGGCATCGTGTTCCTCTCTTGACCTGCTCCTCGATTTCGGCCTCGATATAGCCAAGTCAATGCACGCCCTACAGGCCATTTCCAAAGTCACAAGCCCGCCATCTTCCCTTGAACGGGAGAGCCTCGTCAATGCCCTATGGAATGAGACACTGTCCCGTGCGGACCTCTCCCCGGAAACTCTCCCTACTCCCACAACCCGTGAGCTGACTAAAGCCATCAAAAGTAAGTAATAGCCACACTCTTTGGGTTTGAAAAGCATTAAAGCACAATCTTGTGGACCCTGTAAGTAGAGTACGACTAACTCTGCCGGTCCTCTTAGAGTTGCGGCCCAACTTCATTACCCGGACTAGATCCGTCGCCGGACCCCTGTGTTCCCACTCCCGCATAACTTCCACTGTAGCTGCACCCGAATCAACAGTTGTGGAACAGTCACCTGCCACTAGGGTACTTCTCAACTGCAACAGTAAGAAGCATGTCAATCCAGGCATTACCCGCGGAGCCATCACTTCTGCCGAACCCCAGCGCAAGCGTGTCAAGTTCTCACGGGAGATCGCGCGCGCTGCTGAAGAGAACGACTTGACAGAAGATACCGCCTCCACCAATTTCATCACCGCCCCAAGCCAGAGCTCGACAAGGCCGGCCTACTCCCCCTGTTTATCGCCCAGTGGACAAACTTCCTTGGGGCCTGTTGGCGGGGAGGCTATACAACAGCGGCAGCAGCAGCAACGCGATGACACCGCCGAGCTCGTCGAGCTTTTTCGTCGTGTTATGGCTGTCGGCGGAGAAATAGGGCCCATCCTGGAGGACGCCTCGCTGGCGGGCGCCATGAGTATCATTCGGACTGGATGCTCGCTTTTCGTCCAGCAGGCGGAGAAGAAGGAGAGAGAAAAAGATGAAGTGCGCCGTTGTACACAAAAACAACAAGAGGAAGAGGTAGAGGATATTCATGGTTTAGAATAGGTTTGAAATTGCTTTGGTGATTTTTTTGGCGGCCAAGCTCATGTGGTTGTTTTAGCACTACATTTCCTTCAAGGTGGGCGTTGAAGACATAAAAATTGGGATATGTTTAAGTTGACATAAATTACCATATTACATAACGTTAAACAGGATTTTTCCTGTTTGAAAATTATCAGATAATGAATGATATAGGTCATGCTCTCTCTTTTAGAAGTGCCTACGTGTTAATCCGGGAAAACTCCCTCTGTTAGCTGCTAGCTGCAAAACGTGCCGGTAGTCCATTTAAGCTATCTATATACCCACTCTAATGTCTTCCACCTCACAATGGGGAAGACCGCGGAGTGAAACCTTTCCTTCACCTCTGGGAACCTTGCCTCATGTACTCATCAGCGAGACTTACAAGTAGAGCATAACCACCGCATGCTGGGCAACAAGGCGAGAGTCAGCCGGTTAGAAGACAGTCGCACAAAAACGCCTGCTTCTTATGCCTTGCTAAACATTGCTAGTATGTCAGGATACGAGACACAGAATCTGGAAGGTGAGATCAAGCAATACATAGTCCCAAATCGGAGACAAGCTCCGACAAGAAGTTGGCTGTCATAACCAAGCTGTTGAATAAGAGTTTATTACTGGAGCTCACATGCCCATTTGCAGAGAGTCTACCACATTCCCATGTCTGAATACGCTGAGAGGATCAATACTCGCCAACGGCTTCGAATATTTCTGCACCCGTCGAGACGCACTGACTTCGCATTTCCACAGTGCCGCCGAGAATCCCCGTCCCCATATGGGCGCCAAAAAGTTTTTCCGGAAACGTCTAACGAGACCTATATAACAGCGGCGGAAGTAGTACAGCTCGGTTCTGGGATGTCAACGATTTGGATCATGGTACTGGAACCCTCCGAGACCAGCCTGCGCGAGACGTTTGCCGAGATGCATCTTTCCAAGGTCTGGAACACAACCCTGCTCAAGTAGAATCAAATTCAAGACATGCAGCACCATGAATGAATAGAACTAAGATTTAAACACATCCCAGGCATGTCAATGATGAACGGTATTTAGTTTCGTGGATAATGAGGGCTTGACTGAACACACTGATGGAGGCTGTCGTTAAGCCACTGCCCCTTGATTTTGGTATTTTTGTTCAGCATGGCTGCAACTTCTTCAGACGCCAAACCGGAAAGTGCGTTGTTACTGTACCGAAGCTTTTTGTTTGGCGGTTGTTCATCTGTCCTATTACAGTCCGTTTCGCTGGCAGCGTCCAAAAATCGGATTTTAGCCTATTAACCCCGAAAATCAGTAAACTATCACAACAGGGGTCAAACTGGCCCAACTGGCCCAACTGGTGTAAACTGGCCACTGTAGCCCAATTGGGCCACTTTCGTGGGGCCCACGTAGTGAAATCTCTGTAAATTACAATATCTCGTGAAAAGCTTTTCGTGATGCCTCCTCGGCGGGCTCGGGCCCCCTCAATTGATAATACCACTGGGCCGGCGAAGCGAAAGCGATTGAAAACAGCAAAAGCCCTAGAGACGAATACAACAACCGGCTCGCCGTCGAGGGTAGTTATCGTACGTACGAGGGCGAGGGCGAGGGCGCAGGCGTCAGAGCCAGCGAAGACCCCAGTTAAGCCACCTCGACGCCGTCGGGTAGTGGTGATCCCTTCCCCAGCCCAGAGGGTTGCTCAGTTAGCAGAAACAGAGACAGGAATAACTCAACAAAACCTCGAAGTTGACGAAGTCGAGGAAACCCAACCGGCAGGCCACTATGAACACCAAGCTATTGGGCAGTCAACGCCGGGCCAGCGACTTCAATATAACCTCAACCTCGATGAGGATCCTTTTGCTGTTACGCCGGCAAGGCCTGGTCGACGGCCTTTACCTGATACCCCAACTCCTCGACGAACGCAACCACAGTCAATCAATTTAACTGTTACGTATACTCCTCTCTTCTCAGGCGGTCGCTCGCCGCCAAAGCTTCCTGAGACTATATACAAGTGGATATTTGACGAGGAGAGCGAAGTTGGTCATAAGTTGATTATCCAGTGGTCGAAAATCGAGAGGGATTTGGCGAAGCGAATCGACGCCCGTTTAAGGGCACAATATAATATCGAGAAGAGCTGGATTACCACGAAAATCGCCTGGAGAAGAATAGGATTAAAAGCAGTAACTATTGTATACCGCGAAGAATTCGCTGTTGACAGTGGCAACTGGCCGGTTGTTCCATGGTATGATATTTCGAAGCAAATTATCGAGAATAGTCGCCTTGGTGAGGTTCTTCTCGATGTTGAACTGGCCTACTCTGTCACTCCTACTGTAGCCGCAGTAGGAGAGCTAGAAGGCGTAGGATCACCACGAGGGCGACCGTCTCGACTTAGTCAACGTCAGACTGTAACAAATACGATGCTTCAAGCGATTGAAACAGAAGGCGATCGAAAGAGGAAGTTATTTCGAGACCTTCTTCGCCATAATCAGTGTAACGATTCAGCAACCTGTCAGAATACCTCGTCAGCTGATCCAACAGTTAACTGGTGCTGGGTCAACGCAAGAAAACACTATAAACTGACCGTATTTGATTTCGAGAAGTGGCAAGAAGCTATTCAGAAGGGCGAGGAAGGCGTATCAATATCAAACCCGCCTGCCCGCCTAATTGTTGATCTTGTTCAGCGTGAACAACGCGATATGAAAAAGCCCGATAAATCAGCAAATCGAGGAGGCCAAAATAGCCTAGGTGAAAAGTCTGCTAATAGAGGGCTTTCAGACACACAAGACCCAGCAAATACTGCCAATAATAATAGCGCAGTAGTCAACTTCTATGGCCTACCTCCGCCAGGCGGCCCAACGCAATATTGGCCAAAGTTGCCGCCGCCAACGATGCCGCCCCAATATTGGGATCTTGAGCCTCAATTTCAACCGCAGTCAGGTGATTACTCTGCCCGTCGGCAAGTAGAGGCTCCGATTCGTTCTTCGTCGCCAGTTGTTCCTGATTCGCCCTCAAAAGCAACACGCCAAGTTGATGAGTTCGTTTCGTGGTTTCTAGCTGTGAACGGCAAGAAGTTGGGTATTGACGAAGTGAAATTTACTCCGTTAAAGGCTTCAATAGTCAGTCTCCGCGTTATTCGTGATTACCCAGACAGCTGGTTCAAGGAGGTAGGGTTTTCACCACAACTTACCGCAGCAGTGAGAAAATCGATCAAACTTTTCACTACAACACAGCAATTTTACCTCCAACAGAGCGAACCTCTCGCCGCTGTACAATCACTCGTACAGGCAACGAAAAAGCCAGCAGTTGACCGTGAGGTTGAAGACGAAGTGTATAACCGACTTTTTGACGAGCGATTCGGAGAAACAGGCAATATCGAACGAAGCGCTAGTAAAGTAGGCGAAATAAGCGTTCCAGCGGGTAGGATCTCCTCACCGCTGCCAACTGGCGATATTGAGTTTGGTCGAGGTGGTGAGTAATATTGACGGAAGTGACGGCGTCAACTAACCAGAAACTAGAATTAGACCTCTTCGTCTCCTCGCCGCCGCCACCAATCCTTCCTCCTAATACCGAACAAAATCCGATCGAAGTCTCAGACTATATATCGTCGCCTTATACCCAAGAGGAAGAGGAGGTTAAACTAGGATAAATAGCAGCGACTACTGCTAGCGGAAAGCTTTGCTTGTGGATGTGAGCTGCCCTGCAACACCCGGGAGGATCAACCCAAAGACCGTTAGGTAGGTAGCAGAGCACTTTGATACGCCACGGATACGATTTATTTCACTATAGGCCTGACTTGAGGTTGTAAATACAGGCATTATTCATGTTTTTCTTCTCCTACTTCTCCTACTACAAGTTCAACAACTATTTACTACAAGAGGTGGATTCAACTCTCCTCCTGCCTCAATATACATATCGCTACTCGTCATAGCGTCACAGAAGATATCCTGTGTGCCGTCGAAGTTGATATATGAGTTACGGAAGTGCCCAGCTATCTGTGGGAGACGTTGCCCAACCTCAAGCGCGCAGTCGCGGAGAAACTCAGCAAAATCACGCTCGTCTAGTTCGTTAGTATTCCACGTACGGAATGTCTTTTTTACATGCTTTTTGAGGTCGCCAAAATACTCCTCGATGGGGTTAAAGTCAGGTGAGTACGGCGGGAGGAATTCGAGGCGTACGCCAGCGGCCTCACACGCTTGCCGTATATCCCCTTGCCGGTGAAAAGAAGCATTATCCATTATAATCACTGACTTAGGCCCAGGGAATATTCCACACTTTGGCAGTAGAAGTTGCTGTATCCACGCAGAGAAGCCCTCGCCATTCGTCGATCCAGTATATACCAGCAAGTCTACGATACCGTCAATTGCGAGTGCTGGCAGCAGTTGTATCCGTTGACCTCGCTCGAGGGGAACTGACCGCGTTGGCGTCAGACCCTTAGGCGCCCAACCCGTCCTTCTTCTTCCAGTGTTTTTATCAACGCCTGATTCGTCTACGAATATTAATTGTTCTGGGTGGTATCGACGTATACGATATAACCAATCGTACCGTAATTCTGGGTTTCGTTGTGAAGCAATTATGTGGGCTTTCTTTCTCGTCCAGCCAGCTGCGTGGAGGTGGCGGCTCAACGTTGATTTGCTGACTTCGAGGTTGAACTGTTCGTATAGGAATTCTTGCATCTCTTCGAATAGGAGGTCGTTACGATACTTTAATAATTCGAGAAGTTCGTTCCGATGCTGTATTTCCATCTTCTGCTGGCTTTCACGCCTTCGAGGGTATTGTTCTACCTCGCCAGTTATGTCGAATCGACGACGCCATCGTCGAATCGTTCGTTGGCTACAGCCAACCGCCTCTGCGATTTCTTCGTCGGTTTGAATAACAGAGGGAAGAAGTAGGTTAACTTTCCTCAGCTGGAGTTTTGAGAGACGTGGCGCCATACTGACGCGTTGAAATGAGTAGATTTGACGATACGGTGGCTAAATGCAGCTGAATGCGACCGTTGTAATTTTCCCAGCGAAAAAAACGGAGTTTAGCATGGGTTTGCATTAACCCCACCCTAGGGGGGTAAAAACTCGATTTTTGGACGCTGTCAGTGCAACGGACTGTAGCAGCTTTACTTGACCTTCGCCTGGCGACTGTGATATGGCTTGAAAGTCGTCTAACATTCAGGTCTGGGTCAACCAACATCGTAAGACTGGGGATCATCTCTGGTGGCCAGCTGCCGTAGTCTGCGTCTGTGGTGGCCGGATCTATGGCGTTGAGTTCAAGTTGGCTGCTGGCTGATTCTAGATGCAAGCTAAGACTTGGGGCAACATTTGTGGCTAGCTTCAAAGCTGAGCAGTTGTGGTCAGTCTCTTGACCGGGACTGTTTGGTTGAAGGAACAAATAGTGCCCGTAGTCGTCCTCGACGTCACTGTTATGAAGTTGAGAAAATAGGCTGTCGTTATTATCGTTGGCGTTGGCTAAATTGTTGTTTAGTGAGAGGAAGGAAGCATGCTTGTCGTTGTTTCCATTATCGAGATTGTGATTCTTGAGGGGAGTTGGGCTATGGAGAACGAGGTCGTGGGTGGAATTAAGATGTCTGCTTTCCTCAGGCGAGCCTTCAGGTGAGTTATCCTTACTGCCAAATCCTAGGTGGTTTTGGGTGTCGGATCCTGTAACCGACTGGGACTGGGTTGCTGTAGAGAATGGGGATGAAGATAGTAACGGCAAGGACTGTTCTTCAGCGATGGCTAATGATCCGACTTGTTCTTCTTGAGCTACTGGCTTGGGAGGGCGCTGATGATTATTATTGTTGCTGCCGTCGTCGTTTGAGTCGTCTGAGTCTTGGGTTTTGTCTTTGTCCTCGAGGACGAGATTCTGTGATGGAGCTTTGTGGATGCGAGAACTTGCACTTTTGACGTCGAAAAGAACAATACCGCGCTGGTCGGTGGACAGACCTCTCTGCTTTAGGGTGCCGGAACGACCTGAAGCTCTTCTCTCATCGGCACAATATCTCAAAAGCTGAAGGGCACGCCCAGGGTTGGGACAATCTTCAGCAAGCTTAAGCAGCTCGACGAAAAACTTCTGGCCGTGCTGGTTGTGGTCAAAGGCGACGAGGAAGAGTAGGAATGCCTTGTCGAACCCCCAGAGATTTGCAGCTTTCTCAAGCTTGGGTTTGCTTGGTGTAGAGTGTAAGGTGAACCGATCTGCTGTGTGAAGGAGGACTTTGACGACTTGCTCGGCCAAGCGCATTCGTAGATGACAGACGTCGAGGTTGAAGGGCTGGGCTGCTGCAAGATGTTCGAGTCTCAGGAGGTTCTGGTAGAGATTTGCGCAAGTAGCAGTTAATCCGCGACTATTAGCGAGGACTGCATGATTGAAGTTGTTCAGGTGCGCCTCAAGGCTATCGAGAACCGATGGAGGGAGTTCCGGCGCAGCGACTTCAGATGCAGCTTGGCTTCGGGGCGAAATCATAGGGGCTCCAAACGAAAGCGGCGACGGGGCATCGTGTATAGACAGACATGCAGAATTTTGCCGAGAGAAGGAAATGCGAAAAAAAATCGACAAAAAGAATGACGAGGGAATTGTAGCGACAAACTCGGTGTTGGAGGTAAGAGTCGGTGGTGTTGTTTGGGTTGAGGAAGGCGAACTACATAAGCATGAGGGGGTGGATTTGGCTATTGCCAGAAGGTGCGGCAACGTGTGATGGTGTGCACCTGCCTCGTAGTGGGGTTGAGGCAACTTGATCCAAAACGGCGGCGATGAATTAAACATGATTGATACACTCAGATCTCAACTTGAGATTTTTTTGAAGATTCGATGTAGGTGAGTGCACTTATACCCCTCACTCACCTGGCGCTTACCTACACGCTCTCACTCACTCGCTCACTCATTTACTCATAAACATAGACAGCAGCTTCATCCCCTTGTGAAAGTTAAAACGGAAAGACACAAATGTCTCATTCTAGTCAAATTCGGTCTCATGAAATAGGTTAAGTTTTACATAAAGCTCAGAAGGTGTTTTTGAACCTTGAGATTGGCTCTGGAATATTATGCCTTGGGGCTCACGATGTGTCCGGAATAGACACAACAGCTAGAGGCTAATAACACCACAAAGACGTCAAACATGTCCAGATTTCGACAACCACCGAAGGGTTCGAATGAAAAGTAATAACCATCTGATGGATCTCATGATTTATTTGATATTGACTATAAATATTGACCTTTGCGGTCTATCAGATAGGACTATTGGTGACTTGCACCATTATGCTACATCTATTCCGTTCCTCTATATTAAAACTCGAGTATTCTCCTCTTCCAGGCCATGCGATCAGAACGGTGTTGTGTGTTGGCAGATCCACCGAACCTTTGTTTCAACAGGAGTATCGAATAGAGACCGAGCATGATAAATACGTAGGTTCAGCAGTAGATTCATTCTTTGCAGACAGCTGTTTCTGAATATCTCATGAACTACCACATTCATCATTACTATTTATGAGCCTTTTGATATTCGCGCCTCTAGATCCGCGCTTAGCCTTGAATATGTATTAACAGTAGTGCTTTATAATTTCTGACCTCAATTGGTAGTTCAAAGAAAGTCGTGGCTGACGTAGTTCTAATTGAGCTTCTCAACTAACTTGCACGCTCGAGAGGATTATGGATAAAGAGTCGTGTTAGGTAGAAGAATTATGGTAAAGATTGCGGTTTATGAGTTGGTCTGTGTTGCAGCTCCAGTCACATCCACGTACTTAGAGCCAATACATAAAATAGTGCATACCCGATGGAAGATCGAAGCTTGCCCAAAACCTTGCGTACCGTCACAAACAGACTACATAATCCTAACACTTCCCTTGGTTTACCACATACGACCATACCCACTGGAAAACTCGGGATCCCGTCCGCTCTCCCATAGATAAGCCAGTGAGGGCCGGATTAGTAGTTGGGTCGGTGACGACCAGCGAATACCTGGTGTTGTATGTTTTGTATCTATTCTTTTTTATTTTCACCGGCTGCGTTTCATTATGCTTCATTTACTTTTTGAGTACACAACTTTGCTCCGACTCACATATTTCGGTTTTTGCTGTTGTGGGTGCTGGCTGACAAAGACTCGTGTAAGAGGTGGCAACAGATGATGCCTAGTCAGGACTGTAAGTCCAGGTTGCTTTCCAGGAGAAATTACAGAAAAAGGACGCTTGTAGACTCAAGCGATTCACATCTTTTGTGTGGCAAATACGTCGGATGTCCTAGGGACAACACTCGTTTCGTGAGTTTGTTTGCGTTGATGAATACTTATGCAAGAAAAAATTCAGATGCTAGTTGTAGCTACAAATTTGTAATACGCGATGCCGGCTATCTCCTCTGGATGTCACCTACCGGAAGTCAGGTTCTTCTCGCGCATGAATGAACGTCACTACGATGCCATCGTCTTGCCAAGCTTCACTTACAAAAAAACACAGAACACTAAGTCTTCCTACTATTACTGGCGTATCAGGCAATTGCTCCTTATCAGCACTTGATCAACAGTAACGTCGCACACCCACTTCTCGCACACCCCCACATTTCGCACACCCATAAATCGCTCATGTAGAATTTTACCCTCTTCAACATTCTTTAATATCTTCACCACTTTTACAGCGATTATTATAATTCTTTGAATAGTTACTCTTATACGCTTAATGGGCCAGTATACGGAAACAGAAGTCAATCAAGCTCTCAATGCAGTTGCAAGTGGGCAGAGTGTCCGAAAGGCAGCTCATGATGCTGGAATTCCACCATCAACCCTCCAGTCTCGATTAAAGGGTTCACAGGCAAGAAATGTAGCTTTCTCTAGCTTCCAGAAGCTATCTCCAGCACAGGAAAGTCACTTAGCTGAATGGGTGCGTATCCAGGCGGCGTTAGGGCTGCCGCCAACACATCAACAACTCAAGGAATTTGCCCAGCGAATCCTAGACATCAGAGGCACTACCCAGCCACTTGGGAGAAACTGGATTCAGTTCTTTATTAAGAGAAATCCATCAATCAAGGTTCATAGAGCTAGAGCCATCGATTCTAAGCGTGTCAATGGGGCCTCAACTAATGTAATCAGGCAATGGTTTCAACAACTCGCCCTTCCAGAGATCAAGGCGATCAAACCACATCATCGCTATAACATGGATGAAACTGGTATCCTAGAAGGCAGAGGATCAAATGGCTTAGTACTGGGATCATCAGAAAGCTCATCAATGCGAAAAAAACAGCCTGGGTCTCGGGCTTGGACAACTATGCTTGAGTGTGTCTCTGCAACTGGTCAGGCGCTTCCTCCACTTGTTATTTATCGAGGGAAATCGGTTCAACAACAATGGTTTCCTCTTGATATCCATAAACGTGATATTTACAGTGGTTGGAAGTTCACAGCAACTGAGAATGGCTGGACTTCAGACTCTACAGCTGTGGAATGGCTTGAGAACATCTTTATCCCTCTGACTAAGCCTGATCATCCCTCTGAGCAGAGACTATTGATCCTAGACGGTCATGGCAGTCATGAAACAACAGAATTTATGTATCTCTGTTATAAACACAAGATATATCTCCTTTTCCTACCGCCACATACATCCCACGTTCTCCAACCTCTAGACCAAGCAGTCTTTGGGCCTCTCAAGGCGACCTATCGAAAAGAGCTTGGATACCTCATTCAACACAACGATTCTACAGTTGTAGGCAAACGGAACTTTCTTACCTGCTATGGAAAAGCACGCCAGATGGCATTTTCAAGCAAGAATATCAGAAGCGGCTGGAAAGCAACAGGACTATGGCCCATTTCGATAGCTCGACCGCTCATGAGCCCTCTACTGCTTGAGAATGCTTCCAAGCCCTCAAAGCCAGGCTATTCTACGCCTATGAGGGCCTCTGATGGTGGAAAAGACGAAAACTGGGCATCTGCTACATCCATAGTAGCCTGGTCAACGCCCAAGAAGACAGTTGATCTATATGATCAACTTAGCTTATTCAGCAAGTTGGATAAAGATCAGCAAACGCAGCGACTGTTGTTTCGGAAGGTTCAAAAGGGATTTGATGAAAAGGACTATCAATTGGCTACAGCAGAGAAGAAGATTGCAATGTTGGAAGCAGAAGTTGAGGCTGGAATGGTACGGAAGCGGCGTAAGGTCCAAATGAGCCCAAATTCGAAGTTTGCCAACATTGAGGCAATTCACAAAGCCCAAATTGAGGCTGGCGAAATTGAGGATAGCTCAGATGAATCTAGCGAGCCTGAATTACCTATTAAAACTGGCGATAGTATCACAGTTGCAGGAGACGAATCAGACTTATAGTTATGAAGTTGATGAATACCTCATGATGACCCAATTTATGGGTGTGCGAAATGTGGGGGTGTGCGAGAAGTGGGTGTGCGACGTTATCCGAGAGTAGCAGCGGTAAGGCGGGGTATTGTACTCGTGAGAGTAGACATCATCAATCTCAACCTTGATAAGGGGGAACGGGTCTTCAATACTACACAGAGGCATCCGGCCCAGGACTCGATCTCGAGCCCCCTCTGCAGGGGTTCGCATGAGCAGGTTAGCTTCACCCATGACCGTTAAGCCATGTTGCTTTGTAAAGACAGCTAAATATTGGAAAGAGTTTTGAGAGATTGTATTGTTGTTTGAAGGAGGAAGCAATGATATAAGTAGACGAGATTTGGTGCCAAGTTGGAGGCTTTGCACTATAAGAGAGTATTTTTTGCGCGGGTAACTTTTCTAGGCCCGCCAATTCCGATTACCTTAATGCAGACTCTCAAGACTAATTGAAAAGGGGCAAGCCAATTTCGAATCTTTCACTGGTCACTTTGCCGGAGTCGCTTCTGGTCTATTATCTTTATAGAGTGGATTTTAGAGCGACTAGGTACCCCGTCTTTTGATTCTAGAGAGTCTAGGGCAATTAGTCCATGTCCAAACACCGTCGTGAGCCGTGGTGATTAAGAAGTGCTGTCAAGTTTAGAGAACAAATGCTATCGGTGTTGTCGACCCTCTTTTTTTTTTTTAAGGAAGGTTGAGCCCTACCAAATGAACAACTGATACTTGCCTAAAGGTATTATCGTCTGACAGTTTTATTATCTGAGGTTGTTTGCCTCTGTAAAGTCGGGAGTGCCTGTTACTGTTCGGTAGATTCTCAAAACAACACTCACCGTATCGGGACCAATGCAATGACATTGCCTACGTCGTGCCGAAGACGAACTGATACTGGAGTTTCGTCGACCGCAAGAATGCTGGGCCAGACTTTGAAGGACTACGTAATCAGCTTGAGAAGCACATTGTTGAGATTTAGCAAAACTCCTTCTCTATCAGATGAAAAGAGTTTGCTGATACCTTAAGAGCCTAATCACCGTTTTTTTCAGAGACTTTATCAAGCTAGACGATTGAGCTGGCAAGTTCAGAGACATAAAGGACGCCGAGACCGCTGTACAAAAGGGCTTGAACCGATAGAATTCACAGAGACGAGAAACCAGATCCAGGTCTGGAATTAATTCCTCAGTTTTAACTTAAGGAGCTTTAAAGTGTTGCGATTGTTATGCAGTTCCAGGCTTGGCACGCAACAAGCGGAAAAGATCGTGGTACTGTTCTCGGTGTCCGCTCATTTCTATTATCTTGGTATATTCCAAAATCAGTTTCCCTTTTTACGGAATACTAAATACCCTAGCAGGACGTAAATGGTGACTGTCCAACATGCATGTTGGCCAGTCTGTGTCGCGATTGGACCAACAATGCTGACGCTCCGCCAGTGAGGCCCAGCCTGCATGAACACAGCCTCGCCAACCCCTCATCTAAGCATTTGGTCACCGCTCGATTGTGTCGTGATTTACTTCGCTGTCAGGGATTTCGATGAGGTTATAGACGCAATGGGGTTCTCAAAATTCTTCAAACGCTCGAAGGACGCATCGTGCTATGGGAGCGGCGATACGCACAGTTCTTACATCAATGGCACCAGATCAGCGGAGACACTTGTTCCACCCGAAGATACCAGGCATTTCATAGCCGATGAACTCTCAAGTCCATCTCTCGCCAATCAGCGAAGCTCGCGCCTTGATTCGCAACCACCCGCAGCGTCTGATGAATTTGCGGTTCAAATGGTGCAACCCACCCAGCCTCTCTCCCAAACGACAGTGGTTCAATCAAATGCCGCATCATCACTATGGAGTCGTGCTTACGAAACTCTTCGAGACAAGGATAGCCAGCTAGTGTGTCGATATGAGAAACTACTCTCGGAGGAGTTGCTTGACCATGGTACGTCTCCATCGCGGCCGTGACTCGTTCCCACCAGCTAACAGTTGCAGTATCCGCTGGCTCTGCCGCGTCACAAGAAACTCTTTTCCAGGGCGAGGATATATGTCATGCTATGAACCGCATTCAAACCGATAGTGGCACGCGCAGTGATCAGCTCGAGAAGATCATCCATCGGGGTCTTCAACGAGCTGACGAAAGAAAGACTACGTATACTATTTTCGGCCGCGAGTTCGTTCTCAGGGACCAGATTGCGGCAACTGCCAAGTTTGTTCAAACTATCAAAAGTCTTGTCGATGAGGCTGTCAAGGCGTCTCGCGAGGCATCCCTTGCCTGGGCTGGTGTCTGTGTCCTCCTCCCAGTACTCACAAACCCGAGCGCAGCAGAAGAGGCCAACCAAAGTGGCTTGTTTTACGTCTCCTCTCGTGTACGGTACTATGTCGAGCTCGAAAGTCTTCTGTGGCCGGAAAACCTGCAACGACCGGGTTTGAAAGGACAATTCGACAGCCATATTGTCGATCTATATCAGCACATTCTCGAGTTTCAGATCAAGTCCGTCCTGCGATTCTATGGGAAGTGGCTGGCGCATCTGAGCCGTGATATCATTCTCTACGATGACTGGCAGGGAATGCTAAAAAAGATTAAGGAATTGGAACAGATGATTCGGGACGAATCAAGCACTATCAATACCATGGCTTCACGTGAAAATCTGGAAGCCATCAGCAAATCAACAGAACAACACTCTGCTGACATGCAACTATTGCTGAAGGAACACTTGCAGGTGTCCAAGGAACATCGCGACATTGCATCCATGCACCTGGATGAACAGAAGCGTACGAAGTACGTGTTATCCTCCAGACTTAGGGACCCATACTGACAGCCAAACAGCGAAATACTCGATTGTCGCATAAACCTTCCGAGCATACAACTTCCAACCGTCGACAAAGCACGCTACGATAGCGATGATGTTCGAGGAAGTCCGTTATGTGAGGATGGTACCCGATCTCTCATCCAGGAACAGATCACCAATTGGGCGATTGAGGACAATAGCGAACCTATTCTTTGGCTCCAGGGCCCGGCGGGGACCGGTAAATCGACTATCGCGCGTACTGTCGCGGTGTCTTTCGTCAAGACGCGGCAGCTAATTGCTGGCTACTTTTTCAAGAGAGGCGAGCAGGGCCGGAACAGTACCGCTCGACTATTCCCTACCATTGCCATGCAACTAGTCGATACCATTCCCTTCTTCAAAGATATCCTCCGTAAATATCTCGACGGTCTCAGCAAAGAGGCGGTGGAGGAAAAGGCTCTTGAGTACCAGTTCGAACAGCTTCTCCTCAAGCCTCTTAGGCAGCTGCCTCGCAGCAACGCGTCTGACGGTACGAAGGTCATCATTATCGACGCCTTAGACGAGTGTGAGTGCACAGAAGAACAACTATTGCGAATTGTCAATCTGCTTTACCAACTTCGGACCATTAGCACGGTCTGCTTGCGCGTACTGCTTACGAGCAGGCTGACCCCTGAAATTGTCTATGCTTTGAAGCCCCTCCAGCAGAAGAGAATGATTCAAAGTTTAGATCTTCACCGAGAATTCTCTAGAGAAACCCGAGTCGATGTCCAAACTTTCTTGAGAGCAAGATTCGCAGACATCAAAGAAAGGGCTCATATTCAACAAGATCCTTGGCCATTGCCTGGGGAGTTGAATCGTCTAGTACAGTTGGCTACGGATCCCGAACCGTTATTCATCTACGCTGCTACACTTTGCAGGTTTGTCTCTGGAGGATCGCGCTTGAATGAAATCAAAAAGAGCCACGCCAGAAAGAACCCCAAACAACAGTTGATGATATGGCTCAAACAGTGCGACAGCAATAAGTCCCAGTTAAGCCAGATTTACGAGCCCATTATTCGCCAGGTATTTGGTGATGATGAAGATGCAGATTCTGAGCTGCAACTAAAGTTCTTAGGTGCTCTTGTACTTCTTGCAAATCCACTTCCAGCTACATCTATCGCCTCACTCCTTGGCCTGGATATTGACGATATCAACTGGTGGCTTCTGCACCTACACCCGGTTTTAGACATACCAACAGAATCTCATCGCCCCATACGGCTACTACATAAGTCATTCAGCGACTTCCTTCTTGCTCCGGATAACTCCAGCAATGGCTTGTGTCAAGTAAACGCTGACCAGACGCACGCAATGCTTGCGGCAAAATGTATTCAGTGCATGAAATCAGGGCTCAAACGGGACATCTGCAATATCGGAAAGCTGGATATGGCCAAAGACGAGATCGACCCGCGAGTTATTGAAAAGCACGTCCCTCCTGAACTGCGGTACGCTTGCTTGTACTGGGTGTATCATTTGCACTACTGTGAGCAAGTAATGGATGATGAAATTTACGCCTTTCTCTCTGAGCACTTCCTTCACTGGCTGGAGGTTCTCTCACTTTTAGGGCGAATTTCAAATGGAGTTACAGCAGTCAGAGAGCTGCTTGAAATAAATAAGGTTGGTTAATTTGAAATGGGTTTGTAATCCGGCTAACTTTGACAGTCCTTTCCCAGAACACCTGAATTCAAAGCTTTCATACAGGATGCTAGCAGGGTTATCTTAACCTTTGTCCCTATTATTGAACGCGTACCCCTACAAACCTATGGAGCATTACTTTTGTTCTCTCCTGTCGCAAGCAAAGTACGCCAAACATTCTGGCATCAACGACTACCTGATATTACGTGTTTTGGAGATATAAAACATGATTGGGATTCGCACCTACAGACGCTGGAGGGCCATACACAACCGCTTAACGCGGTGGCTTTCTCACCAAATGGCCATGTAATCGCATCAGCCTCGTATGATAAGACGGTACGGCTCTGGGAAGCAGCAACAGGCACACACCTCCAGACACTAGAGGGCCATGGCATGGCAGTTAGCGCAGTAGTCTTCTCACCAGACAGCCAGTTAGTTGCATTAGCTTCGTACGATAAGACGATACGACTATGGAACGCAACAAGAGGTAGACAACGCCGGGTACTTGGGGGGCATAACGGTTGGGTCAGTGCAGTAGCCTTCTCGCCAGACGGCAAGGTAATCGCGTCGGCCTCATACGACAATACAGTACGGCTCTGGGATGTAGATGTAGCACAAGACACAGGTTGCCAGATGAGAGAAGGTCATTTCTCCCGGGTCAACACCATTACCTTCTCACCAGACAACCAGGTAGTTGCATCAGCTTCGTGCGATGAGACGGTACAGCTCTGGGATGCAGCAACAGGCACACATTACCGGACGCTGGGAGACCATAATAGTTCAGTTAGCGCGGTAGCTTTTTCGCCAGACGGTCAAGTAATCGCATCAGATTCGGATAAATTAGTACATCTTTGGGACGTAGCAACAGGCACGCATCGACAGACGCTAGAGGGCCACAGCAGTTGGGTTACTGCGGTAGCTTTCTCGCCGGATGGCCAAGTAGTCGCATCAGCCTCGTATGACAAGACAGTACGGCTCTGGAACGCAGTAACAGGCACACATCGTCAGACGATAAAGGGCTACAACGACTGGGTTGGCATAGTGGCCTTCTCACCGAACAGCCAAGTAATCGCATTAGCCTCCGATGCGATAGTACGACTCTGGGACACAGCAACAGGCATACACTGTCAGACGCTAGAGGGCCATGACGAACGGGTTGGCGCGGTAGCCTTCTCACAAAATAGCCAAACAGTCGCATCTGCCTCTTTTGATAATACGGTACGACTGTGGGACGTAGCAACTGGTACGCATCGCCAGACACTGAGGGGCCACAGCGACTGGGTAAGCGCGGTAGCTTTCTCTCAAGATGACCAGGTGGTCGCATCGGCCTCGGTCGACAAGACGGTATGGCTGTGGGACGTAGCAACAGGTACACACCACCAGACGATAGAAGGATCTACCCTGAGTCTTACTTTCGACCCCTTATGCAGCACGCGACTGCTTACTGATTTTGGGATTGTTGACTTGCTAAGCGGGTCTACGACAAGAGGATCGTTGTTCTCTGATGAGACGGCGTTGTCCTCGGTCATCTGTGGACTCGGCCTTAGTCCGGACACAACTTGGATTATGAAAGGTAATGAAAAGGTTGTCTGGCTTCCTATAGAGTACAGACCGACATGTTCAGGCGTAAGAGGTTCAGTGATGTTTATTGGCTGTGCTTCGGGCCGTGTAATCCGGGTTAAGCTTACGACATCGTGATTCTTGTATAGACTGAAACTCAACGTGGTCATCAAAAGCATTGATTTCTCATTTTGATAGCTTCTCTCATGCGGTGCAATAATATAGTATAGGGGGTCAAGCTTTCTAATTCATGGTGCTTAGTTCAGATTTTGGCTCACATCTTTCCCTTGCATTTTGTCTCGTATCTTTGCGGTAAAACTTTGCATGTATTTTCGATATATGAAAGGAAACAGCTAGATCATTCTATTTGAGTGAAGACCGAGTTGCGCTTTGCGTTTCCCCTCCTGCTGAAGTTGCATGAAAAAGAACCAGGCATATAACGTAGTTACGATACAGAAACATTGTCTGCGCGACTGATAGTGTAAAGATGCAGTGTCCCCTGACTGTCTCCAATATTTTCTTTTCGTTCTTGGGTTTCAACAATATAGATCCGCCATAGCACAGAGCGCCAAATCTAGAAGAGTTATAGTGAAGAAATACTGTACAGAATCTGATGGAGACATTGCAAAAGAATATGCAGCTAGTCTCTTATTACGAGGCGAACCGGCCGGGTAGACTTGTCGGATGTATATTATGAAGAATGTTTCGGACAATTTCTGACTTGACAAGGTCGTCAGACAGATTTTCTAAGTACCTTAGTTTAGGAGAAAAAGTCGTCAGGCAAGTTCGCATTACTAGTTAGCAGATGAACCAACCCCTAGAGCTATACTGGAACGCCAGCTCTTATGGCATTTAATCTACCGATGCACCTTACATCTTGTTACTCTGAAGGCCGCCCTAGACCGCATTTCTTTCTCCAGCTGAGGATCACACGGGAACAAACAGTAATTTGCTGAGCGCATGTATGCACTATTGTAGTTCGCTAGATCTCCTCAAGGTCAATTTGTAAACGAATACCAAGCTTTTCAAACTAAAGTTCGGCAATATGATCCTTGATTTCATACGCTCATAATGGAAAGCTGGTCTATCAGGTTTAGTGGTGTAGCGACTGTGATAATTTGGAGGGGATGTGGTCTGCGCATTATGTCAGATGGATTTCTAGCGTTCATCACAGCCATTTCAGGTAGAATTGGCTTCGTGCCAGTTTGGTTCATCCGACAGTATGAACCCCACAAGCAACCTATTCAGCCTGAATGTATTGCCCAACCACCAACAACACAGTATTGTTACCACCAAAATGCGGGAATAGGTGCGAAAAGTCTCGAATACCCCTATTATAAGAAGACTCACGGCAATAATTATTAAACAAATATCCCAAGAGATGCAATGTGGATGGGATGACACTGGTGACTAGATCTCTGTAGGTCAGATCACTTTGGTGTATCTCTTATGAACAGAGCACGTACCAGAAGTTACAAGGGTGAATTGGTAAAGAAAGAGAAGATGTGCGTTGGAGGACACATACACGTCTATAATATGCTTTCATTACGTAGAGACACCCATTAGTGAGCACTGATGTTATCGTCACAGATGGCATGGAAATTTTCTACGAACACCAGCACTCTAGTATCTTCAAAAAGTCTTAACACAATTTATAAGCCTTTAAAGTACTGATAGCACACGGGACTGATAGAGCAAGGTGCCGCACCGAACCCCATGCAGCCCGCTTAGACCTTCACGATTAGAAGTCTAACAAGACCTGTGTACCTCGAGGAACAGGCTTCTAACGGTGCTTGACGTGGTCTAGTCCTTAAAACCTATCGCCGTTTTAGCTTTATTAAGATGGAACTTCCAAAGTGTTTCACATCCAATCGATCATTTCATATAGCAGCACGACTCTGAACTTTATTCTCTAACTCTTTGATCCAATACTCTCTGATTGTGACGAAATGAGGATAAGGTCAAGCCACTCTGAAGGAAAAGTAATTATCTACAAAGCTCAATTTCCAATACGAGCTGAAGCGAATCGTTATGCGAGAGACAAACCATGCTAGAGTCTCTTCACCGATGGACAAATGAAAATCGGCCCCATGTTTGAGCCACTGTAGTGACTAGAGCCTCCAGTATGTTTTTGTCCTGAACTCAATTGTCCCAGACGTAGGTTGCCTTTCATCTCAAGCTTTCGTTGTTGGGCCTAAAAACTGCAATGAATAAGCGATCCAGTCATTGAACCGAAATCGCCACATTTCGTCGCATCGTATTTGTGCCATCCGCACGAAGCCTGCTTGATACCTTCGCAGCGTATGATTCCCAACCTGCCCTTGTCCGCTTCGTACTCACACTCGTACCCTTCGACAGTGAATGGTCCGATTTTGGTAGGTGGCTCACGAATGTCGAGTGTAGTATATGCCGGCTCAGAGTAATAGGCCTTATCGCAAACATACCAAGCACCATCCGAGTCCGCTGGAAAGACAACCCAGGACCGCGTCCATGTCCCCAGCCCACCGGCAATATATCTTTCACTTAGCGCGATGATGATGTTGTTTTTATACTCGGGCTCCTCGTCGTCACCCTTGTCGTCGTCGTCTTTGCCATCATCATTGTCGTCGTCCTTGTCGTCATCCTTGCCATCATCGTCGTCATCATCTTTTGGCGGAGGAGGACTGTTACCAATCGGGTTCGCACCCATCTTGTTGGGGTCTTTGGGATCCTTAAAGTCCGGCGGCGGTACGCCCTTGGGACGCGGGCTGCAGTAGTATCCGCGGCAGAGCTCTCCACCACAGGTGCCCGAAGGACACTTGGGTGAATCGGGCCCGTCGGACCAATCGATCCCTCTGCCGTCGGCGCCGCCGCCTGAACCATCCGAGCCACCAGGGGGACTAATGGGACAGGTATTGGCGCCATCGACTGCTCGCTTGGAAGGGTTGTTGGACCCATCGCCACAAGAACCGGTTGATTCCCCAACTTCTTCCGGCAAGTCCTTGAGTTCTTTGGAGTATGGGGGGCACCGCTTCGCAGTCCGGTCATCAAATATCAGAACGGTTTCGCCACCCGATACACAGGAATAAGCAGGCTCTCTAATCATCCGGCCCACCTCGCCATTCCAGACCACAGGCCTACTGGTAGCGGAGAGTGGTCTTTCATAAACCCTGATGCGACGGTGGAGTCTTCGAATCATCTTTTTGACGTTGAGCGGCTCCTGCAATTGTGTCTGCCAGTCGGAACGTAGAGAACGAAGATAGGCGGCAACGCCGGCAACCGCAGGCGCGGCTATGAGAACACACACAATAACTCGTCAGCATGATCCTTTGGAAATGACGGTTGAAATCGCTCCATATTGTTGCGTCCTTCATGTTTTGGATGACTTACCGAAAGAAGTGCCACGTGTTTTCCCATTGACACTGGTTGGGCCGTCTATTTTATCCAGTCTATCGCCTGGCGCAAGTGTCGTCAAGTAGTAATCACGCTGACTCCAATCGGCCTCCTCGCCATATTTGTTCGTTGCGCCAACTACCATCATGCTCTTGATCCTATCAAACGAATTTCTGTCACTTGACGCGGCAAACCTGGATGGATAGGTGTGGATGATTTGGTCGGAAGAGCTTATGACCTTTTTGTCAACGTTACCAGAAGCTGCTACAAGGACAGTCTGGGTTTTACTTTCTAATCTCATCAAGATCTGATCTACCAAGAGAGAGAGAAGAGGCGTTACTGTTAGCCTGATGATGCAATTACACAGCTAGTGAAATGGGAAAAGAAACCACGCAAGGGACCTACTTAGCCTTTTGAGCCAGACTTGGTTTGTTGTGTCGTCACCCGAAATGAAGCTCATGTTTATGACTGCTTTGCCGACCCGTCCTGCTGAAATGTGGTCGTATATGATGCAGAGAGAGCTTATGACTTCTACCATTCTAGTGTTGCCCTTGACAAAAACGAGATTGCATTTTGGACAGGAGCCCATTGTCTCGCCGATGACCATGGCGGACACTTGTGTTCCGTGGTGCAAGTCATGTAAACTTGGTTCCTCGGGGGTGAACAGCCCTTGATCGAGGCTGAGATCAAGCCTTCCCTCTGCTTTCGCTTTGGCGAGCTCCTGTAGAAACCGTAATTGGTAAGCATGAAAGAAACTGATAAAAGTTGTGTCAAAACTATCAAGATGGAATGGGATTGCGACGCATAACGTCACACCATCGAGAGTTAAGGCGTGTGGATGATAGAGTCCGAGTCCATAGGAACGTGAGCATGGCTTGTGTATTGTCACTTACCGGGTGTCCGTCCCATATTCCATTCTCTGCAACGGTGTACACATATTGCCCAGTGCCTCCCAAGGTTTGATGATGGAAACTGTACGGTTTATCTTCGCCCGCCTTGTAAGAAAATCCATCGGGAGTTCTCCATTCCACTTTATTGGGCAGTGAAAAGTGCGATTGGTGCCAGTAGTTGGACCGTTGCACAGCCAATGGTGCGTCTTGGCGCTTCTGCTTGATGCCTGGCGAGCTGCGGGCTTCTTGTATGCCATCTGTCGTCTTGTTTCCATGTTCGGCATCCTCCCTGATGTTGATGCCAGCCGAAAAACCAGCATCGGGCATTTCCACATCGGAATTTTGATCGGTGAGTCTTTTTGAGAGTCCCTGGCCAGGTGGAAACTTGAACTTCTTCATGAGTTCTATCCCAATGCCATCAGCCTTGAAAGCCATTAGCTCTTGAATATCTTACACAACGTCATTGAGAATATTTTCCCTTGCCACTTACAAGTCTTTTGAATTCATCCGAGACCCTTACACTGAGTCTGGCCAGATAAAAAGCTGTAAAGCCTCCCGCATCGGACTTGATTTCTTTCACATCTGATCCGTACTGGTCCAACACGGTGCGGACCAGGGACGGGTCGTCCATATTGACGGGAACAAGATACCACCACGTTAGGTCGCAATCGGAGTCATCGTTTTGTCGCTTCGATATGGCAGCCTTGACGGAATTGAACACTCGTTCTTTGGCAACGTCACCGTGTAACGCGCGCAGGGTTATAGGCTTAGTGGGTGACGGTAGCTCACATGCATCCGTCCTGGTCGTGATTTGCGTCTCCCAGTCAGTCAATGAACAGCCGTAAATCGTATCGCAACCAGATGCGGTAGAAGTCACCGTCGATGTTATCTGTCCAATGGTCGTCACTTTGAGTGTGGTCGTGGTGGAGCAGAGAGATGCCGATTCCGTCTCGCAGTCTGGCTTCTCGGTAAAGGTGGGCTTGCTATCACCGCCAACGGTAATGGGAGGCCAAGGTGGCGGAGGGGGCTTGATGGTAGGTCCTGGGCTGCTGCCACCACCGCCCGGGGGGGCGATGATGTTGGGCGGCGGAGGACCAGGAGGGTAGATGCCGGGCGGCAGGGTCCACTTGAGGCCACCTTTCGGCCCGATGTTGCTCGGGCAGAAGTTGAAGAACCAAAGATTGCAGGGGGTAATGAAGCCGTCGTCAGTGGGTTCAATGTTATTGACGGGTCCTGGAATGGGAGTTACGACGTGAGGAGGATATTGTGTGTAGCTAGGCTCATCATCGTCATCTTCGGTATCATCTGGGTGAATCTCCATTTCGTCAAAATCAGCTTCTTCATCGTCATCATCATCATCATCTCCTCCACCTCCTCCAGTGGGTGTGGCAACGGTTGATGTGCCGGTTTTCGATGGGCCACTTTGCGCTGGGCCCCCTGTAACGGCCGGCCACGGCGGCAAGGTGAGGGTACGGACGGTCGTGCCGCCCTCGCCGTCGGGAACTTTGATGGACACAGGGCCGATTTTGATGCTCGGCGTGAGGAGGAGCTGGGTGCTCTTCTGGCCATTGGTGATGTTGACGTTGGAGTAGGACATACTGCTAACGGTGAGTGCTGGAATGTCGATAGTGATGGTGGTCGTCTTGGTAACAAAAGCAGTAGTCTCCTTGCCGCTGATGGTAGTTTTGCCACTGGCACCATACTCGAGAGAAGAGGTAAATTTGCCAGGCTTGATAGTTGTGGGCTCCGGTAGAGCACTCGGGGGAAAAATAAGAACGCAAGGAGGCTGACATTTGGCACCCTGGCCGTCGTCGTAGACCTTAGGGTCAAGGTAGACGGGCCTACCCGTGCCATTGGAGTACTTGCCAGAGCCTTCTCCTTGAAGATCGATAGCCCAGTCTGACGTGCCGCCAAAGTTGAGTTTCATGTAATCCCTCTGCCTACGGGATTTTGTGACCTTGCTCATATATGCCACCCACTCAACCTGGTCGTAAACAAGGTAGTCCGAGTCTGATTCCGCGTCGTACCAGGACTTGATGGCACCACCCTTTTTGATAATCTCTGCAATCTCAAAATCGGAAATATATCCAGCTGTGTCGGTACATCTCCCCTTCTTGGCTGGTGATTCATTCCTCTTACCGAGAAAGGTACACATCGGTCCGCGGCAGGTGGAACTGGACATCTTAAAAGAGCGTCCGTAGCTGGAGACTCCCACAACAATCTTGTGGGACTTGACACCGGCCTTGGTGATCATGACCAGGGCATCGTGGGTTGTTGTCGAGTTCACGTGAGAACGAAGGCAGTTGCCAGCAGGCTGACAATTCAAATGTTAGTAAGACTCTTCGCGTTGGTTCGAATAAATTGGTAAAGAAAACATACGCATCCAGGCATTGACCACTCATTGCCCACGTCCCATTGACCGTGAAAGTCGTAGGTCATGTAGACGATATAGTCGAGGACCTCTGCCATTTTCTCAATGGGGAACCCCTTCAGATACCAATAGGAAGCTGGTGCGGCGATAGATAAGGACTTCCCCTTAGGGAGTTTCTCGCGGACGAGTTTGAGGAACTGATAGTAATTTTCACCATCCTCCTCGGAGCCGGGGGGTGAGCCCTCGATATCAGTGGCTCCAGGATACTCCCTAAATCATGTTAGTATACTGATACTGAGTATCATTGCAAAGAACGCAAGCCCTACCAGTCAAAATCGAGGCCGGAAAGATTGTTGTCAACGGCAAACTTAACGACTCTATCTGAAAAAGCACCACGGTTGGCAGGGCTCACAACGTCACGCAATAAGCGGGCGTTGGGCCCTTCGTTGGAAAACGCCCACCCACCAAAGGCGAGAATCTTCTTTGGAAAGTCGGTCGCACCAACAAAAGCATCCCATTGTTCCCGTTGGTCATCAGGAATAACAACCTGGTAATCGGTAGAGATCTCGCCAAAGGCAAAATGAACATGAGTATAAGACCGGTCAATGTCTAAGACGTGCATATTAAGACAAGGACGGTTGAAGTTCCATGCCTCGAAGTATCCGATCTTACGGAACTGCTCCGGGGGCGTATCATTATTGACGAGCTCCATCCCGCAGTTGGAGATGCAGCCGTTCTCGCCGGGCTTGGAGGTACCGGGGTTACCAGTAGACGATTTAGAGACCACACAGAAATCGGTCGTCGTGCCACAGTTGCCCCAGACGTTGCAACAGACCTTGAGCGGGCAAGGGTTGAGATCGGCGAGATCCTCGCCCTTTCCGGGGGCTTTCGTGCCCGGTTTTCCAGGGCCACATTGAGCATCTTCAATAGCCGAGGGCATGGCCGGGTTACCCTCGCTGACACAAATCTTCTGTGTGAACTGCAAGTTCTTACACCCATCCCATCCCCAAGTCTTTTTGTTGAACTCGTCAATGTCCTCAACCTTGATTCCGTGCTTGGTTGCCACCGCCTGGCAGCCCTCACCCTCCTGGACGACGTACGTCGCGCAGGTTCCGTCGGCATTCGGCTTTGGTTTGGTATTAGGTAGCGTGCCGGAAGAGCAGCATACCGACCCGCCATGTGACAAAATGATGCACATTGCGTCGGTGAGCTTGTTGAAACTCTTAAACGCAGTGGTACCAAGCCCGCAGCGTTTTGCGAGTGTCGCGCAATCGTCGCCCTCTTCCACTTTGATGCTGCGGCACTCGGCTCTCTTATCAAGCTGCCCCAGCCGTCGGCCCTTGATGGCTGGAGTTGGAGGTACAAGCGTGTCGAACGACCAAATGGCCGTATTGTCGAGGGTCTTCGAGTTTATAGTTTCTTTAACAGCGGCAGCAGCATCAGACTCTGAGAAGCATTGACTCTGACTCCACGCAAGCATGACTTTCTGAACGGCGGCGAAATCACCGCTCATGTCAGCCACAACCCCAATGGTCTCAGGAGCAGTGCGGTCATTTCCACAGACTTCGAGTGCCGCTCGCACGGGTGCTGATGTCTTTGCGTTTGGGGAAGCTGCTTTAATCTCTTCTGAGAGCTTCTGCAGCAGAGAAGCGGATGCTCGAGATTTGTCCATCAATGTGCCTGCGTACAGGCCGACGAGTGTGCCGCGGAGGTAGAGGAAAGCAATCTTCTTCTCGCACGCGGGGACTTGTTTCATGTATTCTGACAACTTTTCTATGGCGATAGCAACATCTGACGAGGCTGCTTCATTCAAGAGAGTGCCATCTGAGTCCGAATTCCACCAAGAAAGGCGTGCAGAAACGCGAGATTCTCTGGCTAAACCGGCACCGCAAGTCACGTTGGCCTGAATCTGACGCGGTGACAGGGCAGCAAAGTTTGATAGCTGGCGGGCTTCAACAAACGAGTCTTCAGCATCAGGAGCGACATAGCCAGACTCGACGAGGAAATTCTCTTTGGTGTTCGCGTCGCCAAGTGTGCAAGCGCGGATGCTGGTGTGAGTATCGGGGTCACCAAAGGGTGTGAGAAGGTTGTAAGCGACGAGCATGGGCTCGGGACAAACTGCGAGTCTTGCTGTGTCGTGGTATAAATTCCATTCTTCTGGACCCTTGGCAGTAGCACAAGATCGCGGGCATGTGTTTGAAGGGTTGATCACACGGTTGCTCTGAGAAGAGGATGAGGATGAGGCTGCCGTGATTGCAGTCGTCGATGACAAAAGCAACAACAGCAGCCGAGATGGCGGCGTCGTTGGCCACATGATGGCCAACGGATATGGAAAAAAAAAAACCAAACAAGATAAACGAACGTGGGCAATGCGACAAGCTCTTGCTATCGCCTTGAACAGAATAACCCCTAATAGGTAGGCAAAGAGTGAAGCCCCCGGTAACGAATGTCAATAGGAAAAGTACGCAACAACTCGTGCTCTTGACTTTATACAGACATTTCGGCGGAGTACAACAATCTGCTTGGTATTCCGAGGGGGCCAAGATGCCTTCGAAGTAGGAACACTTCCCTGTCGCGACCTCCCACCGCAACAAGTCACCACTTGCATGAGCTCATCTTGGTGAAGAAACATCGTATAGGGATAGTGTATGGTCCTTGGGGTCCGCATTAACACGGACCGTTCCAGGCCTAGTTCGCCGACGGCGTGGCAAGACCTTGAGGAGATGAACCCTACTTCAGTCCACGGGGTAAAGGATTAAAGGTTCTTGATTGGTGGAGTTGGTTACACGACTCATGTGTAAATCATAGGGCTGTACAAAAGAACATAGTTCAGGCAGAGACTAATTCAAGCGAGGTTGCCTAACAGTAACCTGGGGGGGGGTCTTTGGCCTCATTCTTGTTCTAGGCATGCAAGGTACAGCCCTGAAGTGGGTTCTCAGGACACGGCAGGATTTGATCCTGCGCAGATTTTGACTAGCCCTGCCCACCTACCAGGTAAGTTGCTCGCGCAATATACATAGGAGAAAACGATGTGCGTTATAGAATGCGACTTAGGCGAGGTAACATCAGAATAAGGTAGAGTTAGAATGAGTGTTGCCTAGAGATGTTATGGACCGTAGGCTCCAACCAAGTGAATAGAGACAACGGAATCAAGCGAACAGGTTAAGCTGGTTAATTATTGACTTTAGGCCGGGTTGCCTTGCAGGAGGTGACCAATTTGGGGGCTGAATCAGATGCCCAGCCAGGCAAAGCCGGATCATCCGACAATTTTCTCTTTGTAATAGACCAAATGTGAAATCTCGATGTTTCTACATCATGCGGAAAACCATTGCCCACAACCTTGAAAAACTTAGGCACAGCTCAGTTGTATCACAAATCAAGAAGAGTTGTATCCACAAAATCAGGGATAACATGTGGAGCTTGATGCCGGCTAGCACACACTACTCGAATACGCGAACTTATTCCTTGTCCCACGTTGCAGATCCTGAACGGACACCACTTCGAAATGCGGAATAGCCCTCAGGTCTTAAACTTTTCTCGCTATGGATATCTCGTTTGATAAGATTGCCTTGGACAGGCTGCAAAGCTGATGTCTGGAAAACAGAAGTTTTGTAATTACGATTCAAGCTGTAAGTGTTTGAAAATGTCACGTTACCGCGAGACTGGGGAACTTGGTTACAGTAGATCAGATACCTCAGATTACTAAGCCTGAAAACGGTCTAATAAAGATAGACGGGTAGAACTCATTCACTGCAAATACTGAATAGACTCGCAAAAACCGAAGTCGTCCAGCGAAAGGATTAGTTGCTCTACAATGACTTACTTGACGGTGTTGAATATGATCAGACAGCTCACAGTGGTTTAGCCGAGGTTATGTGAAAACATTCAACCGCTTATCCTTCTGACAAGGATAGTTGATCCCAGTCTAGACAGTCTTGGCAGGTATTAGCGGTGAACTTGTGAAATTGCAGAACGGTAACGGTTCGGACCAACGGCCTCTTGTTGTATGGCCCCGTCGGCTAATGCCATTTGACTTTCTTCTCTCTTTGAACCATTCACAGGGAACGGCGGCTAAGTCGCTTGTTAAGCAAGGTGTTCCGTTGGAAAGACGCCATAGTCGCAGGGCTGAGATCCTTCGGACGGGAACAGGCTAACAACCCGGGGCCGAGTGGCGGCAGAGGCGCTGGAGATTGCAAGGAAAAGCCGACCAAGTTAGCATACCCTGTCCCTGCGAGCCCCTCCCCTGTTCCTGCGCCCGATTCGATAGCAACAGCAACAGAATAAGGGCGAAATGACTATCCCTTTGAGGCAGGACGTAGGAAAAGTAGCAATGGAAGGATTCACAAGCGCAGGGAGTGGCTCATTAATGTGGAGGCACGGGGGAAAGGCGTGGATGGATGGTAACATGTTATTCACAGCAGTTTTCAAAGGATCATTACCATTGACCACAATCACTCGTTTTCACAGAATGAGCATTTTTGACAAGTCATTAATTCACTTTTTTCGTCCACTTCTTTTCTTTAGGTCCTGCAACGGTCGGAAGTTGTAGAGAGGGCGAAGTAACTAGTGGTGATTCGCTTAACACCAGCCTGTGTCTTCTTTGGCTGCCGTACTGGCGTCTTCGTTACCCCGGATGCCCGTATCCGATCCCTGGCCGTGACCGTGCCTCAACGGCCCCCATTTACCTATGACTTCCTATGGAGGCCTTCCTACAGGAGTGCCTCAGCCCTAGGCAAAGCCGAGACTGTGCCGTCCTGCATCCCGGTAAAGACTATACGAACTGAGAACGCGGCTCCCCCACGGCCTTCCGGTCATGAACCACGGCGCTATGGCTCATCGAAGAACCCTAGTCACAACCCCAGTTCTAGGTTCCCGGTATCCGTACCGCGACTCGTCTCGCAGCCGACCCAATCTTGCAGGTCAGACACGCAGGGCAGCCGCCACAACGGCACGGCTGCCCGCATCCCATCGACTAACCCAAAATGTATCCGCCGCATAAAATGCGAACGGGTGCACTATGCCCTCCCTCGGATTCGGTTTGCTGCTTACCTTATGCTCGAAGCTTAACAAGTCGACTGAGACTCGAGCCGCTTCTCTGGTCTTATCAACTTTTATTGCGCTCGAAAGAACATATAGGTCCTGCTGGCACCGGCAATACGATAATATTTGCTACATCGCCCTGCTGTTTTTTGAAGCGGCATCTAGTCCGCCCACTTCAGGTCTAATCACTGATTAGCAAGCATACAAACCAAGTTAGCAATTTAAGGCGGCAGCTCAATGGGCGGTCTTCAGTCCGATTGAGCGCTAGAGTTATTACACGATGTATCTTTCTCATACTGCTGGTGGAATCCACTAAAAAGGATTTGCTCATCTCCCGTTGACGGGCCTAGCGTCATTGTTGTCAAGTATCCGTATAATCCTGGTAAAAACGACTCTCTCCCCACTCGTAATGGGGCTTTGATTCTACATTGGAACGTTCCATCAAGCCCCCCACCTTGACCCCTAGAAGATGCAGCATGTTCGGAAAATCAGATGTCTCTTGTTTGAGGGACTATGCTCAATGAGCTTAAACTGATAGGGCCCTGGGAATCCCATCCTATGGAATGAATAAACGTTTGAACCCTGTTAGCCTTAAACCGACTGGCGCAGGATTCTGGCTAGGTGGTAATTTGCCACGAAATACCATCCTTCGCCCCCAAAGCCTTGGTGAAGGATGCTAGTTAAAACTGTTTTAGGAAGCTCGGCCGAACACGAGGTGATCACATCAGGCGATGTTTCCCCCTTGGCCCTGTGCAAATGTGAACATGCTGGAACTTTAGAGACCGCATCTCAATTCAACTAACAAACTAGACAGAAGTAATGGCAAAACTTTGCCAATGGCTCCTGACTCGATAGAATACGAATTTATCTGTGATGTCTCCGAGTATAAAGAGGTTGAGGAGAGCCTGGAATCTAAAATTCACCATCGACGCACGACAAGTCTGGGTTCAGTATAGAAGTTCTATCTCGCAACTTGCCCAAACATTAATCATGGGAGCTTCCAATCTTTTGGTTTGCGCCCTGACTTTGCTGGCTGCTCGCCATGCCGAAGCGGCTCCTAGCAACCGCTACGGCCTCGTCGAGCGCCAAGGCATGGGCATCAGAGACGTAAAACCTCAATATCCCCACGATCCTTACGCCGGATGCAGATGGTGGTGGGACAATGACGGCAGCATCGCGTGTGAGGACATGCCTGCGGAGTGGGGCGTCTCACTAGAGACATTGATTTCCTGGGTGAGTTGAGTTGGTTGAAAGTCGAGCAGTTATTCGAGTCATGTTTTGGCTAACAAAGGTGACATCAAGAACCCCTCCATAACTCCCGACTGTGGAGGCTTCATCGTTGGGCGATCTTATTGTGTCGAGGCGCCTGTTACTGAGCCTGAGCCTTCGACGACCACGACGACGACCAATGGATCACCTCCAACCACCACCACCACTACTGGCAACGGCATCACCACGCCCACGTCAATCCAAAAAGGCATGATCAAAACCTGCAACAAGTTCCAGGAGGTTACCGAGGACATCTCATGCCAGGATATCTTGGACGAGAATAAAATCAGCCTGGCTGATTTCTTCAATTGGAACCCTGCCGTGGGCGAATTTTGCAACAACCTCTGGAAAGATACCTGGGCCTGTGTCGGCATCATCGGAGGCGTCGCCACCACTAATGTCCCGGCGCCTGCGACTACCACCAAGCCTGCGAACGGAATTGAGACGCCGTCTCCCATTCAGTCTGGCATGACCAAGAGCTGTAACAAGTTCCACTTCATTGAAACGACCACCACCTGCGCAAACCTCCTCGACTATGAGAAGATCACCATCGAAGACCTGTTCAAATGGAACCCTGGTGTCAAGAACGACTGCACTGGACTCCAGGCCAAGACTTGGGCTTGTGTTGGAATTATCGGAGGAGCAGCTGTTACGACTACACGTCCTGCAACTACGACCAAGCCTGCTAATGGCATCGAGACGCCTTCTCCTATCCAATCCGGCATGGTCAAGAACTGTAACAAGTTCCATGATATCAAGACGACAACAACCTGTGCCAACCTTCTTAGCTATAACAAGATTACACTTGAGGAGCTGTTCAAGTGGAACCCTGGTGTCAAGAGCGACTGTACTGGGCTCCAGGCGGGAACCTGGGCTTGTGTCGGAGTTATCGGAGGCACCACCACAACTACACGTCCTGCAACTACGACCAAGCCTGCTAATGGCATCGAGACGCCTTCTCCTATCCAATCCGGCATGGTCAAGAACTGTAACAAGTTCCATGATATCAAGACGACAACAACCTGTGCCAACCTTCTTAGCTATAACAAGATTACACTTGAGGAGCTGTTCAAGTGGAACCCTGCTGTCAAGAGTGACTGCACTGGACTTCAGGCGGGAACTTGGGCATGCGTTGGTGTTATCGGAGGCACTACAACCACTGCTCGTCCTTCTACCACAACCAAACCCGCAAATGGGATTGAGACGCCTTCCCCTATTCAAGCGGGTATGGTCAAGAACTGCAACAAGTTTCATGATATCAAGGAGACAACTACCTGTGCCAACCTTTTGAGTTACAACAAGATCACGCTTGCCGACCTCTATAAGTGGAATCCTGGTGTTAAGAGTGACTGTACTGGGCTTCAGGCGGGAACTTGGGCTTGTGTTGGTGTCATCGGAGGTTCTACAACTCCTGCTCCTCCTCCAACCACGACAAAGCCTGCCAACGGAATCGACACCCCCAGCCCGATCCAGTCTGGCATGGTCAAGAACTGCAACAAGTTTCACAACATCAAGTCAACGACCACATGCGCAAATCTCTTGAGCTATAACAAGATTACACTGGCAGATCTGTACAAGTGGAATCCTGGCGTCAAGAGCGACTGCACTGGCTTGCAGGCCGATACTTGGGCTTGCGTTGGCGTTATTGGAGGAACCAATAAGCCTACGACTACGACCAAGGCTGGCAATGGTGTCGCGACCCCGACCCCGATCCAGGCCGGCATGACCAAGAACTGCAAAAAGTTCCATTTCATCAAGAGCACCACCACCTGTGAGAACCTGCTAAGCTACAACAAGATTACCATGGCTCAGCTCTTTGCTTGGAATCCGGCTGTCAAGAAGGACTGTACAGGACTGTGGGAAGATACCTGGGCATGTGTGGGTGTCTAGTAACTAAGATAGACGCTTATGTATTTTGATGTACTTTTCACATAATAGTGCGCATACATAACCCTAGAATTGGGGACCTAATATAATACTTTTCAGATGCTAGCACTCCTGTTTTCAAACCAAGTACCATAGTCAGAAGATGCCATTCATTAATATCTTTAAGTGGAGGGTCCGCAAGCCCGTTCAACCTGAAAGCTTTGAAAAGATATTCGCTAGTGTTACATAATTAGTACTCTGAGCTGAAGTTTCAGAATGAACTTGGATGTCTTGTTAGTTTGTGACTGACATTCATCCTTGCTATTTCACAATCGAGAATGTTGGAGAAGTCTCTTGGAATGCGACGCATATTTTCTCTCTTGGGAAGGCCCCAGTTACTTCATACGTTCCAGACGATCTTGTTTATGCATGTACGTATTCCCACTGCAACACGTCAAAAGTTATTTCCCAGGTAGTTGCAAATCTCCATGACGAGCATTTATCCGGGTTGAACGGACCTATCGATTGAGTGCAAAGTCGGTATTTGTAGTCTCGGAGTGAAGCAGAGAAACAGGGTTGATATGTAGGTTGTGCGGATAATGTTGTCTCCGAAGCTCATCAAAAGAAGATTATATCCTCCTTAGCTTGTGTCAAGGCAGCCTTCTCGCTCTTGAGCATCTGTTCATTCACTACGTCGAGAAACAGCCTAGTGAATGATACTTTGAGCTATTGCCAAGCAGTCACTATCCAGCATGCAAGGATAGTGGAACTGGTTGAAGTAGTCGATCGCCCATTGATAGTGGCTCTCCAATCAAGCTGTACTGACAACTGGGAATTGAAGATTACTTGGCTTTTGCTGTGAAATGAGAAAATGGTACTAAAGATACCCAATATCCTAGCGCCATACCCTGTTGGAAATGGTCTCTCGTCAATGTCTTCTGCCGGCAGCCTTTCAAAGCACCAGAAGTGACATTAGTTTTGCCTGGCTTTTGGTCACTGGTAGATGCATAAAGTCTAAAGCCGTCTTCATCCAATGCCCAAAGCACTCCGTTAATTTAAGCAACCCTTGTAACTGGTCAAAGAAACAAAAGCACTCGTGTAAAAAGAGCGGAACCGTCTTTTTTCCCCAAACGATAGCTACTTTCATTGTTCTCACAGGTAGTACATCGCTGAGAAAGATATTGACTCAACTTAATGACTTAGCCAAGTTCGTATTGCAGTTGCATAGATATCCACGCCACTCCAGCAAGCACAACATGTACCTGGCGTCATCAGAAACATGCCGAATGGCCACAGCAAGAACGTTGAGAGCCGGGGATTACTGCTTTTGCCCTGAATTTTCTGTCGTAACTGATCCTGATGGAATGACTAGGGGGATATTCCACAGGGTGTGGGTGCGGTGCGGCCCGATCCGACCTCCTTCAGGGACTCAAGCTAAAGCGAAGTGACCCACCAAAATCTAGCCGACAGATCCATCCGACAATCTACCCGCCAAAACAAATGCAAACATTGAGAATCCACGTTGTTGCTACCAGATGTATCAAAAGTGAATATGCGGCATGTATTCGGCAACTAGTCTTGATGCGACCCCGGCAGAAACGATGAAGACCGCCCTTCCACTGTTCGAAATCTATGTACATTGCCTTGTTGAGCGGCCGTTTGATTTCAGATACAGTGACCACTGTCTTATCGGGATTGTGGTCATGCGTTTCAATAGTAGGATCTCCATCTATGGGCTACACAGTTATATTCACTGAGGTCAAGCTGAGAGCTTGTCAAGGGCTTGGGATGTTCATGGAGATAGGGACATAGTTACTGCACAAGGCTCACAGCAGTTAGCAGAGCGGGACACACAATGTAATTTACTTCTCTTCTTCGCCGAAATTACACTGCAAAATGTGCAAGCCGATGGCGAATTGGTACCTGGCTTCGTGTCAAAGTCCACTCCGTTCAAATCGTCTTCCATCACCCATCAACACTTCGAGGTTGGAGCCGTCTTCCAGTCAGCTTTGCCATGTGTTCGAGGTCTGGGAGATCGCCCTCAATGACTTCAACTGCTGTTTCCAGTAATTTTTGTTTCCTGAAACTAGCAAACTCACTCCTTGGTCTCCATATTTTATGGTGAACTTTGAGCGACTTGAGCACACTGGAAGGGAAAAGAAAAGATAGACCCTAATCCTAAACCTTACGGGGCTTTTCTTCTGTTCCCTTAACTCTAATCTCCTACTCTATCAATCTCTGTATCTCCGTCTCTCTCGCCATAGCCTCACTTTGTAAAGCTTGGTTTCGGCTTACTATTGCTCTGTCGCTAGAATCAACCGACCATGCAGTGAATGAGCTGTTATTAATCAAAAAAAAAATATGAATTCATTGACTATCCTACGCTCTCTCGCTCAAGATGTGTTTTTCCCATTTGGAATTGAGTCCATTGAACTCATCATTACTCCAAAGCTCCATATCTCTCGCCTTCTATCGGAATTGAACCTGGTACTTTTGTCTCCCACGAATGCCGGAACCTTAGGCATAGCTCCTCTTTACCAAAGTTCACCGGCTCATCCAACGACTGACTTCTTACCACGGCTACGGCTTCCATAGTTCTCATTGTACGCACTCCGGCGCACGTGTTCTTCAAGACGCCACCGTCAGCGGGCGCCGACTGCTGGGACAGGGCAACCAGCTCTGGGATCGTGTCCCAGCCCTCGCCTACTTGTCTTTCCCATAGAAGCCAAACGGTAGAAGCGATGGCAACAATAGCGTGCAAGAGAAGCACTACCGCTGATACCCAGTCAAACCATCCCTGAATTTTCATAGCATATCCAGTAAATATTGCTTTAACGACCATCCGCGTCGCGTTTTCGCCTTGTAGCCCCGACGGTCGGGGAAACGTCTCGACTGGGTCACCGTTGCGTACCATACTACGAAATATAGTCTCAGAACCGTTCTTCCAGTATCCGTAATCCCATGCCGGAAAGAAACGCCACGTATCGAGGTGTCGTTGCATACCGGTGTGAGAAATCCCGTCTGCGAAAAATGTTGATAAGTGTATTTCGAGGTAGGCCAGCTGAGTGTCTGAGTTGGTTGTATTGATGGAAGGGATTTGCGTTAGAGAAACCATTCTCTCCAGAAGCGAAGGCGTGAAGGAAGTGTTGGTTTTTGTATCAGTATCGGCTACAATGCCACCAGGTAACGAAGAATCGGAGACTCTCGGGAACAAAAGGTCATACCAGCTAGATCGAATCCGGATTGACTTATACAGCTCTGGCTTCTTAGGATCAAAATCACTCCAAGCAGAAGGACTATCGTCCTTTTCCAGCTCCGCCCCAACGACAATACGAGACCGACTTCCGTAAAAGTCGTAAGAAAGTACTTGTCCAATTAGTCCTCCGCCATTCGTTTCGACAACAGAGCGGCCTTTAGCCCAACGGGCATCGACAGTGCATGTAGTTAAGGCTAAACCACGGGAGCTTCTTGTTTCATTTTCGATAATGAGCAATGCTAAAGAGCTTGCAGAGCCAGCCTGTGATTCGATTGGTATGACAAGGGGACTAGGCAATCGTTGTTCCAAAAAGAGAGCTGAATTGTTCGAAAGTTCGTTGCTTGACAAGTAAGTCAGCACAGCACTTCTGACGTCAATCGAGACACTAATAGTCGGCTTCTGCTCCTCGCTGTATAGTGAGTTTGTATCTAACTTAGGAAACTTCATGTTCCGCAGTGTTCCCTCGTCAATGGAAGTCAAGGGATCATGCCTAAGGCAAGCCACCCTCACTGCGGGTACCTGAGTCTCTAGTTTCCACCTCCATGTCTGTGCGAGCATCCAGTTAACCGGGTATGGGGCGACTCCAGGGTGGGTCGTCCGCAAGCTGTTCAAGGCGTCTCGGTATAGAGATACGGCGGCACTTTGGAGCACTGCAGAAGGAGCATGGGTTGTATACGTCCAAGTATCCCCTTGCTGTCCAAAGGCACCAGCAACGTACATACTCTTCGTGAGACTATCAAAGCGAAGTGGAGAATATCAGCATTAATAAACGGAGCTAGAAACACTGAAAACTCACGTGCTTTCTTCCAACTGTATCTTGTAGACGTTTTCTGCAAAGTTGAACCATTGGGAATAATAACTGTATAGGGGAAGAAACCCAGCAGAGGGACATCTAAACCTGTGGAGGCGTTCTTGGCCGGCAGAGCAATCATTAACTAGGGAAAGGTCTGCTTCTAAGACATCGGGCCATAACTGCGACTGACTCCCTGAGGTGTTTAGATTAGCAAAATATTTCCATTAACAATTATCCCTGGTACATTGATTCTCACCATTGAGCCAGAAGATGCTACCCCCAATAGGCAAATCCATCATCCTCGGTATCATGAGAACAGCAGTTGCCGGGCCAGCAAGCAAAGATAAGACGCCGCTTAGGACTAGCAAGCCTATTAGAGGCCCTTTCTGTCTCCAACTCTGGTTACGAAATGATCGAACGCCGCCCCAAAACTCGACGGACCAGAAGAAGCTGGGGAAAAGGTCAAGTCAGAAGCTGCTAAGCAATCATAGCGGTAATGCTGTAATAGAAACCAACCTGGCTTGCGCAAAGGCTTTGTCAGATCCCAAAAAACCAAGTGGTACACCTTCTTTGAGCACAAGATGCCGCCGAATAACATTTAAGAGAATGGCGCTTAGGCTGGCTGTGATGAGGAGCTCCTGTGGAACAAGTTGGCAAATGATTTGCATTCGGCAAAATAGAGTTTGAAATATGAACCACTCACTTGCAATTCTGCTGAAATCTGGAGAGCGCCAAGTTTCAAGTCATCCTGGCCTTTAGAGCCCTCCAGTTCACGTCCTATGAAATATCCACGGATGTTGAACGTTAGTAGAAACGCTGATACGGTCGCTGGCAGAACATGTATAGCAGAGGCTGCTAGCACAGCGCGACGTGATCTGTAGAAGGCACTTTTGCGTGGCTCGGATCCATAGATAATAGAGGTGATGCCTAGGCCTATTGATCGCAGAAGTAGTCTGATCTTCTGCCATCGTGGGCTTGAAGGGGGCATATTCTGCGGACAGAGTGGTCGCGCCTTTATCAGCGGTGTACCGATCTGCTTCATCTCGGTTGGCGTGGTGCTTCGGTTAATGGTGGTTGATGAATCGGACATGGTCGGCTGTACTTTTCAATTTTCCAAAGAACCATACCGCAACGCTGAGAGATGCACTATTGATTGTTAAGAGTAACCAGCGTAAGAGCCAACAAATAAAAGCCGGCAAAACAGAGAACGAAGTTTAAAAAAAGCCTGCGAGGAATTTCAAGACAATTTTTGATTGAGGCTTATAATAGATCAGGCTGTACGAAAGAATCAAGTGGCGCGGTCTTTCTCCAGTCAGGGTTAGCATGCTTACGTTCAGAGATTTTGAGGCAAACACGGTTAGCTTTATGCACAGTAATACAACATGGCGCGGCTAAAGATGAGCAGTACTTTAACATGAATTTCGCTTTTCAGCCAATAAACCGTCGCAAGACAGTACCGATGCCGCCTTAAGCTCATCGAGCATGTCAGCTGAACTTCCTTGCAGTGCCAAGACCAGGCTGGGCAATGCAGATTGAGTGTGAGCCACACATCGCTTTCCACCCTGGTTCATGAGAAATTCATTCAACTACAGAGTCAGAAGAGCATTGCACTCGAGAAAGTCTGAGGGTTTACCGATACTGACTGTGCAAACGATCATTTTGTGGAGAGTCGGGGGTTTATCTGATATGGGCAGCGGTTTGATTTGCGCAGATAGAAAGAGTCGTTTGATAATAGCGATTGCGAGTTCAGAACATTTGAGTAAGACGAGGCTCGTCTCAGATGCGTCAAAGCAGGGCCAGAAGAGACGTTGATGTCGTGTTGACTAAGGTACGTCTGGGCTAGCCAGAGAAGTCCGGGAGGCAGAGAGATACACTCGAGATATGATGTATGATTGATGCTTTATCGATTGAGGGGAAAACCGATATCAGAATAATGTAACTCACCTGTCTTTGTCCCCTGTGGTTTTGTTTGAGGGTAAATGGTAGTGGTTGTTGGGACGAGGCTGAGTGAAGAGAGATGCCAAAGTCGTGGGAGACGATGTAGGAAGGAGAACAAGTGTGGCGCTGTGGCTCAGTGGCTCAGTTGATGAGGCTTGATAGTCGTGTTGAAAAGGGCAGGATCGTTACCCAGTGGCTCATTCTGGCGAATTACTAATCTGTCGGCTATATTGGTTCTTCCCTGTAATCGCTGTGTAATGCAAGTAGAGAGTTATTTCCTTAGGGACAATGTTACTGCTGTTGGCTGCGCTTACCACCAATATTGAGCTATTTCTTGGCCTTGTCGTGTTGGTCACGCGGAATAAAGCACCCATATTCCACCATTCGCATTCCGTTTGCACTATGAATTATGTGTAGCCATGGAGATAAACCGTCCTGTCTTGGCGAATTGGGACGGGAGAAGCCATTCTGAAGCGCATCTTGATTTGAATCGGCAGTTCCAGATTTCGTCTCTGACGGCAATAGTTGCGTGTCGGCAGCCGAAACTCCCAACATTCGACTCCTCTCTGTGCATCTCTCACTGGCTACCATCTGTTTTACTTTATACATATCATAGGTCTCTGAACATCGTAACATCTGTGCTTGGGGTGTTTGATGGAGGTACGCAGTTGCTACCCTCGCTGTGGCTCGTAGGATGTCTTCTGTAGTGCTTCTGGTTCTTGATATCCCTAACTAGGCGTCGAACTCTGATGTTCCTTGAGAATTTTCTACAATCCACGTATCCTTGTCCGTCATTCTGCACAAGAGAAGAAGCTGACTTACTCATTCAACTGTCTCTGGGTGCCATCTGGAGCTTGTGAGAGACCATGGTCCAAAATTGGATTCGTGCAGGTCCATGTTGGATTGGAGCTGGTTTAGAAAGGCTGAATCAAGGGGACTGGGCTGTAGTTGAGAGTACTGCTGGTGAATCGAGAGAAGAGATAGCGACCAGAATCACCGGCTGAAAGAAATTGATGACAGTGGTGAAGAAAGAGGACAAAGAGTCGAAGGCGACAGGTGATCAGCTGACAGTGAGGTAAATTAGCCGCGGAGTGCCTCCGGTGTAACTTAGGCAGAAGATGGGGTGGTTACTTAATTCTGATTGACTTTCTTCCTTGGGTTTCCAGGAGGCGCCAACCTGAATTTCTTCCAGTTCGGCAATAGCCATTCAACTTTGGCGGCAGCTGCCTGTCGAGTTGATCTTGTCAATCTCTTAGACGCATATCGGGCTTTTCATGTCGGAAAGATTTGTTGGATTTATTCATCTGTCGGTTTGTTTCATAATACCTGACCCCTCTTCACCACCAAGCCTCGTACATCCTGTCCTGTCAAAATGTAAACAAACCAATGATCAAACCTCCAAGGACGTCTTTTCCGCAACCGCATCATTGTACTCCTCCTCTAACGCCTCTGCAAGATCAGCCATAGCGCGCGCCTCATCTCTCCTCCTCGACAACTCCTCCACAGCAGCCTTCACTGCATCAGCAGCGGCTTGTTTCATTTTCTTGATTGCCAACTTATCCTCCTCTAATTGCCTTACTTCCTCAACTATCTTTGCCGCGGCCTTTTCCATGTGAAAAGCCACAGATCCACTTTGGTGATCCTCCAAGGGCTCCTCAGATAGTTGGCTGTCATCTGCGTTTTTATTCTCATTTGACCCCTGCGGATGCCTCCCTTCGATCAAGACTCGATGCTTCTCTGTGAATTCTTTGAGAGCGGTCTGCAAGAGTAGCCTGTCTCGAATATTCGCGTCGATTTGTCTTTCGGAAGGAACGTCTTGTTCAACAAGCTGTAACCTTTGTAATTCGTTGCGCGCTTTGTTCTCGACGTGTTCGGCGAATTTGCGATTAGATTGAGCGACTTTGAGTCGCAGGTCTAGCTCGTGTATATCTTCTGAGAGCTCCGCGAGCATAGTCGCCTTCTTCCTTTTGTACTTGGACAGCAGGCTCGCGGGCCGACCTTGCGAGTCCGTGGGGCTAATGAGAGGAGACATTCTGGAAGATGATCGAGGACAGGGGGTCTCTTGCACTGTGATTGTGTCTCGAATTCGCCTTTGATCATGGGGTGTTGATTGTTGCCGGTTCTCTGCAGGCTCCGTACTCCAACTTTGCACTGACTGCCGGCGAGTTGATCGGGGTGTCGTTTGCTGCGCTTCTGACGAGGCAGCAGCGGCCGCAAGTGTCTGAAGACGGTCTACGCCTGATGGTCTGACTGGTTGTGTCGCATTGGGCGATTGGATCTGCACCGAAGAAGATCTTGCTCTGGTAGCTGGATCTCGGTGAGGGAACTGCATGAAAAAAGAAGGCAATTAGCTCTTCGCACCGAGTTTTTTGTTCTCGGTCGTGTGACGCCAGAATTATGAGCACCACAATAATTGAAACGGGTACAAAGGGGAAATTACATGTGCCTGAAGGACCCCTTTGACATCACCGTGGGTAAGGAAATTCCGTGGCGGCCCCCGGTTCCGGTACGAATCGTTTTGGCGAGTCTCGATTTCGGTGGCCAGCCATGACCGGGCTTGGTCGAGTGATGTTTCCTGCGCCAGAATGGCGAGGCTGTGGCGGAGATGATTACTGAACTGCTTGGGCGACCGGTCGGAACCTAAAATTTCATGGAGATTCGAAATATCCCAGCGACTTAGGATCTTTCTTGTGGGCGGGTCGACATGACTGCTCTCCATCTGATAATGCAGAGAAAGGTACAAATAGATGTCGTCGTTGAAGGGGGCGACAGGCTCTGTAGTTTTGTTGTTGTAAGTGAGAAAATGGGCGGATAAACTGTTGAGGCGAGGCGAAGGCGGAAGCGGCAGGTTGAATGGATTGAGGTGTTGATAGGGAAAGAACGAGATACATGCGATAGAAGGAAAGGTGAAGACTTGTCGGATGAATCTCGACCTGACCTTGACCGCGTCCACGTGGCACCCCGCTTTGATCTCTGTCCAATGGGACGTTGCAAATGACATTTTGGCCGGTTCAACTCCAGATGCACGGGCCTTGTCTGTCTTGTAGTCTGAGAATCCATCCGATAGATGACAATGACAGGTTTGTCCGACAGATTTTAATCCGACAAGTTATCTACCATCAAGCCATGAAGTGCTCCGCCTGCTGAACAAACTCAGCCTAAACCACACAAAAGAAATTCTGTTAAAAGGGTTCATGTAAGACGTAAGTAATAACGAACCTTTGGCTTCTGGTCGAAACGAAGGGTCATCTTGGGCGCATTCAGCGCATTGCTTTCGTTGTCATCTACATGACAGTCCCTTGTACTGTGCCACCTCTTCCATTACTTCATGCTTCCATGCTACTGCTTCTCATGCACCCGAGTATCTAGCTGTTTGAATCCCCATCTGTTCTCACTCACGACCGTGACATCGCAATCTATCACTGTTGTAGTCCCCCGGTGTCGCACACTCTTGCTGCTAAGAAATAAATGACGGTCGACTCAGATACCCACTTCACCGCGCAAGTTGCAAATACAAGGGGAAACAAAATCCACTAAAATAGATGATGAGAAAGAACGAGAGCTAGTTTTTGGCCATTTGCATGGAGGCCAGAGTTGCTTACTTCTAGGGTATCATTCAGTTTAACGCCAAATAAAGAAAAAAAGAGTTGAAAAGAAGGAAGTCATGGCATCACAAAACACACCATTCGCCAATTGCATATCGGCCTTTCCCCCCCACAATAAACAACTTACTCAGCTGATCCCTCCCATCTTTATCCTCGTCTTCAAAGTCTCTTCAGCCTTGATGAGCACAGCCAACATCATGGACCATATATTGCAGATTGCCCTGTTGGCTTTTGTCATCTCCTCGACCTTGCCTAGCTGCTCTTTGAAATCATCCAAGACTTTTGAGGAACGCAAATGTCCTCTGCGGGCTGCAGCCTGACGATTATGGATCCTGAGTTCTAACATGCTTATTTTAGCATCTTTCTCGTTTACAATCGATGAGCACTTTCTGTGGAGGATGGAAATAATTTGCTTTGCCCCATTCACTTGGCGCATTTCGGTACTCCACGAAGCAATTTTCTCCTTGGCTTGAGCGAATATCCGCTGAGTTTCTCGATGCCAAGCTGTCACGGCCTTGAAATGCGCATCGGCATCCGCCTCGTCTTTTATCGAACCTTCCACATGGGGCACTGTAGGCAATACGGAGAGCAACATGTCGTCGGCGTCGAGGTAGAAATCTCGAAAGCAGCGATCGAGGGCCATGTATGATCCCTCGTGAGGCGACTGTGACTGATACTGCGGCTCAATTTCGGGATTTGCAGCTACATTCTTCTTGAACACGACAATGGCAGCAATCAACGCTCTCCAGAGCCTGGTGTTAACTCGTGCGGGGATGGGCAGTTCGGCGCTCAGGTAAGCAGTGTTGACAATGACTTGCAAACCACAATCAGCTCTATTCTTCTGCTGAGGGCACGCCATCGCTTGGAGGAAACAATTATCCATCGAAATGCCAAAGATGCCAACAGTTGGCGGATGCGGGCTTCGGCCGCAGGCATGTGCTTCGTGTAGTGGATGGAATCGTAAAGCCATGTCTCGATAGTTTCTTTTCCCGGTTTCACCACAGCTAGAACCCATTTGTTATTTAGATGCAACGGCATTATCACTTTGTTCTGTGATTGATCAAGGACCTTGATGAGATGCGCTCCAGGTGCTGGATTGGCCTCTGCGCCTGTGGACAAGGAGGAGACTGATATCCAGCTTGGCTGGGAAGAGCTGGCTATGATGATCACGCAATCATCAATGACATCTTCATTCAGTCGGTTATGTTGCTGGACGAGGGTTGAATGCTGGTACATTGCGAAGGCAGTTCGAGGCCGCTTCAAGGGGCGGTCGCTCAAGGAATCTGCGTCTGCGGCGGCCGGAGACTGTACACCATCCGGAGGTGCGGGCAATGAGGATGGAAAACAAGCAATCTCTCCCATGTTATAGTTTCGTCTAACCCGTTGAGTGGTAGCCGTGTTGAGGTGGGAGAGAAGATACTGCTAATTACGAGGTGGGATGTTGTTGGAAGTTAATTATTAACGTCAACTGATCAGTGAGCGGATTAGAATAAGGCAGGCGAGCCCCTCTCGGGTGGGTTTGGGGTACTTCTTGGCGTCTCCTTCTTGTTCAAGGCACTTGCCTACAGGCACCTAAGATGTTAATGCTTCTTTCTCTCCCTTTTGAACACAGTCTATGACTTTAACCATCCACTGCTTAATAATCCCTCATTTTAGTGATATAAACAGTACCTGCTACAACCTACTCTATTAGATTAGTCATCCTCACATTTCAGGCCTCACTCATATCTGCTAACATCACCACTATCAACCAACTCGTCTCAAACCTTTTACTCTGAATAAATACACCACAACACACAGGATGAGTATGCATGTTTCGAAAAAAGACAGAAGAAAGTCTTTAATGAGCGGTGACAAGATTGCCCAGCCTAGAGCGACTTACAAATTATGAAGCATTGCAAGCAATTGCTCCGCACCTGAGCAGTTGTCTGCCTCAAAAGATAGTGGTTCAGCAGCTGGGCGCCTCAATAATATGAGGGCCAACAAACATAAAATTTCGACCAAGTGACTGCGGTATCACATCAACTGATCCCAAGGATTCGCAGTTTTATCCATGTGAGCGCCGAGAGTAATTTAACATTCACGAAGCGATGGGGAGCAAGCATTCATACTCCCTTGTCTACAGAGAAGTAGTCTCGTTGACACTCTAAAGTGAGCCTCATAAGCGTGTTAGGTATTATGGCATCGCTTCTACTACCAACTTGGCGAAAATTGTAATCATATTACTAAGAGAGGTCGGCAAGCCGGCACATTTGCCCCAGCGACGCCAACTCCAACCGTCGACCTGAACGGTGTGCCTTTTCTGCCACAATCTTCTGATCAACTTCCTCCTGCATCGGCATCTGCGGTCGGGCTTTGCCATCTCGGACCCACATGGTTAGCACAAGATTCCGGGTCTCATATGCATGTTTGCCTCCCCTTCCCTGTTACAACGTACGGCACAGCACTTTGCGAAATGGAGTGCAATCAAAACAGGCTACCTCCGAGAAACCCACCTTGAAATGTGTGTTGGTGCTAGCAGTCAATGAAACGAGATGAAGGATCCACTCCTTTCCAGCCCGTTTTGCCATTACTTTTGAAAATACACGATCGCATCAAGTTGAGCTCAATCTGCACCTCGATTGCCGACGAAGAAAGTAAAGATGCCTGGTCTTTGTTATTCTATAGACTCTTCATCGTCTAACCGGGCATCACTAGCCCTGAACCAAAAAATACCGCCCGTCAGAGAGCCTACCTATGATGGGCCGAACGATATACTAGCATGGGGCTTGGAAGGTGCGTGAAGTTAGACATTTGCCCCTCTTGAAGAAGCCCTGGGCAGCTCTGGGAAGCATCTGGACTGACATGATCTTGGATATCAGCTGTCAAGAAGTTCACACCAGCACAGCAAACTAGCGCGACGAAATCAATGACGCCAAAAGAGATCGATATGCCAGAGAGAGGCCCGACATTATTTCCCATGATGCCGCGATATAGAGATCGAACGACCTGATGTGCAGCTGATCGACGTCGACGAGATTACCTTGCGTTGGAAACGATGTAGCATTCTCGGCAAGACAGATAGCATCGGACGCCATTTAATGGCCGCATCGACGTCGCTCAAATACCGATACTGCGGCCTCTTTTCTTCACACAAAAACCTATGAGTTGCCTATTCGTAAGATGGCGTCATTGCCCTGCTCTAGAAGCACAGTCTGACTTTATTCAACGCCAACACGAATGCCAACTTTGATGTTTGCATAATGATACTTCTTCTTGTTTTTGTAGAGTTTTCATTTCATTATTGTTCCCAACTTTAGGCACAAAAGTCAAGATGGCGATAGAAGGTTGAATCGGTCCATTGACCGGCTTCCCGTTGTGATGGAGCTCAAACTCTCCACCCCAACCTACTCTGGCATATTGAGATGATACTACCACGAGCAAACACCGTGAGAGATACAGAGTATAATGGGAAGTTGTGGTAAGGGATAGAGAGAGGGTATGGAGGACTAAGGTGCTTGGAGTTGAGTTATGTTTATGTAGCATGCCGACAGAAGAAAACGATCTTGTGTTAGAAAGCAGAATGGGCGAGTCTCCAAAGGAACTCATGTGTTGACACCACTATTTTGATGACTAGAATGGTTTGTCTCCAGTGTGAAAATCGGAATGTTCTTGGCTCGGGTAGCAGCAGCTCGGACGCGGCTAATGAATCGATATTTGTCGGGAACAAGAGGCAAAAAGAGACCCATGAACGCACAGGTAGCAAACATAGAAAGAACAGGGGAAATGAGCGAGGTCGAGATCAAAGAAAAGTGGCATTAGTAGCTGAGAAACCACAAATTTTTACATGAGTCGACTTAGTTCTGACCTTAGTACAAATGGTCACTTACCGGAAGAGGTGCTCTTGTTCTGTTCAATTAGCCAAGTCATCTCTAGTCTCCGTGGCCTAGCTTCTGATAAAGGTCCCCCGTGTTGCTGTTGAGTGCAAAAGCTAAACTCTATAATGCATCTCTGAACCAAAGACTGCCGAAGGAGTGGCGAAATACCATCATTACCAAGTCCCTTGTATCCTTGAATGGCTTCGCCGTATATAGTGGTGTTCATGAGAAATATAGACTCTGGTTTTTAGCAAAACTGGAAGAGAGACAATGTTTGACATGTGGTAAAAGCTCCGGACCTCCGGACCTCCGGACCCACTCCGTCGCGCCCCGGCCGTGTGAGGATGTGACGGACTCGCTCCGGCGACAGAGTTCTTGAACAACTCTTAATTTACTTGCTCGCTTGGAGAACACAAGCAGGTTTTTTTTTTTTTTTCTTTTTTTTTTTTTTTTTGTGATAGTTGCTGCCGCCCATATTGTAGTCCACGACATGATGCTATTGAAAAGCCTCCGCGTGCCTTCCCTGCTGTGACGCATAATTCCCCCACCTCTTTCAAGTCTTCGCCTCCTCTCTGAAGGCCTATAGGGCCAGTTTTCCACCAAAAGTCTACATAATCTCGACTTGGAGAGCCAAATCGCCTTAAAAACCACATGCGAAGGATATTTCATAGGTTGCAGATGGCGACGCCGCCGCCTTCTTTAGCAGACTTCCATAATTCTGCCTCACAAATAACAGCTTCTCTCAAATTCTGTCACCAGTAGCAGATGCTCCAGAACAAACACCAGTCAAGAAAGCCGGGTTCGAGCCTGCTGGAGAAGACGCCAACACAGCTAGCCCCAGTCAGTCTTCAAGGGTGAAGGGTCAAACACCGCCGACGGTTGTAGCGGCAGCCGCACACCAGACTTCAGCACATTTAAATACAGATATGAGGTGCTATCCCACTGAGCTGAAAACGCAAAAAGGGTACGTAAAAGCAAGCTGCGCACTTGTTGTTTGGCTGCGCTTAAGCAGGGACAATGCGTGGGCACAGCCTCACGCCACATCAATCGTGGCGTAGCCAGTAACATCTAGTATGTCTTGGGAAAGTCTTCCAGGCGCCGACGACTAAGGATCCTCCATTGATGCTGTAAAAACCTCTACTGGTGAGGTATTTTTCAATTGGAGAGGCTATCGGATTCGAGACGGTTCTACGTGGGAAACTGAGGAACAGTTGTGGAAGCCTGTCGGTCGATTGTCCTTCGTTTCGAATTTGCAGCGGCAGGAATGGGAGGACAAGGCGTTTGCGATTAAAAGAAACTTTGGATCCCTTTACTGCTAGTAAGATTCTGTGCATTAAGGGTCAAGTCGCAGCTCGAAAAACCATTAATCTTGTTGATTATGTCGACCACGAGAAGCCCCTGTGGGAGTCTAAGGGCCGCATCCCCGCTGAGGCTGCAAAGGGATAGGCGAGGGATTAAAGTTGCGTGGCAAAGGCCTAATGGGTTTGTTCTCGATATGGTAGACGCGGTGTGTCTCAGGCCCTTGTGGGAAATGTCTTGCTTCATGTTACTTGGTTGCTACATTTTGCTGCTATGGTTGTGGTGGACAAAGAACGTGGGATCGTACTAGTGGCTGCTTTGGAAGTGAAACGCACGTGCTTCTATATTCAGCGGGCGACAGCACCCTGGCGCTTGCGATTGTCGAATGACCTTGACGCTGCAGAATGGGTTTCAATAAGTCTCCAAAATATTTGGCTTGACTTTTTGAAACAGAGGTTCTTTACCTTCCCTTAAGCTGATGGATTGATGTGAGTGCTGGGGGTTGATTGCGATTAGACGTAATGTTGCTGTGAATATCTTACTACGTAGTGATGGAAAAATTGAGAATGTATCCGTTAGATTATTCATGTTGTAATATATCCACAGGCTTCTATTCACAAGATATATAGCATTCTTTTTCAATTGTAGTACTTATACCAGAAGAGCTGACATGACTGTAACACCAAAAAAATGCTTCTTGCTTCATTTATCAGCCTGTATCAGTCCAATATCCTATCGAAGCCTGCAAGGCAACATTAACATCAGTCCCAATCTTCCACCCAATTTTTACCCCTCACGAAAATGATACATGGATGTTGGTTGTCAACCTTGCTGAGTGGCTAGTTCCCCTCACAGCTGAGTATCTAGTGCCTCATGACAGTTGAAGGGATAGCCTGCGTGGAGTCGCTTCCTTAGCCCAGACTCTTTTTAGCGGAGCGCTAATAAACACGCTTTGTCTTGATCAGGTCAAGATTTTCGGACTTTGTGCCATGAAAGGGTTAGAAGGAAGATATGATTATTTTTGTGCGGCTGAAAACAATAGAGCTCAGGAGGCCATGGGGGTGGCAGCATGCTCATAAACATGGCTGACAATGGAGCGGGTCGAAGGCAGATCGCAAGATCATGGCAAATGCAAAATTATCTAGAGCAACGGAAATTTTGAAATCGGAGAAATAGTATCATCAAAGGGACGGAAACTATTCAGATAAAGAAAATGAACGTTGTTGGTTGTCTTTAACCCGCTGTCCAATTGTCCTCAGTACAATGCTTTGCTAGACTTACTTTTGAAATACTCGAGATGGACGCACATGTGAATCCTAGATAGTCCCTTTTAGATCTCCAACATTGTCTTGTTTTTCTTTCAAGGCTGTGATTTGCGGATTTGTGGTGAAAAGAAGCTTAACCTGACCGCCACAAAACTTTATCGCGTTGTTGGTTGAGGGAATTGCCTTGGCGTTCGACTAGTCGCATTTCTATTCGCATTCTTTTGAGATTGCTATTTCCAGGGTGGCTGGCTAGAACGGGCTTTGCTTTATCCTCCCTTTTTCATAAGCGAAGAGGCGTATAACCATCGTCAGCCGCAACGCCTAAGTAGATTATCGGAGATAAGGCCAAAAAGATGGCACATGAATGAAGAATGCCTCGTATAAATTGCTGTATATCATGAAGATGCAACTCGATTGAATGTTTGATCTGTACTCCTTGTCTTCCTTTCATCGTCATCAAACAACTTTGTTTCACTTCAAAATGTCTCTCAAGCAAATTCTTCTCACTGTTTCCTTCTTGAGCCTCGCGGTCGCTCAAGAAAACGTCACGATCACCGTTCCAAAAGGCTTAACCCGCATTCTCATCAAAGACACCACCAAGAGAAACCCAACGTGCGGTGACAACATCTGCCCTGCCAGCCAATGCGGTAAATGGATCGGCCAAAGTGACAACAGCTGTTGCGCGCTATGGACAAGCTCTAGCGGTCCAAACAACTGCGACAGCGTGAAAACCTTGATGTCAAATTTCGGCTTCAACGGAGATGGAATCGCTGGAAGTGGTGATTTCTGTACCAGAGGTGGATGGCGAGTCTCTGCAACTTACGAGTTCTGCTGCCCATTGAACTATCACGGCGTGGAATACGATAATGGAGATCGCATTTACAAAGTCAGATGCGTTTCGTCTCTGGATCCAGCGAAAGTGGACAACATCATCGAGCTAGAATGGCCTGGTGGCAGCGGCTCTAGCACTCCATCGGCATCAGGAAATTCGGGCGCTAGAGCTACTAGGACTTCAGCTTCAGGCAGTGCAGCGGCGGCAACGAGCACTACCACTGGCAACGGAGCCGGAATTTTGAACGCTGGAATGGCATTGGCTGCAGGAGCGGCCTCTTTGATTGGACTTGTACTTGGTGCTTGATTTTTTCAATTATACTGGCATGGCTATACAGCAGGTGATGTAGGAGGAGTTTCTATTTAAGTTGAATTACTGTATCTTACTATATCTTGTAACTCTTACTCATCTACCATGTTCTTCCCCTTTGCAAAGTCCTCTGATATTGCCTCGTGAAGTCTGATTCCCTTCCGAATCTCAGCAATCTTTGCTATTGTTTAGCGGCCTGACTAGGTGTAATTAATAGCAAACCAGACGCTTGTTCTAGGGAAATGTGACAATTTAGAGCTTGCAAGTGCTACAAAACGGTTTATACTACATCGAAGCAATAAGAAGTAAGAAATGGGTTTTGTCTAAGCATTTTCCTTTCAAGTGATTGAATGGCTCCTGGGTCAACAGGACCGAAACGTTAGGTGCATGCCTCGTTAGTTACAATGAACGTCGCAGGAGCACAGCCGACTGTTTATCTTGATTTAGCGTATCTAGGTCCTAGGTCCGATTGCTTACGTCTAGGTGCATCAGGATTGTCTTATTCTTGATTTGCCTTGATGTCTAACGCCAAAAAAATACTGGGTCTTTAAATTTTAAAGCAGGATACCTTGCTTTTTACGAGTCATCCGATAAAAGATGACGCACGCAGGGTCCGGCCTCGGTATCAGCTTTTGGAGTGACCTCAATATAATTTCGTAGCTGTTTAATGAGCATGCGGTTCCGGAGAAAGCCTACTTCATCTTTCTAAAAGCAAACGTGAACACCAAATTCTCGAACGACTTTTCGAAATGTTGACCGATTACTTGATCTTGACTGGCGCAGCCTGGAACTATTACGGGGCTATAAGAAGCCTTACAAATATGATTTCGGGCGGCCCAAAAATTGCCCAATCTGGTCAAGCCTTACAACAACAGATGTTCATTACCGGCACGGGTGCGACTTTTGGCTCTCTCTACTTATACGTTTTTATACGACCGGAGTACATCAATCTGTTCCTTGCTTTTGGAGCATTTATCAAGTACTGGGCATTTTGAGCGGATTTGTGGCGTACAAATATCACAACTTGCCACGTGCACAATTCATTCGGTTCGGGCTCGGTAATGGCTTAATCGGAACGCTGTTGTGGATTGCTTTCGCTGCGCGTGTAATCCATTCACCTTAGCACTACACTTAACGGTTGCGAGCCATACTTGAGGGCTTGGTCTAACGGTTGGTGGAACCGGGCAGGGGTTAGCATCATAGAGTTTCTTCTCCTTTTGTCATCCAGGGTGGTCAGACAGACGGCTTGACATGTAGTCAAGGGCCCTACCAAGTGAGATCTCGAAACTCAAGTCTACCGTAATGCGGGGTAAAGTCAATCAATATTACTGTAATGGGTTTTGATATCTTAGACGAGGAGGCTCTTAGAACAGAGAAATAGGGTGTGGAGCATTGCCTCCTCGTATCGAATACGCACTTAATCCGTTAAACTGCTTCTTTAAATCTGAACAGGGAAGTAGGGTTGAGACGTCTAAAACCAGCAGACATATCCCGTGTCACTAAATTCTTTACTTGGGCCGTCCAGTATCAGTCAAAAGAATGTCGAAACTTATTGATGCATATGTGACAGCGACGCTATCGTGATTTCTAGCTTGCGAGATTAAGATAAGCTGATCCTAACTCAGATTTTATAATGTTCCCAGCCTATGATCTTATATATCATGCCATAAATCGAAACTAGCTCTCGAACACCCATCGGCGAGTTTAGTCACGTTTGACTGGTCGATCGTTAGTGGATTGCTTTACAGGTTGGTAGTGTTGTCACCATATTACAGAACAAATTTTCTTCCTAAGATGAAATATAGATCATGACAAGCTAGGTGAGATTTCACAGGAATAAAGGTGGTGCTCACTTGTTCAACAGACGGTTGCCATTAGAAACCGTGGGTGGAGCATGTCTTCAGACCTGAACATGACTTTGCCAGAAAATATTTCGCAGTTATCATTAGAAAGAATGGCGTGCTCCATGCGCCATCAACATCTGTATGATCTTATTGTAACCACCCATTCGCGCGCACTCTAGAGCGGTACCAAGCCACCCACCAGACATGTTGACGTTGGCGCCATGGCTAAGAAGCATCTGGACGATACCGTTGCAGCCTTTGAAAGAAGCTGACTGCAGAGCATTGCCGTAGTGTTCGTCGTAAGCATCCAAGTCCGCACCATTCTGGATCAAGATTGCCGCAACGTCAACATGGCCCTCCCAACATGCGGCTTGAAGAGCGCTGCGACTGTTACCCTTTGCATTGACGTCTGCGCCCTTCTCAATCAACATCTGAACGATGCGTTTGTGGCCTCCGAAAGATGCGGCCTGAAGTGCAGCACCGAACGATGTCCCTCGGGCGTTAACGTCGGCACCGCGGTCCAGCAGAAGTTGCGTGACGCTTTCGCGCCCTGTGAGCGATGCGGCTTGAAGAGCTCCGCCGTAGAAGCCAGTCTCTGTGTCGATATCGGCACCACGATCTAGTAACAGGCGTACTATTCTCTCGTGACCTTCGGCACACGCTGCTTGAAGGGAAGTACCGTAATGACCGATGTTTGCATTGATATGAGCGCCATTCTCGAGTAGTGAACGCGCTATGTTCTCGTGGCCTTCTGCACAAGCAGCCTGGAGAGGATTGCCGTACCATCCTCCTTGCTCGTTGACATCGGCACCGTTGTGAATGAGGCTGCGAACGATCTCATCGAGACCTTCAGCGCACTTCACTTGGAGAACATTGTCGCTGTGTCCCTCATTGTCGTAGGTGAGGGGTTTTCCATGGGACGAGCCCTTCCCCAACGTTGGAAGCGCTGGCAAACAAGCAGGTAGTGTCGACATTGAGGCCATGACGGTGTCGAGGCGCGAGTAAATTTAGTATGCTTACAGCTAGTGTAGGCAGTGCCTTAATGTTAAGAAGAAAGAATTTCTAAAACCTCGCGATTGAGAGAGTTGAGGCTGAGAGTAAAGTGTATTCCTCCCCTTAATTGATGACTGGGAATAGATACATGTATGTGAGGGGGTTAGCCACCCAGCGGCAGGCCAAGGAATTTTGAACCAACCAAATCGTCCAGATTCCTGGTACTTCCATTTTCCAAATATTCTTGCTATCAAAGAAGTACTCACTAACATTTCAGCTGAAGGAAAGCAAAAGGAAAACATACACGTTAACAACATGACGTTACATGCTTTTTCGTAAGGGGTGGCTGGCTGTAAGATTGGTAAAATAGTACCTACCTATCATCAGGCTGCAGCCAACAAGACTTTTACAAAGCAAAAGCTGAAGCAATATTAAGCACATTCTTATTTACCACCTTTCTGCATTATAGAGCTACGCTAGCTAGCTCCTCAATTGTTTGATTATAATAGGCCTTAAGTTGTATTTGTCAACTAACAGACTTCAGATATTAACACTCTTTTCTACCCATTGTCATCTCTCTCATCTCCTGATCTACCATCTGAACATACCGTTCTGCTTCCGGACCTGAAAGCCCGTATCCAAGTCGGACTAATTCGTACGTTAGCTCCTCTTCCCTGTCAAGAAAGACGCTAATCTTTTCGACTACGCCATAGATACGGGAAGCCTTTCCCTCCAGAACCTGGGCAATGGAGCTATGCAGTGGACTACCTCTCTTTTCTAGCGCTTGTTCCGCATCCAGAAATTTCTGTCGGTATAGTAACCTCGCTCCAACCTGCCGCGACACATTGCGATGGGCCATGTGGCCCGCGTCATGCAGAATCTTTGCAATCTCTAGGTCGGGAGTTACAAGCGGGATTGGCATGTGGTAGTGATTAATCTCCCAAGGGGCTGTCTGGGCGAACTCCCAGTCTATAACAGCGACAAAGTTGAAAGATTCGTCAACGAGGATGTTTTGCATGCCCATGTCCATGTGATTGAAATGAAAGGGCCCTCGGCTGCTCTTGAAGATATCCGTATCATGCACTATCTTCCGAAAAACGAGAGGCCCCAAGGTCGCAAAACGGCTGATTTCCTCGGCGCTGGAATCCTTCCTTCGGAACGCCTGGGCGACAAGACCTTCGGCCACAGCCACAAAATACTCCCAACCTGAATGAAAAGGGCCGGCGGTTGGAAGACCATCCATGGAAGCTGTAGCGACTGCACCAATTACTACACCACTATCCGGGAAAAATTGGGAGATTGAGCCAATCTGCGGAAAGGTGAAAGTTGCAAGTTCCGCCTGAAAAGATGTCCATTGGGAAAAGATGTGCTCTTGGGTCGAGATCTAACACCTCCAAAGGGTTTTGGTTAGAGCCATGACTAGATTACTTAAGTACCAAGGCGGAAACAGGGGCCACTTGCAGAAAGATTGTAGATGTTTTGTTCTACATCTTGGAGGGAATTGCCATAGAACCCTTCCATGAGCATGTACGTTGCGCCAACCTCAATGGCCCTTAATGACCCAGAAGCTTCGTACGCGTAAATTGTAGGCAACGAGACGGTCTTGATGTTCGCCTTCACGAACTTCATCGTCGCCACCTCGCATTGAACCAAGTACTCCTCGTCTGCCTCCGTGGTGCGACTGTCCGGATGCCTCGGTAAGCGAACTCGCGCGATGAGGAAGCGGTCTTTGTCGGACGCAACGAGCTCGAAGCAGCACCAGGACTGGCCAGCAGAAAAAGGCTCACTCATGGATGCGGGTGAGCTGAGCACGACCGAGGCATGCTCCGTCAACGCCGCCTTGTTGATGGTCCTTATGAACTCTTCGAGACGCTGCCTCATGCTGTCGTCGTTCCAATCATCGAAAGACGTCCAGCGTTCGCTGGGCAGAGCTTTCTTGGGTACTTTCACGTCTTCAGGCATGATACTTTTGGACCAGGTTGGTGATTTATTGCATAATTTGTGAATTGATTTGCATCCGAGCTGAGTAGAATGGTTTTAGAAAAGAGGGCCCGTTGACCAAGGAGATCGATTCATAAGCTACCAGAAAATCCAAGCAGCTAGGCAGATAGGCTCATATGGAATGGCACCAATTGAAATGAGCGATATGCGCCAACATTCGGGGCGCCCAACGGTTTCATGTATGCTGCCTCACCGCTGGATCTTAGATCACCAGCTGTCGCCAGCCTCTGCCAGTACCTCCGTGTAGAGCTCCAGTTCCACAGTCAAGACGGGGGAAAATTCACTTTTACACACCTTATATCTACACCATAATAGGAACGACCTCACGTTAAAATTGCCCGTGTTGAGAACGAAAGACAACTCGGGAGTCAGAAGTGAACCCTTTAGCCTTGTTCGCACTTCTCTGCACGCTGGGACAAACATTTCCTGTCGTTGACATTACCGAGCATTGAATGGTTTGGTCACAACACTGGGATCGGCCTTCTTTTATTCATTCATATACCAATAAAGGCTAAAGACTAAATCGAATGTATGGATGGCCCCTCTATTGAGTCAATCGGCTGATACCGCTGTTGTGAGATTTCTCGGGCTTTGATAGTATTTCTTTGATGTCATGCAGGTGTCAATATCTTTGCAAACCTTTCAACTGCAAACAAACTACAAAAGCTTCTAGAAACTTCATACATAACATAGACTAGTCTTGACTCTCATATCAACTTATTCAACCAAGCTGCTCAACGCGTAGACTCGCCATTTTATATGTCGACATTGTTTCACTCTATAGGCCTACGCGCAAAACAGTCAGCTTGACCTTTAGTGCAGAGAATTAGTGAGTAATGTTAAGACTTATTGTAAGCAAGATGCCTGATGTAAAGTGCTTTATCTCATCCTTTGTGAGTGGGGACATATGCGGGCAGTCGAGTTGAGTGACTATGCCAAGATGCTGTTGGTTGCATCTCGGTTAATTGCATCCCAGTCATGTCGCTCTTCTCTTCTGCCTTTCCTCCCTCCGTCTCTTTCTATTCTTTCTCCCAGCTCTAGTACCTCTCAGTTCAAATCTCAAGAAAGCATTGCCTTTTCTTTTTTACTTACTCTTGAGAACCATGCAGCTTCCCGGAAAGGCAAAGTTAGCTTGGCTCGATGGTCTTCGGGGCATCGCAGCGCTTCAGGTGTACTGGCATCATCATCAACAATGGGCACACACCGTGTCCCAAGGCATCACGCTCGAACGATCTTTCGGTTACAAGAATGCGCATCACTTTGCTACTCTTCCCATTATCCGATTACTCTTTAGTGGCGGATATTTCGCTGTCGCTATATTTTTCCTGGTATCTGGCTACGGACTCGGAGGCTTGTTTTCACAATGTCGTTCAGCCACTTATCGATGTCGAAAACCAAACTGATGGAGACATCAAAGTTATAGCGATGCTACGATACGCATCCCCGGACCCAAAGGCCCGCGAGGCGTCAGAGGAAGCCGTCAGGCTTTTGGGAGAATGCGATTCGGAATTCACGGCCAGGGAAGATCTTTTCATCCTCATCAAGGCAGTACATGACCGGGGCGAAGCCCTCGACCCGGAGGCAGTCAAATACCTGGACAATTTGGTCCAAAGCTTCAGGAGATGCGGCCATGGCTTACTCAGTCGCCCCCAGCTTAAACAATACTTGACGACCCGGAACCAGATCGATGAGCTGCGGCGGGAATCCAACCGAAGTATCAGGGAAGAAGAAGGCGGCGTCTGGTTTGCCCTGGAGGATCTGGACGGGGTACCCGGTGATGCCCTTGCTCGGTTCCAACACGGTACGGAAAGTGGACAAGATGGGATGAGATACGTTCATTTCAGGAAAGCTGAAGGCGACAGTGTCCTGAAGTACGCCACGAAATCGTCAACGCGGGAGAAGATGTACACCGCCAACGCCCACCGACTACCTGAGAATGTTGATTTATTTAAGCGCATCATCAAGCTGCGGGACCAGAATGCCCGACTACTCGGGTATTCTAGCCACGCATCCCTCAGGCTCGAAAGGCGTGTGGCCAAGTCCGTAGAATGGGTTTCAGGCCTCTTTGAGGGACTTGAAAAGGCTTTCCGGCGGAAAGGAAGTCAGTAGATTCTGGCTTTGCTCAAACTAAAGAAATTCCTCGCAGAAGGGGGGGCAAATTTGGAGAATTACCTGGAAATTGTCACGCCATGGGATTATGCTTTCTACACACGTCTCGCTCTTGAGGGTTTCACCGTTGACCACGCCAAGGTATCAGAGTTCTTCCCCTTGCGTCATGCAATACAAGCAATTCTAAGCCTTTTTTCCTCCTTTCTGCAGCTCAGGTTCGTCCCGGCACCACCGGAGCTCGTGTCAGGCTCCATGTGGCATGAAGATGTGGAGGCGTGGGGTGTCTGGGAGGAACGAGAAGCGCAAGAGGGTGAGTTCATCGGTTACTTGTTCATGGACCTTCTTTGGCGACCTGGAAAGTACAAAGGATCGCAGAATGTCAACCTCCAGTGCGTGAGTTTGTAAACAGCCTCTGTATCATGTTTTCAGCATTAAAACTAACAGTCTTCCTATTTAAAAGGGATATTTGAAGGATGACGTAACTCGTGTTTACCCTGCAACCATCCTCATGTGCTGCTTCCCTCGTCCTACAACTGCCCCTTGCCCATTACTAGAGCATCGCCAGATCGTCTCATTGTTCCATGGTAAGTAGCATCACTTCCAAGGTAAACTTCACACGGAAGATTTTGATTCAAAATGCGCAGAACTGGGCCATGGCATTCATGACCTCGTATCGAAGACTTCGTACACAGCCTTTCATGGCCATAGAGTCCCTACTGATTTTGGAGAAGCTCCGAGCGTCATGCTGGAGAATTGGTGCTGGCTTCAGGATGAGCTTCGCAAGATGAGTTGCCATTATACCAAGTTGGGTCCAAGCTATTTGAAGAAGTGGCAAGAAACATACGGAGACCAAATTCCACCAGACACCCTCCCGGATGCAATGCTGGACGGTCTTATTCAGAGTCGTGACTTGAACCGTGGTCTATGGTTCCTTCGACAACTGTGAGCCGCTCACTTTCATATCTACCTGACTCCCCACTGTACTAACTGAACGCCAGCGCATGTGCCCGTTTTGGCATGGCTGTCCATCATCACCCAGATCATCAATCCTGCGAGGAAATAGACCCGACAAGCGTCTATAATGACCTGATGGAGGACTTGATGGCCCTGCCTCATCCTAACCCAGTCGACCGCGGACACCCACACGCTGACTTCAGCCATGTGGTTTCTGGTTATGACGCAGGGTACTATTCCTATCTAAGGTGAGATGCCGAGATCTGTCCCTAACCAATACAACAGCCAAGCTGACCAACGTGACAGTGCCCATGTCTTTGCCGCCGATCTGTTTTACACCGCGTTCGCGCAAGATCCTCGTAACAAGACTGCATGGGAAACATATCGTTGCGAAATCCTCGAGCCTGGCGAAAGCAAAGATGAGCTGACAATGCTGGAGACCTTTCTCGGCCATGCTCCTGATCCTTCTGTTCTTCTCCAAACATTCGACTCGGCCCAGGAAGGTACGCAAGGTTCACAAATCCATAGCTTACTGCTTTAGTGTGGGCGCTCTTGTATTTTGCTACATTCATGACATGCACAGAATCAGAGCTGGTTTATGGTGTTAGGATTTGTGTTTCTCGTCCAGGATTTTATGTGTGCGTCCTTTCAATCAGGATGGATAGGCGGCTGATTTGGCAACTGGCAAGCTGCTTGGCTCCCTTCACATCGCTTCTGAACTGAAACTGGGCCATGTGGAACTGAGATAAATACTTCGTGACGAACAGAACGAGGGCTTTGATAGGCTGCAGTTTTCTGCTCTGAAAATGCTAGATCTTTTTACTACGAATATTGTCTGATTGAAAGATATAAAATATCACCAAGTTCATTGACGATAGACGAACCTAGCGAGAGAGCTTAAACTTTACAGCCGACTTGGCTGTTACTAATGGTGAAAAACCAATGCTTACGGTAAGTTTCTTCCCGGATCGGCGGCGACCACTCGAACCAGACAAAATTCGAAGCTTAGCAGTGTCCTAAGTTCATAGCAGAGGTTTTGAACTTTATTTGTTTTCAGCAGGGGCTTGGACAGACTAAGCTGGACAATTGATACCACAAAGTCCGAATTTCCACGATAGATTGGCGGTTCAAAATCAGTGCGAACTTTATCTCACCCCAGTATAGTTTTCAAAATGCTTTTTTTGTTGTAAGTAAGTTAGTTCATAAACTACTATCTAGCTTTGGAATAGAAAGCCAAATAATCTAAGGTAGTTCTCTAATGTTCCTCGCGCTTGTCAAAGGTAATTTTGATGTCGTGACGCTCTTTTCATAGTTCTTACAGTTAGCCAGGGGCAACAACAGATATAGATTGAAGGCGTGGGATGGGACAGATGTATAAGAAACAGTGCAGAATTACAAGATACCAGCTAGAAGCAGCAGAGAGAGAAATACATAAATGCAGTTTTAATGATATAATGCCTCTTATTCAGAAGGATCTTACGGCAATGCTGCACAACATCTCAGTCAGTGATTACAGTTTGATTTTATACAAAAGAGTGTTAGACAATGGGATCCTGTCCTCGGGCTACGGACCGAAACTAGTTTAGGCCGTGCTCCGCGTCTAAACGGCCTACCAACAAAGCCACTGTTTCAATAAGTGCTCCAAAGCTCCACTTCCGCTTGGAGCAAAGCAAAGGGCACATCTTAGCTTATTAGGCTCTGGAAATGCGAAAGATGACAACTATATATCTCGATAAATAGCGCTCTAATACATTATAAGAATACCCTTCTAGTTTTGCTTGCTGTGGCTGAGTAATGTCACTCACAGACATCTCCCATGGCGTCTAAACTCCACGACACTACAGTAGGAATACGGCGATTTCCACCGTCTCGAACAAGATCTTCGACTAACCTAAAGCCACACACGCTCTACGGCCTCCCCTTTTGTATAAATACCGTCCAAGATCCTTATAAAATCTCAATCTTTCTATTTGATAGCGTCTAAATAGTCGAAAAACCTCTCACAGTAGACAGCAGACCACAACATCACTCGCTTTGTAAACTATGCTAGATAAACCCTTTAGGACTTGAATCATCTTTCCATTAATGAGATGCAGTATGTTTTTTCTAGTTACTTCGAAATACAATCAATACTTACATCTACCTAAAACATGAACAGTGCGTGATCGAAAGTTTTCACAGAGACAATAAATAGTAGGTGTGGAGGTAGGTTCATTAACTTGAAACAGAGCATTTACCTCACAATCAGTAATATCGGAAATCACGTGTGACCCTAAGATAATGACAGAGATAGGATGGCTCCTAACAACTCATGAGAAACTATAACCGTTTTCGTGTCTTCCTTGTTATGCACTAAAGTGGGCATCAGCTTTGGAGACCTTTGTTGTCACATCGCGGCATGTTGCGGTTGTGGCTTACTACGGTCTGGGTCTGCTAATAAGTCTTATCCTAAAGCATGTGTACATCATTATGTACTGGTGAGATTCTGGGAGCATGCAGCTAGTAACAGCTGTGAGGGACGTGGTTTTTAAGCCCTGGGAAAAACCGCAAGCGGTTAGGACCGCACGTCATTTCCAAACCCGGCCATACCTATGAAAGGCACTAACTTAAGAAGCCTCCACTGAAAGCTTGAACATCGATTTTGTTTCGCTGTATTAATAAAATGGCTCATTTTCCTTTTTCCCTTCTTCAATTCTCTTTTCCCCTCACGCAGCAGTTATATCATACATTTTCATCCAGGTTTAAAAATTGTGTCAACATGGACATGCACGCCATTTCGGTTAGTTCGGTCTCGGAGTTAACAATACGCCAAGCACAACCAAATGATACCAGAAAACCACTAGTAATCGGTGTGACATCGATGCTCATGACACTCGTCATGCTATTTATATGCCTCCGCATACATATCAGAGGCTATGTCCTAAAGGCCTGGGGATTGGATGACAGTTTTTTCTTGCTCTCTGGGGTGGGTTACCTAATTTACGGTAGCTATTGTCAAGTACTAATGCTAGATACCTTACTTTAGTTTCTTGCTTTAATGCATAGCGTATCAATCTTGCTAAGTAAGTATATAGGATGATAACATACCTTACTCTAATAACCTTTTTCCAAACAAAGAGTTATCTAATTGTTGGTATATCAAGACGCAACTGACGGGAACCTCGGTGTTCATATCTGGAACATAACCTTTGATGAGATACGAACTGAGATTCATGTAAGATCTCTTCATAGTCCTCCGTGAGATCCTATATTTATCCAAGCTACTGACGTTCGTAGTACACTTTGGCGACAGTGCTCATCTACGTCGCTGCATTCACCTCTATAAAGATGACGTATCTTCTACAATACCGCCGAGCCATTGCCGTTCGCTTTATGCAAACATTCTGTAATGTTTTTCTGGTTGTGCTTTTCATCAACATGTGTGCCATGTGCATATCTTGCGGCTTGGTAATGAAAATGCTTCTGGACCCTCAAAGCTTGTCGATTGATGCTCAGGCTTCACTCTTGACTTGGAGCTATGCACATTCCGCTGTTCAGTTATTTACGGATATCATTATATTTATTGTTCCACTACCTCTCCTGGGTCGGCTGAAGGTCTCAACAATGCAAAAGGCGGGCCTTTTTGCCAGTTTTGGTGTCGGTATCTTGTGAGTTGCTTTCTTTGTCGGAAGAGAATTACAATGTCTGTGTCATGTTGACAACTAATAGCACCTGCACGATATCCGTACTGAGAATCATCACCCTCAAAGAGGGATTACAGTCCGCAGACATATTTTACGAGTCTGTCCCGCTAGTTCTCTTAACAGTTGCCGAGGTTGCATCAGCAAATATCTGCATATGCATCCCGATTTTAAAGCCTCTCGGACTATTTTCAGGTATCTTTCACATATTCAAGCGGGGATATTGCATCCGATTGTCAAGGTTTATGAACAAATCAGACGCCAAAGAGAGAAAAACGGCAAACAAACCTGCTCCTTGTTAAACTCCCCAACAATGCCAGGAAAAGGTCACGGTGATAATTAGAGGAATTTGGAGGTTTAATTCAACTTATCAGTTCCTGCCATTGTGATGAAGGACGTAACATTAAAGGGTAAGAGTAAAGAGTAAAGTCATCATTTCCTTCTCAAGTGATTTTATCCTTGAACGTCAACTGTTAGGGTAGTAAAACAAGAGAACCCGCAAATCAGATTTCAACCACGTACATTACACGTCGAACAGTTGCAGACATAACTTCAAAATGCACTTAAACTAGGCACGTAAATTACTCGATTACCGGAGTAATGCTTTGAACAGCTACTGGTCGTAGCACTTAAATCATTTGCTGAGTTTCAATGAGCAAGTCGATTTGCAGCCGAATCGGTATTTACAAATCATATGGGCTGGTGAACTACGGAACAATATACCTAAATCCTATGCGTGAAATATGCATTTGTTCAGAAACTGGTTGCAGCTGTCGAGAAGAGTAGGGCTTTATCAAAAAGCTCCTAATGTATCAAAAATCCAGCCATATCGTCCGCGAATCGACGGGTTATCAATTGTCAACAGCACGACTTTTTTGAGCCAAGTTTATGTTTAACGGTCGAGGCAGATGGTTGTTATTAGTAGTGTTCATTTCGGCCAATGTTTCAGCCCTCAATAAACGCTTGGGATGAAAAGCCGCGGCATTCGCTCACAACCCAAACTAGAGCTAGAAAGCAATGATCAACCAAGGAAGCAATATTTCTTCATCATCATCAAACAGCCCCACTAAGCATGACTAGGTCAGCAGGTCTTCAACCTAGCCATCTCTGAGAGAAAAGGCGCGCATAGTCTATCTCACACTTAAGTACAGACTTGGAAGAAAGTTGAAGCTATATTACGGATCCAACTCAATCCCACTATAATCCCAATTGAATTCCATTCTTCTCATGATAACCTCTGGCGAAACTCTTGCTGCTCCAATCCTTGAATTTTCCTGTACATGGGATGCTCGAGGTCGACGAAAGTTTATCCCAATGAACATTGTTCTAGAAACATTAGCCTTGACGAAGTTTCTGTCGCTTCTGCGGAAGGCCACGGACAAATTTACGCCACAAATCCCCACTGTACCAAGCATGAATTGTACTTGAAGTTTGGCGGTCATAATGAGCCAGGCCTGTTTACCATGAGTAATCCGAAAGAACATGTACAACACAAAAGAATGTTTGCCAGAGCATTCAGCAAGTCTCAACTTAGAACACAGTGGGAAGACGTCATCACCGCGATTACTTCGAAGGCAATCCAAAAGATAGTCGAGGAATTGCAGCAGAATGGCAAGGTTGATGTACTTAAGTGGTTCACCTTCATGTCGTCGGACGTCTCTGGCGAATTGAAGTTTGGAGAATCTTGGGATTTGCTCGGTAAAGGAAGAGTGAATAGCTAATTTGATGCCGTACCACTTCGGTCGGAGGATAAGAGTTGACCTCGATTTAGCAGAACGATCTTGTACGATCAATTGGAATTTTCATGCAGATATCAGGTTTGACCGCCGAGCTTCCGCTCCTCAAACCTTTGGGTCGACTGGTACCACTTCCATGGTTTCGAACGGCGTTCCGAGGATGGGACTTTGTCATTGACTACGCATCGAGGGCTGTAGACAATAGCAAGAAGCTCACACAGTTAGGAGAGCGAAACATATTCGGAACAATCCTTGCCAATGCAGAGAAGGGAGAGGTGTTGACCGAGTTCGACATTAAGAATGAGGCGGGGAATTTTACAGTGGCGGGTACCGATACGACTGTAGTGACATTGGCCTATTGTGTGTTTGCCGTGCTGACTCATCCGAGAGTCCAGACAGAGATCGAAGCCGAGGTTGCTGCTTTGCCCGAGGAGTTTAGTGACGCGGATGTCGAAAAATTACGATGGCTTAATGCTGCCCTTGCCGAAACAAATCGATTGTTCGGTGCAGCACAAGGGGGGTTCCCGCGACGAACTCCTGCTTGTGGCTTGATCATCGATGGTTACGACTTACCTGGAAATACAACCGTCAGCGTCCAGGGGTACACAATGCACCGAAAGAGGGAATTATTTCCGAATGCCTTGGAGTAAGTAGCCTACCAAGTTCACAGTGTCTGCTGCTAATGAATGGGTTTCCAGGTTTAAACCAGAGTGATGGTTCCCTGAATCGAATATGTCAGCTGAAACAAAGGCTGTCATATCGCCGTTCGGGGCTGGATCTCGCATCTGTATCGGTATTCACGTAGCTTACATTGAAATGAGACTGGCTGCGGCTCGTTTCTTTCGAGAATGCCCCGGAGCTAGGCTGGCGCAGGAAATCACAACTGACTCGATGGCTTTCGTTAATTACTTCGCGACATTTCCAAAATCTGGCAGGTGCGTTATCGGGAAGATGTTTGCCTGATGGATCTTTCGGAACTTTCTACAAAAGAGATGAGTTATCATGCTAGAGTGGGTGTACTTGTGTATAGCGCTCAATTCCACCCTGGCTATATTAGGATGCATCGCAAGGACGGCTCTCTAAGACCACATCTGGCTGAACGTTAACGTGGTGGTGCCAATGGATGCACCATACACGCAGCCTCATGGAGACACAGCACCCCTTACCTCTGCATAAACGACAGCTATGCATTCGGCCCCCCGCATCTGCTTGATGTTACATTCCACAAAGGTATTTGTTGATACGCTCGGGTGAGTGCTAATATATGCTTGGAATGTGCAGACATGAAATGTGGGGGGTTTTCGGCAGCAAAACCTCACCTCATAATCATGCTCTATTCACTGAAACACTCTACTCTACCCTTCGTCTTGAAAGCTTCCTTACTGCATCGCATTTGATGATTTTTGATTCAGCCCAGAAATAAATCGCTCTTCTAGCATATCATTCATGGCTTTGGTAGGAGATGGGGGAAACCTTACAGGCTGCACGATCGTTGCACTTGTGTCATGTCGGCGGGAAAATGCCAGGTCATAGTCAGCGGGCAACAAGCATGATCAAAAAATGTTTTTGAATGCTTAACAGCGGCTGAGGTATTTGTTTTTTTTTTGGGGGTGATATAAGGCGTTTTTCCCCTCTAATTGCCCCCAATCTATTAGCATATCACACCTCTTATTGAACACACACTTTTGGAGTGTCCACCGAGAGCTAGTGTCACATACTAGCTAGAGACATAAATGTGACAGGTGATGCTGAAATATTATTGGTGGGGGCTGCAAGTGTGCCTTAAGCCTGTGCCGCTGGGAGTGACGAATTGTGCTAAATTAGGCGACTATGCAGGATTGCTGTCCTACCACGCTTAGTCTATGGCAAAAGACAGCCACAAGGCGCACACACACTTCTTTTTGCTGTTTTTCCATTTCCTGCTTTAGCAGAAGGCTCCAAGTCTGATTTTAAGTAACACCTTTGGCCTGTGTTTGGTTACAGAAGCCTTGCGAGGTGGTTTTCAAAACGTGATTCGGTCTATTTTGAGAATACTGCTCCTATTTGGCTTGGCTAAATTTTCTTCTTTTCTTTATAAATCTGTGTATATGTTCGGTGCAATCCGAATTCAGTAGGGTTTGTTTTTTTCCAGACTTAATCATTTCCGATTCTGAATCGGCTCGTCTTATGGTTTCGAACCGAACACTGGCCTTAACCATATAACTAAGATAATCGAATCAATCGACTAGATCCATAATTCCGGCCAGGCAACACCGTTTGAGTAGGAGCCAGTTCACGGCATTTCAACATGGCAGCATTACAGCCATTTCATCGATCCCAGTCGTTTCCTGAAGACTGTGGTAGTCACTTCAATCTTGAATCAACGAATCGTAGATCATCAGCAAAAGCCCAAAACACAACCTTCCAGCCACTGCTACTTCATCGTTCTGTTGGTACTACTGATCCGATGATGCAGGGCCTTTCACTTAAGTATCCAGAGATACATCTGCAGCCGGTTCCACCTATCATACAGGAGTGTAGTTCAGACTTGATAGTGAGTTAAATCCCTAGAAAGAAAGCCTTTTTTCGAAACTAACAACTCAAAAGCAAGACAGCTCGAGTCCAGATGTTGCATCATGGAATACAAACCATGCTGCAACTGCGCCATTTAAAGGAAGAGGAGTTCCTTCTACGCTTAATTTACCACCCTTTATGAAGGAGCCAAGCGAGATCACGGACCGTGGAGATCAGATGTATATCAATCTCAAGATTCAGGGACGAGTGGATAGCTTTCCCGCTGACAAAGATGACGGTGAAGGCACCCTAGCTGACCAACTTTTTGGAGTGACCAAGGAGAACTCCAGGGATAGGACGGATTTCTTGCCAAAGCGACAGCTGGATAGATTGATAAATCCTCAATCTGTTACGAAAGAGCTTACCAGATGGCTTCGAGACACGATCTCTGAAGACAAAATCAAAGACTTGGCATGCCAAGTTTGCAGCGAGACCCTTCTTCCTTCCAATGACGTTGCAGCATCGGAGCTCAAAGTTATCTCATATCAAAAGGTCTTCGCAATTCTTGTTCTTGTCAACAAGGTGTACTACATTGAAAAGTTTCTCCAAGAACAGGTGTGCGACATAGATCTTCCGCTTGCGAGGCATGTTGAACAAAATGGAGATTGCCGGAAAATCAGCCTTCATCGCCGAAAACAGCCGAAAGTCCGGCTGGGCTGTTTCGATACATGGTCTCAGATCAACCTTAGGAACTTCGAGCAATACCAGTGGTCCGTGATTCCGCCTTTTTTTACCAAAGGGCAGCGAAAGAATGTCAAGCACTATGTGTTCGAGCCGCATATAGTGCTTCCATTTTCATTCTCCAATGATATGTATTCTGTACCTGTCGGGCAAGAGCGTCGAGGAGGATATAGCCTTGTTTTTCAAGCTGAAATTCACCCTGATCACCATGACTTCAATGGCTCAGAGGGTGTTACAGAGAAGACTTCTCAGGTACTACAATTGATATCCCCTCCTCGCAAATAGGCTACTGACTGTAATGAAGGACTGTCGGAACATATTCGCCATTAAATGCTTAGACTCCCCGGACAAAGATTCTTTTGAAAAGGAAGTTCATATACTAAAGAGGTTTAGTGGGGAGGCGCACCCACACTTAATATCTCTACTATCAACGTACGAGAAGGCTGGGAAGTATTTCTTAATATTTCCTTGGGCTGGGGCCGACCTGAAGACCTACTGGAAGACCGAAAATCCGATGCCTGCTTTCGACGCTGACACTGTGATCTGGATGGCCGAACAATGCAAAGGAATCGCAGAAGGCCTGACGAAACTTCACCAGTATGAAACTGACAGAATTGACAAAGGCCAAAATATGAAGAACGAGCACTTGACCCCGCACCAAGACCAGAAAAGCACAAGAGGACCCGAACCCCTAGCTACACTTTATGGACGCCATGGGGATATCAAGCCAGAGAATATTCTATGGTTTCCTGGCCCCAGAAACTCTAAGCATCAAGGTACACTCAAAATATCAGATTTCGGTTTAGCGGAACTCAACACGCGACAGAGCAGGTCAAATAGACGAGGTAGCCAAGTTGCCAATTCGCCAACTTATAGGCCCCCTGAGTGCGACCTCCAAAAGAAACTTGTCAAACAAGCATACGATATTTGGACTCTTGGTTGCCTGTATCTGGAATTTGTTACCTGGATGCTTGGTGGCTGGGCTCTGCTTAACGAATTTAGGTCACAAAGGCAGTCAACGGACGCAGGACCACGATACATCAAGTCAGACAGCTTCTTCGAGATCTGGCATTCCCAAGGAACCAAACAGGGACAGGCTTCAGTCAAGGTAGCGGTTAGACAAGTGAGCCTATTATCCTTTTCTATAATTTACGAACCCAAATTAGATTTTCTTACTGACTCAAAACTCAGTTCATCTTAAAGTTACATTCCCATGCTCGCTGTACCGAGTTCTTCCATCGTTTTCTGCACTTGATCGAAGAGGATATGATGGCAATTGAAGCAATGGATAGACCCAGATGCATGCAGATACAGGAGAGACTTACTTCGTGGCATGATCGTTGCCTGAACGACGAGGAATTTGCCTTGATGCCTGCGCCGTGGTCAAACTGATGTACCAGGTGTACCATTGACGAATGTCAGGTATCTTTTTATTATGGAAAGTCTATATCATTGTTGTTGAATTTCATCTCAATGCTTTCTCTTCCCCGAAAAGTTTGCAAAACCTGAAAGATTTCTTACGAGGTGACATACGCCATTGCGCAATTTTAGCACATTGCTATGAGTTGGCCATTACAGTGAACTGGAAAGACTTTTTTTAATGACCACACTTTAATTATGTTACGTTGATTGGTGGTAGGTGTAGCTGTAAATCAGGCTGCGTGGTGCAAGGCAACTTGAATGACATCGCATGATAAGGCAGCCTGGTTAAGACAAGTTTTCTACCAACCACCACGCCCCTACGCCTGCAGCAACCTCTGCAACTTAGCCTTGGCTTGCATCATGTCTTATCATTTCCAGAGTCAGCAGTTCAACTCAGGGGGTGCATGATACAATAAATTGCCTGCACGATACAATTTTGTAGACATGAAGACAGCCTGATTTTGGAAAGGCTGCCACAAATTTCCGCACGGTGCGTGGTCGCCGCTTCTAGCCACTTAGTATTCCTTCTCTTCCAAAAAGCTATATTTGAATAGGACCTATTAACTATCACTCAATGCTGGCTAGCACCAATCCTTAAGTGTTGGTTAATGCTGCCTTGACCGATGAGAAATGGATATTGTGGATGAAGTACCCTTCGGTCGCCGCATCTGTTGAAGATAAGCCTGGGGTGGGTTAATGTGCTTGGACGCCTGCCATTGCCTTCATTGAGGGTGTCAGCTCTGCAAATCCACCGCCATCATTGGAGTCATAATGGTAGGATTGGCGGACATGTAAAAGATTTGAGGTAACAACAAGACCACCGCCACACTTGGCTAAGACTAAATATGGAATTGATATGAGAGGCTTCGAACTTAATTCGCTCAGCATTCTTTGCCCATGGCGCTTGTGATCACACCGAGCCTGCGCCATGTACACCCTGTAGCCTGATTTACCGTTCGAAGTTGAACCCCGCATTTGATCAGAAGTGTATTTCTGCTTGTCACAAGATCAAGATTTTCTATTTCCCTTTATTCTTCCATTCAAGATCTCTTTTTATCAGTGTTCCTACCATTGAGTAAAGCGTGGTAACCGGCATCATGGCTAGTGATCCTGTATCATGTCTTGGAGATCAGCTGGTACAACATCTGGTAAAGAGTAAGTTCGACCACGAAACAGACTTCTTACCAGCGCGATACATAGACAAGTTTATCAATCATGCTGCCATTTGCGGGGAGCTTTTCGACAATCAAGATCTTTCCAAGCTCCAGACTAAGGATCGCGGCTTGGTCGATTTCATTGAAAAGCATGCCAAGAAGGTCTTTGCGATTGTTCTTTGCGCCCCGGTGAGTGGTGAAGAGCTTTTAATCACAATGCGATTCTTCCAGTCTTGTGACTTCAGAGACAATAAATTACCAATTGAAAGCCCTAGGAGCGTAGACACCGGAAAGCCGTTTCCTTTCGACGCCATTCAAGACAAACGGACCCAAAAGCTATGGGCTACCATGAGGATTCGAAATTTTTACAATGATCAATGGACGTTTTTGTCACCGGTTTTTTCAAGGGATGAATTCCATTTAAACCTAGCCCCTGAAATAATTTTGCCCTTCATTCGGGTCAACAACATAATAAAAGAGGGCAGGTTCAGTCAGGTTTATGAAGTGGAGATTCACCCGGATCATCAGGCCCAACCTGAGCTTACAGTAAGATCAAGCGAATCTCCAAGTTGACCTCCAAGTAGTTAAAAAGAGTTGTCTAATAACTTCTAGGTGAATGGAAGACCGGCCCATGTGGCAATCAAGGAGATTCTCACGACCAACGCAGACCAAGAGTTGCAGGCCGAAGTTGAAAAAAGCTTCAAGATTGAAGCAGAAGCTCTTTCTTCAATAGCCGATCTTGATCACAAGCACATGATACAAAGAATCGCTGCTATAACGAAGGGCGATAAGCGATATTTCATGTTTCAGTGGGCTGATGGAGGAAATTTAAGGGAATTCTGGAAATCAAATCCTCGTCCTCAGCTGAATGGTCACCTCGTACGAGAAATGATTGTACAACTGCATGGACTCTCCGACGCCTTGGCAGCTTTACATAACTACAAAAACGAGGGCAATTTACGACATGGGGATCTGAAGCCGGAAAATATTCTGCGATTTCTGGATCATACAATTGTAGGAACTCTCAAAATTGCTGATATGGGGCTTGCAAAACTTCATACGGACGCTACAGACGTGCGACAGAACGCAACAAGCACGAAGTATGGTACAACACGATATGAGCCACCTGAAATCTCTACCAATCGTCTAGACAAAGCTAGATCACGTCTTTACGATGTTTGGTCTCTCGGTTGCATCATTTTGGAGTGCATCATATGGCTGCTTTATGGATACGACACCCTGTGCGAATTTAACAACAGCATTGTTGACACCGTTACCCCAGGAGGTACAGGATGCTTTTACCAAACCCGACTCGAACAGAATCAAATAGTGGCTGAGGTTCACCCTACTGTAATCAAATGGATGGATAAGATCGCGGAGGACGTTGAATGTACTCAGAAGACGGCCATCCGGGATCTTCTCCACCTGGTCAGGCATCGACTTTTGGTTGTTGCGATCCAACCAAACGGCGAATCCTTCGGGAAATCTTCGTCTCCGGGCAAGATGAAAGGACCCTCTATTACTGTTGTGGGTGAGAATGAACCAACCACAGGCCCATTCAGAGCGAAAGCAACTGCCTTGTGCTCTGACTTGCAGGCGATGCTTGATTCGGGCAAGTATAACGAGAAATATTTCTTGCATCACAAAGATCGGGGAGGTCAGCGAGGCATCTCATCACCACTTTCCACCAAAGACAAGAACGCTTCTTTGGTAGTACCAATATCTGACAAGCAAAAACCAAACCCAAGTCGACAACATGAGTCTTCAACAAGCAACGTAAGTTGTAACTTTACCCATTGTTTTTTCAATCCTTTACATAAGGCCCTTCCCACAAATCTCTTCTCAAATTTCCAGTTAAGAGCTTAAGCATGAATTTTGGTTGTTAATCCTTTCGATAGAAGGACGTAAGTAAGCAATTTTAGCCATTGAAGTTGTTCTAGGGCTAATAGTGATTGAGTATGTGAGTTAATGTATCTAACCTAAGTGCGAAGAATTTGGCTTGAAGACATTGCTAATCAATGAATAATCTCTGGATCAGGCGGTAAGTACAATGAAAGCTGATTCGCTTATTGATCAATCTCAATGTCTGGATACGTTGGCTAATGTTCTCGTCCCATAAGCTCGTAAGTAAAGACCTATCAACCCATTTGAGATTGTAACTTCTAAAGTTCTAACGAATTTCTTGGTTTGATTATAGTCAGTAAGTTGCATCTGATTCAAATACTAAAAAGGAACAGTTTTAAACTGTACTTAGTTAAACCAGAATTGGCACTTCACAACTGACAACCGATTCGCCACGAAAATAATAAAACAATTCGGTCAAGCTGTATCGAGCCTCAGAGTTCCACGACACCAACAACTATGTTATCGTTGTAGCAAAATAGACATAATGTCACCCGGCTTCGCATTAGAAGATACAGTAGTGAATTTACGCGAGAGGTCACATTTCTGTGGCTTGTGCAACTTGATTTTAAGAGCTTGCGACAAAGTAAACCACTCAGCTAATTTTTGTTTGCGGCGGATCGGATCTACTTTACAAATCGACGGGATCACAAAACCTCTTCTTACTATTATCTGCGATGAAGGTGTGTAACAAATCTTGAGGATAATGGCGTATTATAAGACATCGCCGTGTCTATTGAAAGTTGTGATGTTGATAAGACTAGGCTGTTATTCAAACCTCATTTACCATATTCAAATCGGGTTTCCGAATGTCCCCCAAGCCAGTCATCCGATGCATTTTGCGATCGCGAGAGAATGGTTGGAGGAGTGCGACTCAAGTCCATCTCATATAAATTGCCGACCTGCCGACAACCCTAGACTTCCTGCGAGGCTCCTAGATGTCCAGGGTGACGTGCCATACTTGCGGGACTCTGAAGATATTGACGATGTCTATCTTGCACTATCACATCCATGGGGCGATCCCAGAACAAACAATCATTTTTGCACCTACACTCACAATATAGAAAGCCATAAGAAAGGAATCAATTTCAACAAGCTCCCTGCTACCTTTCGAGATGCTATTACGGTAACACGGCAGCTAGGATTCCGTTACCTCTGGATCGATTCTCTTTGTATAATTCAAGGCCCAAACGGCGATTTTGCAGAGCAGTCCAAGAGTATGGGAGACGTTTTTAGCTCAGCCCATTGTGTCATTGCTGCGAGCCGGGCTACTGGCCAAGAAGATGGCTTCCTAGGGGAGAGGGCCGAGAGAAGCTATATAAGCATCAACCGCAAAGGGGAGCATGGATCTGACACGTACCATGTTTGTGAACAAATCGACGATTTTCAAGGACATGTGATTGATGGGTCACTGAACAAGCGGGGGTGGGTGCTACAGGAGCGAGCATTGGCACGCCGAACACTTTACTTTACAGAGAGTCAGACATACTGGGAGTGCGGGGGTGGGATTCGGTGTGAGACATTTACAAAACTGGAAAAGTGAGTGTATTTTCCCTTTTAGAGCTCTGAAATATGCTTAAGCTCTTGCTTGTATTTTAGCAACATCGCCGCATTTCTTGGAGATCCCAGATTTCCCGAGGTCGCCATGCGCTCTTCCAGAGGAGAAAGAATCTATCTTTACCAGATTTTCTACAAACAGTATTCTCGGCTGCAATTCACCCGAATTGAAGACAGACCGTTTGGAATTGCTGGTCTGGAGAAACGACTCATACAAGGTTTCGGCACCAACGGAGGATATGGCGTGTTTGATGACAACAGTGGTCTCTTACATCGAAGCCTGTTATGGTACAGAGGTCAAGAGGAACCGCTCGAGAGAATCAGGTTTTCGCCTGAACGGAACGAATCGATTCCAAGTTGGTCTTGGATGGCCTACAAAGGAGGTATAGACTACTTAGACCTTACTGGGAACGGCTTCGACTGGGAGCAGAAAGAAATACAGTCTCCTTGGGTTGGAAAATCTAATGAGGTCTTCTACACTACGGACAAGGGTAGCAGAGTCAAACTTGTTGTAACCTTGAGGCGTTTTGACGTTGACAAGGCGGCCGTTTTTATCGACGTGCCGTCAGAGAGGTACACTCGAGCATCGGACTTGAGATGTGTTATTCTTGCAAGATCTAAGAACGTAATTCCAAGAAAGGAGAGAATATGTTATGTTTTAATAGTTGCGCCTCGGCAGTCAGAGATGGAAGGTTTTGACAGGCGGAAGGTATTTCTAAGAGTTGGTGTTGGATATACATTGGAACGGTATATTCACGAGCCGTACTTGGAGAGTGTTAATTTATACTGAAGAAACTCCCTAGTACTGAGAATAATACGTCTTCATTTATAAGGCTTTTGAGATATGTACTACTCTCCCTTAGTATATGTTAGTTATGTAGCTAGTCTTCAAACCTATCTTGTACAGCTTCTGCTAAAATAGTTATAAGACCACTAATTTAGAGACAATCTTATATGGAAGCACTAAAACCAAGCCTTGCCTGGCTATTTCGCGTGAGTCTGATGTAAGTCTAGTACAAAGTAGTATTTCATCAATTTCTTTAGAGCTAAATTTAATTTAAAAGCAATTTACCTTTCTCATATTCTTTTAATCTCGGTCTAACCTATTGAGTTTAATCGAAGCATATATAAGAGATAGTCTAGAACTGCTTAACTTGTAAGTAGTTCAGTACCTTGAGGAGTACAATACCATGAGAATGACGCCATAAAGTATTTTAAATGAAGATATTAATTGTTGAGCTATATGTACGCTTAGGTCACTTTAGTGTAGGAAGCTCAGCCGAAATAACACTTTCGCCAGCTGTAGTAGTAGTTTTACTGTTAGGAGCATATAGTAGTAGTAGTGCAGAAGTCAGCACCCTTGCTACATATTTATGCTAGACTAGTGAACTCAGTCTAGAACTTCGGATGCCCTACTCTCCTGCTGCCGGGCCCATTGTTTGAAGCGTTTTGAGATTGCTCGGGGGGTTCCGGTCTTCCCTTCCCACTCCCACTTTTTCCCCCGGAATTCTTCTTCCGACGTGTCTCAAGATGGCCGACATTATTCTCCATGGGATCCTCGGGAAGAGTTTCTATCACAAAGGATAGGTCTTTGCCTTCATAAGTAGTGGGTACTAATGCGTTTGTTAAATATGTAAAGTAAATGAGTAACGTTTGGTTTCATACCGGAACATACCTCAAACGACATTCCTAGCTAGAAAGCCAAGGACAAGTAAGGCGGCAGTAGAGAACTTCATGTTGAAGGTAATGACTTCAGCTGGAAAAATGTGTGGAAAAGATGTAATTGGTAGGATAAAGCGTAAATCTTGTAGATAGAAATAGTTGTGAGGAATGGAGAGATATCTGACCGAGGAGGGTCTTTCGATCTTTATATCGATTGAGGCATTGCTTATTAAGCCGTTGTTACTAAAACTGATCATTATTATACCTGCTACTAAGGATGGCTGTTTATGACTCAAGATAACAGCCCTGAAGACTCATCCTGTAACAAGACATGCTCAGACTCATGAACGTCTTTTGAGATTGTTAGCTCAAATAAGGCTTAGTCTCAAATAGATAAGGATGAACTTTAAACAGGCGGCTCCCACGAGGCTCAGTCACATTAGAGAAAAAAGCCAATCCTATTACAAAACTATCAGTAAAGCTGTTTCATCCTTCAAAGTTAGTAACAACCTCATGGTAGTTGGCAATCGCAGTTTGACGGTTGATAGGCAAATTCATGTGGGTATCGAAGGCGTTCAACCCCTTTCTTACATTTAAAATCACACCTCTAATCATTACGTTCTCTATGCATTAGTCAGTGGCTGGCCGGACTGCTTAAAAGTACAAAACTACGACTGGATACCCGGGAAATGCTGTTTCACCTCTGGTACCTCATGAATATGCGGGCGGCAACGGACAGTACCAAAAGTTATGTTTGTGTGTTCACGGGATAAAGCAACACAAAAGCAACATCAGAGTGATTTTCGCGATTGGTTGAATCACAGTAACAGTGGTGGTTTTAAAGCGAAGGCGTTCAATATGGTCTCCTAATCGAAATCTTTCTAACGATGCCTACAATTTTACCAAGCCTACACGGTGAGTGTCGGACCAGGTAGCCTGCCGGAAAGCCATTCAAGTACTATAACAATTTGAACTGTTTTTAAAGAATAGAGTGCCAATATCTCCAAATGAAGGCATACTCTACTTTGGTGGCATTTAAAGACAGGGAGACTTCAATAAGTGACTGGCATTAGTCTGTCGCTCAATTGTGTAGGAGCAGTCGCTTTGCGATGACTAACATTTTAGGAGAGAGGCGGGGCTCTTGACTCGCAGGGGACAGGCTTAACCGATAGATGAGACTATGAGAGAGGTGAAGCTGAGCAGATGGAATAGCATTTACAGCTTTTTGGTTCAGCTTCAGCTCGGTTAAAGTGAAATGAGCCGGTGGGCTGGGCCGGTGGGCAGAGATATGACTCGGATCGTTGAACATCTGGTCGCGACATTCACATCCCTTTTGTCTTTGATAGACTCTGCCGCCAACTAGAAGTAGGGCTCCGATGAAAGTAAATGAAAACAACCAGGCTTCAATCAGACGCTGCCAATCAAAGCTTAGCCAGAGAGTACAACAGATATGGTGCGAATATCTTCATGCCTGGCATTAGGCACTTTTGTACGACATGAATGCTTATCCCTAGATCCTCAACTGCTGCACTCTAATACGTATCAGACAAATCCCAACGCTCTCGCCACGTTAAAGTAGCTCTTTCGGATAGTACAGATTTTCTGACGACATGGGTCTTCATAAACGGCTTGTTCACTTGTGTAAGCGATCTATTGAAGCAAAGAGGTGTGTTTAGTCGTTTATAGACTTGCGATGAGCGGCAAAGGCAGATAGATATATTAAACTGCAATCGAAGTAGCCGTAATGCCTCGGAAACATCTGTAGATTTTACCGGTATAAAACGCAGTGAGGGTATTCTTCTTTCATTTCTCTAGCTAAGTGCTCAGTTTGGCTGCTCTGCTGATTCGTTTGTATCTATGAATATTTTCATCGAAGCAGAACAGTCCAGAACCTAAATTTTTAACTTTTTCTTCCTAGGTACGTGGAAACCCCTGCAGGTCCTTAACAAACTCCAAGTCAGTCTCCAACCATGCGAGCTACTTCTATTTTCGGCGTAATTAGCACGTTGCCATGTCTATACGGACCTACATATGCTTGCTGCACCGAGGTTGGAAGTGGCAAAGGAAACCATCTGTTGAAATGCAAGGTATGCACTATTCCGAATAACATCGGCTCGAGGATCGTTGTAGGTCCCAATGCTCTTTCGATCAGCAGGACACCCCTCGACAAAATCTCCGGGGTTGGGCTTACTACGATTTTGAAAACACAGCCACCTACCAAGTAAAATTTGCGGTTCAGTACTGGCACATTGGATGGAACTCGGTGAGTATTTTCGACAGTTGTTTTGGAGCAGCACTGACAGTCATCTTCCAAACAGAATGCTTGGGCGAGCTTCAGATTGGCGCAGGGAGAGAAGTGCAACATTAAGTTCTGTTCGACGCTGCAAAATGTCAAGCTTACATGTTAATATGGCCGAGATTTGGAAGTGCTTTTAACGGATTCTTGGCTTTTCGACCATCCAGCCTCAAAATAACTTGTCTAGCGGGTCGGGAGGAACCATGCACAAAGTCACCAAGCGTTCGAAATTGAGCACTTGCTAGGACAGAACAACATCAAACTGCGCAACCGGCGACGGACGCAAGCAGTTACAGAGGTATAGAGCGTAATTTTCGAGGTGCTCGATCTGCTTTGTAACGATTACATTGTTTGGGCTATCTGACTCTTGAACGAGCCGGTTGAGCCGGTTGGAACATCGTGGCATATTTGATCGAATATGAATTTGCGTCTGACATGTTTGACAGTTTCATCCCGTGTGCCTTCTGAAAATGATTTGTCTTATGTGGTCGTCTATACCAAATCGGGCTATCCAGCCTATAAGACACATCGTGAAAGTTAAGCTTTCCGAGAGTCTTAAGTCGCCAAGGAGCGGCCCCTGAAACGCTTTTGTTTGTTGAGACAAAGAATACAGTTGTCGCGTGCGCATCCATCTGGGTTAAAACAATAGCTCAAAGTGCTAAAGTAACACTAACAGAGCCTTTAATTAGTTCCATCTACTTCAAAGTGCGCCTCATCTTCAGAGCTATGTCGATCACCAAATACTTATACCCTACCGACGTGCCGAAATGAAGAACTAAGCCTGCTTAGAGCCAAGTTTCACCTCCCAAAATTGATGTCAAATAGTCTCGTGACGTAGTGTTTTGGCATAGTCACCAAGGGATCCATTCCTGTTCATAGTTGCGAGCGAGCTTCCGACTCCATCCATTCTTCGCAGCTGCTCATCTGCCTAAGAAACATCCCTTATCAGCCTCAACCCTCTGATACAAGTTATCTGCAAGCTTCTGTATCTCCTCGCTCATCTGCATTCCGCACACATACACTTCGTCTTTGGTTTACATAGTCAGGGTGTAAAACAAGAAAGCGAGAAAATTATTTAAAGCTTGCTCAGTGGAGGAAACTCAGGATGACGTCGTGACCCGCAACCGCCACGTAAGCAGGAGTGAAGTTGTATACTACCGCCCTAAAGACAGCTTGTAGCTAAGGAAGGTCACATCACTTCTGCTCACTGTACTAAGTGTAAGTCCACAACCTGCGCCGCCCTCCGGCGCGTCGTTACAGGTAAATTCTTTCTAACTGGTTAGACATTCCAGTTTGAAAGGATTTGTGCTTGGTGGTGATAGTTTAGCCATAAGCTGTCGGCAATATTGGGTTGAGGGACATCGACAACGACTAATAGCTTTAAGCGGTAGCAGCACTTCAGCAAATGGAGACCAGATACCAACAATGGAAAAGATGATAGAAATATGACTTGGTATCTAGTGGTCCTTTCTTCTAAGCTTTCAAGCGCTTATCTTGTGGCGGCAAGCTGGACTCTTTAGTCGATAACCCATCTTGCTCGGAAATTCTTGGATTGACGAGGCATAAATTTGAAGAGGATGAGGAAAGAAAGAGGACAGGCTTAACTATCTAAGTTGAAAACTTATTGCCATTCATGATGCGGCCGCAGTATGGCCTCTTGCAGCAACATTATCAGTGGAGTCTACGGACTGTATGGATGATGACAGATGCAGGGCGTCCTTACTGACACTGTCATGAAAGTCACTGCATGGCCTACCGTGTGCACCTTGAGGCGGCATGTTGGCTATGACTGCAAGTTTGGCTGATGAAGGTGCCCTAATTTGTGTCCTGTCGCGCATGGTTTCTCTATACGCAAGGCTGCTGGTAGGGAATAACACAATTGTGGCAATCGACGCGATTTTATTGATTCCCTTGAAGCAGCCTGGCGTCTAGAACGGAATCAATTGCATGTCAAATGAGTCAATCGGTCAGGTGTTAATTCAATTCAATACGACGCGAAAATTATTTCAACAGCTTAGCACGTCTGAAAATAAATTTAAGACTGCTTTCTTGGAAGAAACTTTGATGTCAAGCCGCGGCGGAGGCATGCAGGAGGCCGTCGGCCGGGATGAGGCAGGAAAGCACCGTAAGAAGGTCTTGGCTTCGGTCTCTGAACATATGCGGCATTAAGACTTTGTAAACGAGATAATTATGCCAGCAGACTATGCACAACGACGTGGCAGTTGATTTGGTCGCGGCGACGAACCAACTGCATAAATGTTGCATTCACCGGCTGCAAGCCCACTGCAGGCAAATCACGCAAGTCGGCAGGGGTGAATTCAGCTTGTAAGCGAATGATTCGTCCACTTAAACACCGCCTGTAAAGTCTGACAATACGTTTGCGCAAAGAAAGCCAACAGGCCGCTGCGCTTCGGCGTTGTAACTACAACCGGGTTGTCCGCGCCCTACGGGCGCTTAGAAAGATGCGGCCTGTTTAGACTGGCCCCAAACATCCAACAAATGTGCATCAATAACAAATAAAAATAAGAACGAACGCCAGTTCCTCCAACAGGAACGGCTGGTTGTTGGCCAACAACGATGCAGGCAAATCTGTCCGTTCTTCAGACTCCCTCGCCTGTCTACAGCAGTCTGCACTACCTACTTCACCATCATTCAGTTGATTTGGTGACAGCAAATTGAAAATTCCGAAAACATACATTTCTCACAATACTACAGTATCCCATCTGATTTTGTAAAGTATCCTATTTTATCCACACAGATTAACATTAGAACCCAAAACCATTCCGCTTCTGACAGTAGCCCCGCTTGCAACCCTCACAGAAATCTTCCTGATGTGGGGGACCCTTGTTCACAGCGTAGGGCGGCTTCTCCATCTCTACACCCGCCCACCTCTTAAGCCGGTAGGCGACCCGTTGAACGTAAGATTGCTTGTCAAGAGTAAAGCTGCCGAGCTCATCGCAGTGCATGCAGCGTTGGTTGAACACAACGGCGTCGTACCCGTTTCCGGAGAATCCCCTGATCACGATCGACACTTTTTTGCTCGTCCATGTTGTGTTGGAACAGCTATTGTTGTTGCATCTGAATCTGCCCATCACGTTGGTTGAGTATTCGTTATTGGGGTTTTTCTTTCTACCATTCTTGTTGAACCACGTCGAGGGCAGATCATCGGACACAGCTTTTGACACCTCCTCATGGAGAAGTGGATATTTGAATGAGGACCTTGGCGCTCTTTTGGGCTTGGTGGATTTCGGCTTAGCCATCGTGACTGTGTATGAATTGCGAATGATCGTAATGAAGTGGATGTATGGGGGAAGGATGATATGCAACAACGTCTGTTGGCGAAGGCGGAGCAGATCGTTATAATTAATTACATTGAGTTCTTGTGATGCCAAGGTAGAACGAGCGGGGTAGCTAACTCTGTCAGCTACCCAACGTTTGAGTAACCGCTATCGGCCCAACCGACTCCCTCAGATGAGGGCTAAAGGAAAGAAGATGTGACCATTGAGTGGTTGGCTTTGCGGTATGCATTTCGGGAAGTTTACCGGTGAACAGGCATCTAAAGATTGTGCCTGAAAAATGGCCTGATCTATGACATCGCACGCTTAATACATCTTTACACGTCAAGTTGTCAAGCGTGCGATCTGTACAATATCGTCGATCAGACCATTTTCCTGTGGCAACCTTGACAAGTCGCGCATAAGAATGTACATGCAGAGCACTCTTTCAACGCGGGTCAACTAGTAACGTCGCACACCCACTTCTCGCACACCCCCACATTTCGCACACCCATAAATCGCTCATGTAGAATTTTACCCTCTTCAACATTCTTTAATATCTTCACCACTTTTACAGCGATTATTATAATTCTTTGAATAGTTACTCTTATACGCTTAATGGGCCAGTATACGGAAACAGAAGTCAATCAAGCTCTCAATGCAGTTGCAAGTGGGCAGAGTGTCCGAAAGGCAGCTCATGATGCTGGAATTCCACCATCAACCCTCCAGTCTCGATTAAAGGGTTCACAGGCAAGAAATGTAGCTTTCTCTAGCTTCCAGAAGCTATCTCCAGCACAGGAAAGTCACTTAGCTGAATGGGTGCGTATCCAGGCGGCGTTAGGGCTGCCGCCAACACATCAACAACTCAAGGAATTTGCCCAGCGAATCCTAGACATCAGAGGCACTACCCAGCCACTTGGGAGAAACTGGATTCAGTTCTTTATTAAGAGAAATCCATCAATCAAGTGTTACGGCCAGTGTTACGACCCGTTAGATACACCTAACAGGACCCACTCGGTTGGGCGGTTATGACAGGACTTTGTATGCAGGGCCACGGGAACAAAAGGTAACCTCTCGGAACGGAAGAACTATAGAACGGAACAAGTCACGTGATGAATCATTCTAGGTCAGAATGATCCAAGAAGAGTTGGGGGCCAACGGATCATGTTCGATCAATATGATCTCCAACGACTACAGACAATACGTGTAGATAGACTCCTATATAGACCAGGACTTGAGTACCTGCTCAAGCCCTCTAGATAGTTCTTCAGCAATCAACTTGTGATTCATCCTCGAATGACTTTCAGCTTACCTCTCAGTATTGTGAATACTAAGAACCTCGTTACCATAGTGTAAGACTGATCACCTTACCCTAACCCTACGATCTACCAGAACGACCTCTACGAACCAGTGTTAGTCTCTTACTGCACCTTCTGTTAGCAGAACCCTACTGTCAGATAGCTGGCCGTAATACTTTGATTGCTCCTGTTTAGTAAGTTGCCCTTTGAGACTAACGAACAGTATAAGACAAGATGTCTTCGCACGGAACTACCGAAAACCCTACTCCTGGAACCTCGTCCACGTCCGAGAGACGTATTCCCTAGAATCTGGCCCAAGAGATTCAAGACCAGGAAATGAAGGAGGAATCCGATAGCGATGACGACAATGAAGAACTTAAGCGGCAACTTGAGCGGAACAACAACGAGCTCAGGGAAATGAAAAACCTGTTTAACCAGAACGTCAAAGCCCTCAAGGAGCTACAGGAACAAGCCCGCCGCACCAAAGAACTAGAGAAGGAAGTCACAACCCTTCGAGCTGCCGCGAACGTCATATCAGCTCCTGTCGAAGGAAGAGAACGCCTTAAGCTCAACACCCCTACCACCTTCGACGGAACCCCTGGACAGCTCAAAGGATACTTGGTACAGATACGGACCTACCAAGCCTTCCACATCAACACGTTCCAGAACGATACCGAACGTGTCGTCCACGCCGCCACCTTCTTGAGAGGGAAGGCCCTCGCTTGGTTCGAACCCCTCCAACAAGAATGGCTGGACACCCCTATCGAGAGATACAGTCAAGAAGTGAAGGACATCTTTTTCAGCTTCAGTAGATATGTTAAAGCCCTTCAATCTCTCTTCTTAGACCCCGATGAGAAAAGACAAGCAGAAAGAGAACTGGCGAGCCTACGACAAAACAAATCAGCTACAATGTACGCCGCAGAATTTCGACGACTTGCAGCTAGACTCGACATGACCGACGAAAGCAAAGTCTTCGCTTTCTACCAGGGTCTTAAGGACGACGTCAAGGACGAAATAGCCAAAGTGGACACGCTACCTAGCTTCCTTGATTATGTCGAATACGCTATTAAGATTGACAACCGACTGTTTGAACGACGCAAGGAAAAAGGAGAAAAACGTCAAACAGCCAACTCAGGAAAGAAATACCAATGGCAACCCCAACACAAGTTCAACAAAAACCAGAACAACAGGAATAACAATCAGCAAAGCACCGTACATAGACAACACAGCAGACCTATGGACCTGAGCGTCGCGCAAAAAGACAAACCCAGACGCAGAGAATTCAAATGCTATAACTGCGACAAGCCAGGACACATGGCCAGACACTGCACACAGCCTAAGAAACTTACGGCAACCCCTAAGCAAGCCAACGCTATAACCAAAATCCCTAGCTACGAAGAAAAGGGATGGACAGCCTGCTATGACAATGATTGCACTACGCACAGGCATGCAAAAGAGAATAGTGGATGGTACCTTCAAAACCCAGCAGGACGATCGGGATACGACACCACCAACATACCCAAGGCCATTGCTGTAATAGACCGATATACCGGTGGACCGGATTATACTAAGTAGCGACAGGAGCTACTCGACGACTAGGAACAAGCGAAGAAGGCCGCGGAACTCAACAACGCCTTCCAAGATGGTAGCATTGTATACTAACCGGGACTCTTATGGGACATCCCACGCCTCGCCAACTATCGATAGACGAATGAAGTAAACACCCCGGAAAGTCTCTCAGAAGAAGAAGCCAGGAAACTCGAAGAAGAAAACGAGACAGCCATCAAACGGATATAAGACGCCATCAACTACACGATGCAAATTCGAAACAACAGCGAAGTTAGAGACACCCTCCAACACATGCGGAAAACCCGAGACCGCCGCATCGCACTACGCGGAAACACCCGAGGACAGTATCAACTCAAGTACAAAGCAACCTAATTTGTCTACCAACCCCAAAACGATAGAAAGACGGAACAAACCCTCGCGGTAGCCAGCAAATACGCCTGCAAAGCCACCGAGCAATTGGATGAAATGCTGAGACAATAATAATTCAGGGACGCCAGCACCCAGACCCGAGTATACTAAGCAAAGGACAACCTAAGCCAACGATGGAGCTTACCATATACCACGGTAGCCAGCGACTCGACCTTTGAATTGCCACAAAGAACCCGCGCTACTCCTCAACCCATCTCGGAATGGGCTGAAGACGTCGTAGACGGACCACCCTCGGCGGAAGTACGTCCACAAGGAACGTCGATAGACGATACCGACCTGGAAGACGCAGAAGAAGAACACCATCTCGACAGAATGGAAAAAATTAAGGAAGTACTAGAATACAAATACATCGACCCCCAAGACGACTGCCAACAGATCGCCTTCCATGCAGAAGAATATCATAACAAAATCCCTACAACAATCACACAAACCCGGGATGAAGAAATATTCTTGGAAGACGATCCCAGGATTACGACACAGCACAGAGAACACAAGGAGATAGCATGGATCTACTGCATCTTCGATCACTGCGCCTACCATCTCTCAAAGAAAGCAGAAAACGAACTATACCCCAAAAGAAAAGAAGAACTGCGAATCCGCAGAGCCCATGAGGAACAAGAACTCTCATATTGGGAAGTACGGGGAGAACCCGGAGAATAGAAAACCAACAACAATGGAATAGCATTCCTACGACCCAGCATCGAATACCCTCAGAAGTGTGTGAACCACTTCACGGGAGTCTGGTGGAATTGCAGGGAAGACCTATGCAAACTCCACTACATTCCAAAAAGCGAAAGTTGGAGATTCCGACAACAAGAACTAGACAAGCAAGGACAGGACGGCGAGACGCCCAGCCCACCTCGTCTAGGAATCAGAGAAAGTAACCTCGGCAGAGACCGAAAGAAGGGCGAGAAGGCCCTCTACTCAAAAAACTAGGAGAGCCGCCTTGTCCGGGACACATGGCGAGCTCCCCCAGCAAGTCCCTATGTGCTACATTCGACGACGACGCACAAATGAAGATCACAGTAAACCTAGGCGGATACACCACACAGGTCCTGATAGACTCAGGAGCCCAAGGAAACTTTATCGCACCCCGAATAGTGCAACAGCGAGAAATACCATGGAATCAGAAGCAAAACCCTTACCGACTAAGGAATGTGGAAGGGAAAGAAGTCGAGTATGGCGGAGGCAGCATTGATCAGGAGACAGCGCAACTCCCTTTGCTCTACCATGGCCATCAGGAGCTTATCAGCCTCGACATCACGGAGATAGGAAACCACGACGTTATCCTCGGAATTCCATGGCTACGAAGACATAACCCACAAATCGATTGGGTTACCGGCCGAATAAAATTCAATCCAGCCTCTGAGAAGCACTCGACGAAGGCCTCATGCGGATTACTAGCAGCAACCAGAGCAAGACCACGCCTGATGCTAAGGATAAAAGACATTAGCACTAGGACGCTAGCAGCCACGACGATTGACAAAGTCACGGAAGATCCAATGTCAAAGATACCTGTTGAATACAGGGTCTACAGCAAACTCTTTGCACCAGAACTCGAGACCGGATTACCGGAACACAGCAAGTGGGATCACAAGATCGAAATTAAGGAAGGATACGAACCCACCTTTAACAAAATATACCCACTCAACCAAGAGGAAATGAAAGCCTTAGACGAATGGCTTGACGAAAATCTTGCGAAAGGATTCATCAGACCTTCGAAATCACCCGCAGGATACCCCGTACTATTCGTACCAAAGAAGAACGGGAAGAAAAGACTTTGTGTCGATTATCGACGACTCAACGATATTACGATCAAAGACTGTTACCCACTGCCCCTCATATCGGAACTAAGAGACCTACTCTACGAGGCCTAATGGTTTACAGCCTTGGACCTTAAAGGAGCCTACAACCTTATCCGAATTGCAGAAGGAGATGAGTGGAAAACAGCCTTCCGAACGAGAAGAGGACAGTTTGAAACGTTAGTCATGCCATTTGGACTCACCAACGCACCGGCTACATTCCAAACTATGATCAACCAAGTACTACGGGAATATCTGGACAAGTCTGTTGTTATGTACCTCGACGACATCCTTATATTCTCCAAAACGTTGGAAGAACATAAGAAGCATGTCCACGAGATTCTCAAAGCACTCGAACAAGCGAAGCTACTTATGGAACCAGAGAAGAGTCTGTTTCACAAACAGGAAGTAGAATTTTTAGGGTTTACAATCACGCCAGGCGTAATCAAGATGTCCCCTAACAAAATCAAGGCTGTGCAAGAATGGCCTACACTAGAGAACCCGAAGGACATACTATCCTTCTTAGGATTTGTCAACTTCTACCGAAAATTCCTCAAAGACTACTCCAAAACGATATTGCCTCTTACCGAACTCACTAAGAAAAATGCACCTTGGGAATGGACAGACAAACAACAGAAAGCGTTCCAAGAAGTCAAGGACAAGGTCACATCGGAACCCGTCATCCAGATTCCGAACCCTGAGAAGCCCTTCGAGCTCGAAACGGATGCTTCGAACGAAGCTGAAGGAGCGCAGCTAGGCCAAAGGGACGAGAACGGAGTCCTATACCCCTGTGGATTCTTTTCAAGGAAGTTCCAAGGACCTGAACTGAATTACCAGATCCATGATAAGGAACTTATGGCAATTATCGACGCATTCAAAGAATGGAGACCCCAACTATCAGGAACAAAGTACGAAGTAAAAGTATACACGGATCACAAGAATCTAGCATACTTCACTACTTCGAAAGAGCTTAACAAACGACAAATCAGATGGTTAGAATTCCTCTTAGAATTCAACTTCAGAATCATCTATAGGAAAGGATCAGAAAACGGCAGAGCAGACGCGCTCAGCCGAAGACCTGATTACAAGGACGAAGTCCTAGAAGAAACTCAGGTTATCCTTAAAAAAGACAATGGCGACCTCGTACCCGCCGCGAAACTCTTAATGATCGGCGACCGTGTCAAGACCAGCACGACTGGAAGAATGATACACGACCAGATCAGGGAGATACACAGCGCACCCGCTCACGGTCACTAAGGAGTTACGAAAACCTGGAAACGAATTAGACAATACTACGACAAGCAAGTAATAAGAAAAGACGTCGCTGACGTAATCAAGGATTGCGAAGTCTGCGCAAAAAGTAAGCCCAGCAGATACAAACCATATGGAGAATTATAACTATTGCTAGTACTACCAGCACCCTAGCACTTAATCTCTCTAGACTTTATCGTCAAACTACTAAAATCGAGAGAACTACTTACTAAAGTACAGTACGACAGTATACTAGTGGTTGTAGATAGATTTACGAAGTACGCGTATTTCATACTATACTTAGAATCAAGTACGGCAGAAGACTTAGCATATACCTTTCTCAGGATCATTGTCAGCTAACACGGCCTGCCCTAGGAAATAGTGTCAGACAGAGGATCAGTCTTTACGTCCAAGTTTTGGAGATCCCTGATCTCGCAGCTTGGAGCAAAGCATAGCCTTAGCACTGCCTTCTACCCGCAGTCCGACGGACAAACGGAAAGAATCAACTAGATCCTGGAAACGTACCTAAGGAGTTATGTAAACTACGACCAGGACAACTGGGTTAAGTTGTTACCAACCGCATAGTTCGTATACAATAGTTTAATAGGAGAAAGCACGCGAGAATCACCTTTCTTCCTTAACTATGGATTTAACCCTACCGCTTATAGAGAACCCCGAACCGGCTCTGCCGCGATAAAAGCAGTAGCAGACATCAAGAAACTTAAGGAAATCTAACAAAAACTACCCCAAGAACTCGAATTCGTACGGCAAAGAATGAAGAAACACGCCGACCGACATAGGGTGAGAGGCCCACCCCTAAAAGAGGGAGGTAGCGCCTATCTCATACGGCGAAACATCAAAACGAAACGACCTAGCGACAAACTCGACTTCAAAAAACTAGGACCTTTCGAAATCACGAAGAAAATTTCCGAAGTCAACTATAAGCTGAAACTACCGGAAACAATGAAATGTCACCTAGTCTTTCACGTCTCATTATTAGAACCAGCACCGGACGGTACACACACCGAAGACTGCATCATTGTGGAAACAGATGACACCGAATACGAAGTAGAATGCATTCTAGACTACCGGAGGAATGACGAAACAACAGAATACTTCATTAAATAGAAAAACTACGGACACGAAGACGACTCGTGGGAACTAGCTAAGAACCTAGAACACGCTCAGGAAGAACTCCAGCGGTACTGGAACCAGGAACGCCTGGACCAAGGAAATCCGCCTCGACAAGGCTAACACCGAAGGAACCCCAGTCACCAGAATCCCCGGCACCCCAGGAATTGAGATCCTTAAGGACTGCCGCTTCCTGCGCCGCTACAACACGTTCCTCCTCCTCCCACTCATCAACAGACTGCATACCTCGACGAATTAGATCAGAACCACGCTCCTTAAGAAACCTCTTCTGTTTGCGAAGACGAGACAAACGACCCAGAGCAGCGGCAAGCTGAGTCTGCAGGATCTCGAGGGCCTCCTCGGCCTCCTGTTCCTCCTGCTTAACCTTCTTCTGCTCCCGGAAACAACGATTCACTAGAGAAATTAGCAAAAAAAAAAAAAAAAATCATAGGAAAAGGACATACGGGCATTTGCCATATCACCACTATTACAACCCGTTAGACCCCGTGCCACATACTCACTACAACGCTTCGAATTAGCGAGATCCATCTTGCACACACGATGATGCTGAAAACAAGGCGAGCAAGGCATTGCGTCGTAACCACGATGCTCGACAAGAATTCCTAGAGCCTGACGATTACGCTTGATTTGAGCGCGCCGACTTTCGTTGGAAACCGATTTTTGAACGCGACCTGACATGGTGTCAGCATCATGAATGAATAAGGACGCACGATTGACGACTCCCCAACCTGGGAGCCCCGACCTACTTATGTTGGCCTTGAGGACAAGACCATCGAGGGGAGACCTGATGTTACGACCCGTTAGATATACCTAACAGGACCCACTCGGTTGGGCGGTTATGACAGGACTTTGTATGCAGGGCCACGGGAACAAAAGGTAACCTCTCGGAACGGAAGAACTATAGAACGGAACAAGTCACGTGATGAATCATTCTAGGTCAGAATGATCCAAGAAGAGTTGGGGGCCAACGGATCATGTTCGATCAATATGATCTCCAACGACTACAGACAATACGTGTAGATAGACTCCTATATAGACCAGGACTTGAGTACCTGCTCAAGCCCTCTAGATAGTTCTTCAGCAATCAACTTGTGATTCATCCTCGAATGACTTTCAGCTTACCTCTCAGTATTGTGAATACTAAGAACCTCGTTACCATAGTGTAAGACTGATCACCTTACCCTAACCCTACGATCTACCAGAACGACCTCTACGAACCAGTGTTAGTCTCTTACTGCACCTTCTGTTAGCAGAACCCTACTGTCAGATAGCTGGCCGTAACAATAGACTGCGTCTGATGCTGGAATGTGCAAGAAGCTTTCAGCCTGTTCTAGGCTTGCGGGGTGAAGCTTGTGTACGCCATGTCTATAATCCTATTTGTTTAATCGCTTAGTGGCCTCCAAGTTCGTGTTTTCGTCTTCATCAGAGTGTAGCAGGCTTTCCTTCGGCATTCGGGAAGCTCCACGTAGTCCTTCTGTTAGAATGATACAAGAATTTAGGTCAGATGTCAACATACCTGCCGAGTTTTGATTTCATGTATGGTTTTACCGTTTCATACTATGTACTACACCTGAGCATTTTTTTTGGTTCGTTCTGAGCTAACCAAATGCCGCTTAGATTAGCCAGCGCCACCAAGATTGCCAGCCTTACAGCAGAAGCGCCCGTGGAGCTTGCCTTAGAGGCTAGACACTTAAACTGACGGGCAGGCTGAGTAGGCTTTAGCACACCATCATGGCATCTGTCTCTGGCATGCCGCTTAAAATAGATTATCACTTAGTGTGACACACCTTCGTTGCTGCCTAGCTGCCAGCGACCCTTTTCATGCCCTGGATGTAAGACTTTACCGATAGATTTGGTTAGCCAATCTTGGCCGAGTGACATGTGACAGAGATTTGGGGGCATGGTGGTCAGACGTGCACACAGGGTTGCGGCTAAAAAGAAGATCTGTCTCATACGTTGGGGTTAATTCCAGCCGGCCCTACTTTAGTTCGCATAGTCCAGGCAGGCCAACAAGCTTTTCAGAAAATCTCGAGTTTGGTCACTTGGCCTTTGTCGAACCCAAGGTGTAGCTGATCGCACTGATGGACGTTAACCACAATGAAACTCGGAAAACCCCATCCAAACATCGCTGCAACTATTTATCCTCGCTACCAACAAGAATCGTCAAAGGTCAGTGACTGATAACCCTGATTTTGGTATCGGAGACTGACGAGATGACGCCTACAACCAACTATATGCTCACCGATCACGCCACCGTGTGGCGACTAGACCAGTACAACCTTGTGGAAACTGAGAAGGTGCATAAACATTTTCCTTAAAATGATGATAATTCTTTTGGGTCAACCTATGCTTGTCTATTATGCCGAGCTGCAATGGAGGCCACCTATGTAAGACACTGCCGCTAAACTATTGGCTTTTTCTTTTCCAGGGGGGATGAAGGTGGGGGAGGGGAGAACAAAAAACAACGAAACGGTTGACTGCACACTGACTGCAAGTGTTAAATATTTCGTTTTTCAGTCGCCGCTTGCTTCTCACCTTCTGTTTGTTCGCTCAAGCGCAAAATCACCTCCCGCTCCCTCTCACCCAATATGGAGTATCAAACCCTCCGTCATTCACCACGCGAGATACGACTAATCCGAATATTCCCCGACGATAACCCATGTAACCCAATCCAATGTGAACTAGAGCATACGTCCCTCTCGGCACCAGGGGCCTATGTCGCCTTGTCATACTGTTGGGGAAGCACAAAAGATATAACCCACATCGCCGTATCTCAAAGCCGATTTCCCGTTACAAGAAATCTCGCCCATGCTTTGCAATTGCTGCGACTCAAAGGCTTTCATCGAGTATGGGCTGATGCTATTTGCATTAATCAGAGTGACCTAGACGAACGGGCTCAGCAAGTGTCATGCATGTGCGCGATATATCAACATGCCACCATAACAGTGGCATGGATCGGTAACCCTAATACTAATCGTGACCTGGTGCTATCCAAAAGATCCTGTGAGCTCATCAACCTCTTGAACAAGAAAAGGGACAGTCTGGTGTCGGCGCCACCGAATTGCAATTGGTCCAACAGAACTTACCACGAAACGTCATTCATACCCGAAAGTCAAAAGCCAGCCTATAACCAAAAGTTGCTCCAAGCACTTCGCCTTCTGGACTCAGACGACTGGAATATTTTGATAGAGTTGTTTAAGCAAGATTATTGGAGCCGCGTATGGATTATACAAGAAGTTTCAGTTAGTGCGAATGTCCAGTTCGTTTGGGGCAGTCAATCATTCTGGCTTAAAGAATTACGATGTGCAATGTCGGTTTGCCAAAATTACAGGGCCGACATCCCAGGAGCCGATAAAGTCGCTTCAACGGAAGGATTCCGCCATGTTGAAATGCTCTTCGGCTTCCGCCAAAGCACATCCAATACGCCGAAGAGCCTTATCCAGGCCTTGATTGATTGCCAAAGAGCAGTGTCGACCCGTCGAAGAGACAGGCTTTATGCTCTAACTCACCTTACCACAGACGGTACAAAGCTGATACCAAACCCAGACTATGAGATCACAATAGATCAGCTCTATGAAGAAACCACCTTTCGGATGATTAGCGCGAGCTCCGGCCTTGATTCAATCGTCTTCACCGTTCGCTCTGGCGATAATTGGATACCTCAATGGGACAACCCGTCCACATGGTCAAATTTGAGAGCCAGCGAGTACCTATCTGGAAGATGCAACTTTGTGAGCGAAAGATCACGTAGGAACCATGGCTCCGGTACGGTTATTAGCCAGTGGAAGGCAACAAAAGACTCGAAACCGTACGCGACGAAAATACGCCATGTGTTGGAAGTTAGGGGCAAAAAAGTCGGAAGAATAGCAAATTGCTCTGCGACAGCATCTGAAGCCTGCCAAGCGGGTACACCAGGATTGTTACAGCATTCAACCGTCAAGGATAATGACTGGGTACCCAGCCGAAAGACACTGATTGCCCTGTGTTGGATATTATACGATCTTTTACCCAATAACGCCTACATAAAAGCGAAAAAAGTCAGTGTAGCTGATGTTCACTGTCTTCTTGCCAGCAAAAGTCGACGACAGGAAGTCCAGAGAAACGAGTCTGAGCTTTTCAGATGGCTTACATGTCGGAGGAACCTATCTTTCAAGATTGATAATGTCCCACTCATAAATTGGCTTTCAGGGACAAATATGTTGAGCCAGATAAACCCCAGACGGCATGATGCTTCGGCCTTAGCGAAACGAATAGCTGATATTGTAAGGTTGGAAATGAGGCTCATTACTACGGATGAAGGCGATATCGGATGGGCGACCGATTCTTGTAAGCCCGGAGACGACTTGTATTTGCTACTTGGATGCAGTGTGCCTGTCGTACTACGGCCAATCCAAGGCGGGCAATATCAATTACTAGGAGATAGTATTATACACGGACTCATGAAAGGCCAGGGCATGGTAGGCGAATCGCCCTTGCAGTGGCAGCGGGTGTTACTGAAGTAATTTCGCATTGTGGAATTGAATTATGTCCTTACCACCCAAGACTGTTGAAAACTAAGATTTAACTGTGTGTTTTCGTTCATTTGATTATTTGGCTTGGTCTAAAAGCGGCGCTAGCAATATATCTCATTCCAGCTTTTATCATCCTTACGATTACCACTTGTGTGATCATTATTTGCGCCGTAAATGTAGTGAGAAGTATTGATGAGGTCGTTGAAAGAGCTCACATCAATAAGAACCTCGTCAGTTCTTTAATAGTCCCTATTGATTATAACACACCAAAGCACTTCTCAGTAGAACGCTTCACCTAGCGTCACAGGAGAGTCCGTTCAATAGCTGTTATATCCAACGCTAGTATTCAGGTTATACTGATCATTACTCCTTGCCTTTTTATAACCGAATAGACTGTTTTCAACAAGCCTATGACTCTTGCCCCCGTGATCCCCTTCGTCCGCACCGGTTGCTGCATGCGCAGTAGAGGATGGCGAATCTAACTAACTCGAGGGAGCCATATTACTCAGTCTCTGTCTGATTATCACCTCGGCCTTACATATCAGTCGTAATAACGACATTGATAGGGCTTTTTCTGTCGCCTGAAGCTGAAATGGCTTATGACTACCGTGCCTTTGGAGTGCGTGTAACCCATCGAGGCCCTGTTGGCTACAGGTACATTCTCTTGAAGAGAAATAGTCCCTCAGATGCTAATCAAGACTTTTTCTGGACAACTAAATAATCACCATTAAAGGTTGTGACGACATTGTTAACGCTCACCGAATACACCGAGCGAAGTGTGTTTACATGAGGCATATGAAACGCACACCGGAGATGTATACATAAATGCTCTTTCACACACATACCCTCTTTCTAAATCAAGCCACTCTTTTACACCTTTTCTAGCCTGATTACTATGTGCCTAGTTCGTCACAATGGCATTTATATAGTTTGGAAATTTCTATTCAAGAGGCACTTGCGTGATAACTAAAAGGAGGCCTGGGAACTATAGGAGCTAATGATACATAGTTTTATCTCTTGTGGTGGTAAAAGTGGACTCACAGTTACCAGTCGGTTACTGTGGGGTATATGGCCATCACGACATATCTCTAATGTAAGGGGAAAAGAGTGGACATCAACTGGAGACTCTGTAACTATAGCCAACTGGAACCTGGTGGGATATCTATGTTATAGTGAAATGTGAAATAGCAAACATATGACTTCTAGCTTATGAACTTGTTGTGATCCTAGAACCATTCAATCCAAACGTTAAGGTCTTTAATCTACCAACTTCTGCAGCTCTGTAAGAATCTATCTGGCTTTTAAGGCCAATGGGATAAGGATCCGCACCGCGGTTGACTATGTATGCTTGTCCACAATCTATTGGCTTCAAAGTTCTATGATATAGACCTTCCAAGGCGCCAGATGAACTTTGATTTCAGGCGACTCTGCTTCGTCATTACAAATTCTCATACTTAATTTGTCCCGGGAATAGAAGATGCTGGATTTGAATTAACCCCGTTATTATGCGTTCCACACTAGAAAACCATAGTTGAGCGCACAAACACCAACAGCATTAACCCCCGGCTCGGATCCGCAGCACTCTCTAGGTTATCCTTTGGTGTGTAGTGGACATGGTCATCAAGCTTCCGCAATGCATCCCAGCTACTAGTACAGTCGATAACCAGCGCACGGATGACGACGGCTTCTCCCGGGATGCGGGACATCGCATGCTTGCAGAAACCAGAAGAAAAGAACTGAAAGATAACATGAACTTACCTAAGATCTACCCTGTAGGCACATACTTCCCAAAAAATCGTGTGCATATCGTCTAGTATGTTTCTTTTCATCTTGGCAGTCTTATGTGTGGTTTTCACATCAGAACGTGTGCATGGGAGTTCCGACTACCCATCTCGGTTAAGCCGACCCTTGAGATTCGCCTTCGGACCAGATACGACCAATGATTCGTCTGACCTCAATTAATGGCGCACATTTTTAAGCATGGTCAGAAATCCCCGCATCTAAAAAGTACCATCCCGTTATTTGAGAATTGCCAGTATGAGCTCCCTGTCAGCGCCCTGACGCCACCCTCTGGTTACGGTTGAAATACTCAGATACTTGTTCCGCATCGATCACATCTGTTCTTGCTCACGATGTTTCTTCTAGTGCATCGTCAGTAATAGAACACAAGCCGCCGGCCCGTTGGGTCTTGTCGCCATCCGTTCACTTCTGGATGGCGGAGTGTGTTTTCCCGGGCGAGCTGGGGTATTGTGACCCCTGTACCCATGTTACATAGGTAAAATCCTCCTAGATAACATTCGTACTAGTGGAGAGCGGGCCGAGAGCTCAAACAGGCATCGTCCGTCGGTAAGCGATCGAACAAATGCTTCTTACGACGGATCTGGTCCCACACCCCGGAACCTGGCCCTCGGTGATCTTAATGTTAGCTGCCTAATGTTGTCAGCAAACACAACCGCAACTTCGCCTGTGCCCCTCCCGACAGTTTTTTGTCGGAAACTGCGTCTAGACCGACAATGATGAGCTAATGCACACTATAACCCCGTGTCATGGTAATACTTCTTGTTGGTCCCAAACCGTACTTTGTTGAGTCGGTCTGTTGGCCTCAACCGACCCTGGTTTGTTAGGAGCGGAATCGGTCCACTGTGAACGCGTTGATCATCTCGGCGCAACAGCACATCCAGGGCTGGGTGACCGAGGCAAACCAGGGCCCGTGGTATAGTAGTACGTATACTCCGTACTTTGTGAACACTGGTATATGATAGCCTAATTGATATGTGCCTCATTCGTCACAGATTGTCATTGTGATTCATGAAGACCAATCCGAGACAATCCCGAACTCCATAAATTTAAATTGCGCCTTACATTGATAAAGTGAGAAATGTAAGTAGTACACGCTTGTAAATCGCTCTCAGAATCAACAATTCTTGTAGTAAAAAATCTAACTAATACCACGTGTTTAACGGCTTCAAGAAGACGTCATGTGTTAATGGGCTTGTCCAACAATAGAATTGGCATGTCAGTAAGACAGCCTTAAGCAGGAATCTTGTAGCCCGAGAGACGTAGCTTCTGAAAAACACCAGTTGGGTCGTACTTCAAAGATGCGGCCTGGAGCTTCCTAGTGGCTGCTTCTCCAAAAGTGGCGATGACGTCCTGCACTTTGTGGGCATAATTCAGATACTTCCACTCCCAGGCCAGATCCAAGGACGCTGCGTACTTGTCGACGTCGTCCGTATAGGCCTTGACAAAGTCAAATGCAATGGCCTCATTATCAGCACCATTGATAGCAAGCGTAACGAGGAACATGATGCCGTTCCCCCGCGCGATATAGTTGTCTAATCCCATGATGTTTCCACCCATCGCAATGCCCTTGTCGACTATGGACTTGGAGATGGGCTGGAACATGCACAGAGTGTTGAAGCCCGAGTCCACGCCAACGGCTTCTTCAAGGTTCTCATTGAGGGTGTAGAACTTATCCACAGCGTAATTCATCACGCGGGCATCGTTGTCGAATGCCAAAGTAAACCATGCATTTCGGAAACCCACAGGCTGACCGGAGCCAAGCTCGTTGGCTACCGTAGATAGTCGGTCAACCTTAGTTGTGTCCTGGAGAATCTTCCCCGAGACGTAGTATTGATCAAAAGCCGCAGGCTTGACTTTTCCCAAGGTGTTCTCAACAGCAGCGTTCAGCATCATGCCTCCCAAGGCAGGAATATAGGCCCAGTAGACGATGGAAGAACTGTTTTCATCCTTGTGAACGTTCTCAGTGAAGTCAACCAAGGATTCTATAACCTCAGAGCCGGCGCTCAAGTCGTAAATGAGATTTCCACCCCAAACGTTGGGGTTTTGGGCGTCGGGGAAATCGATAACGTACATGTCAAATCGTGTCACAAGGCCCAGATTGGCACCGCTGCCTTTCAAGCCTTGCCACAAGTCGGCATTCGACGTGGCATTGGCGTTAACAACCGACCCATTCGCCAGGACCACTTCGAAGTTGGCGACTTGGTCGCAAGCCATGCCGTGGGAGGCAGAGTAGAACGAGTTGCCGCCGCCGGTGATGAAGCCACCGACACCGACGGTGCCAGCACGACCGCCGGGAACAGCAACTCCGTGGGGTGCAAGGGTGTCATAAACAGTCTGCCAGTGGCCTCCGGGCTGGATAGATGCGAGCTTAGTTTCGGGGTCATAAGTCGTCGAATTCATGTTGCCTATGATGATCTTGTGAGTACTCAAGATCAAGTTGATGATAAATGGCGATGTTTACCAAAGTCTATGGTCACGCCGTCCTCAACGCTGTTTGAGCCGGCAAATGAGCCATGTCCGCCACCCCGAACACCAAACGAACAGTTGTGCGAGGCAAGCGTTGTGATGGTGACAGAGACGTCTTCAGCATTTGATGGCTGAACAACGCACCACGGTGGTAGGGCAGCACTGACGGACCAGTACGAGTTCATACGGCTTTCATAGTCGACTGAGCCTGGAGAATAAACCTTGCCAGGAAGGCGAGCAGCTAAACGTGGACACTTTCTGCGTTGTTAGCCACCTGAAAGGACCTCGGTGTTACCCAACAGGCAAACAATTGTAACGGCTCTGAATAGATGGACTTACGCATGTAGCCGAATGGGAGCAGCTACCTTGCGTCGAGGTAATAAGGCCTTGAAACGCTATCGTAGCAAGCCCAAGTATCTTTGTCGCCTTCATGACGGCTGTCTTTGCAAGTGAAACTGCCGGTAAGACGGATGAAGGTCAGACGGAGAAACTGCAGGAAACACTGACAGAGAAAATTGTCTGAAAAGAACCAAGGAGCATTTGCGTTTGCTGGCCCTTTTACGTGGAACGAAAAACGACGCTGAGGATGTGGAGCGAGCGCCGGATTCGTGTGCCCTCTTTGGTCTCGAAGAGCAGGGTATATTCGTCTAGCCGAACACCCATGGGCCCCTGGTAAGCGCGGAAGCGACAGACCCTTACAATTTATGTACCAACCAACAACTCTGAGTGTGTAAGCTCACCAAACTAGTGGTCATGGGGTCGGGTGAGGGGTTTATACCAACAAATACCCCAGGTTTGAGTCGAAGACGGCAAATTGTGGGGGCAGTAGAGAGGCCGAGAACAAGATTCATCCGCTACTGTGTCGTACATTTTGATCAGGGGAGTTCCACTCAAGACCAACGATGGGTAACCGTGTGGCTAATCAAACCTCTCTATGCAAGATTCTAGCAGATTTTGACTACTCTATGTCTGTGTGCTTTGTCAAACTCATCCGATATTATCTAGAAGCGACAAGGGCTGATTGCATGGATCCGAAGAAGGCAGCTCGATTTTCATTTCCGCCGTGAACAAGGCGTGAGGTCTCGTTCGAAAGATTAATAGAAAATCTACGAACCAACACGTCCTGCCTTCGTTGTTGGTTGTAACCATGTCGATGTGAGTCAATTAGACTGAAGTCTCGTCGGTGAAAACTCTGAAGCCCCGATCCTTGTCAACATCACTCGTAATTTGCTCAGAACAAAACTCTTGCCGAGCTGGTCCACAGGCAAGTTTACCCAGCGTGAATCCACTTCATCAGATACATTGCCGAGCGAGACTTATGGCAGGGCCTATGGGCTGTTTAATTTGGCGAAAATCAAGGATCAGATTCAGAGCATGGAAGGCCACTTCGACTTTCCCGGAGAGAAACTAGACAGAGAATCAGAACAAAAAGACGGCGGGCGGTATGGCCTCGGACTTTGCATAGTATTTCTGCTATATGTACTTGAAGAATCCCGCCTTGGGACGTAACTTGATGCAATCTTTTATGCCAACTAATTATTGTCAATCCCCTAGTCAAAGGTTCTTTTATTTCTCTTTATCTACTCAGGTTCTACATGGGCAGCTAAAATGCCCATCATCAATGGTGTGACTATACTTCTCCCAGCGCCAGATGGCTATATAGTCGATTTTCAGAACCCGCAACGACAGGCTGTGCCTGAGGCCTATTGGGTCGCTGGTATTGGAACGTCCTTAAGCCTGTTGCTGATGGCCCAGAGAGTTTACACGAAGGCGATCTTGCATGGATACCTCGAGTTAGAAGACTGTAAGTGCCTATACACATCGTCCCTCGCTTGGGGGTGAACAAGATCTGCAAACCAACATTAATTTCTGCAGGGATTCTCTTATTCTCGTGGGTGAGTCTTTACAAAATTTCCAGCCCTTGCTATCTGCGGAGTTGGAACTGGACTAGAAATCAAATTCTCAATCTGCCAGTAGTTGACGTCCCTTGTGGCAGTGGTCTTGTGTACGTGTAAGGCTTCGTACTTGATCCACCACAACGTATGGCTGTTCTGATGGTTTGTCGCAGACATGTTTGGTGCAGGTGTTGGAGGAATTCATGCGTGGGAACTTTCCATTGAAAGATATCAGACCTTCATGACTGTACGTAATTACATCTTTCTCATTTACACAACGTCTTTTTCAAAATAGCTCATGTTTCAAATAGCTCGTCTATACAGCGGCACCGATATACCTCCTCCGGCAGCTCGGCAAAAATCTCACTGCTCGTTTTCTATAAGCGAATATTCCCCCAAAGATGGCTCCAATGGTCAGTCTGGATACTTGCCGGCGTCATAGTGGCATATACCGCTGGAATATTCTTCCCGCTGATCTTTGCCTGCCAACCGACTGCGAAAAGCTGGGATTCTAGGATCACGAACGGAGCATGCATCAACGGGGCAACGTTGTATATAGCGACAGCTGTTGCCAATATCATATCCGACGTCTTCGTTCTGGTGCTGCCAATTCAGCCGTTGATCAAATTACAAATGAAGCGGCGCCGACAGAAGATAGGTCTTGTAGCCTTATTTGCCGTGGGTTCTTTGTATGTACTAAATTCGCTCTAAGGCAGTTATCACTATTGTCACCCACTAATAAGACGAAAATACACAGGACCGTGGTCACCTCGTTCGTGCGTTTCTTCCTCTTGCTAGATATGCTCAGAAGTTTGGATCAATCCTGGGCCATCTCGTGGGCCAGCGTGTGGATGTAAGTATTGCCGCGCTCTTTTTTCCTTCCTTGCTTACAAATTATCGCAGCATCATTGAAGCCAATCTCCTCATCATCTGTGCAGCTTTTCCCACTCTCAAGAAGTTCATTCGGCATATCGCGCCAAAACTCCTGGGCGAAAGCTCGTACGGTCGAGGGACAGAACAGGCCGTGAGCGGTGGTGTAGCTAACCGTGGTACTAACGGGACGAATAACTCGCTGGGGCATGAGTTCCTGATGGAAACTTTGCCACAAGGCACGTCAGTGAAAGTCGCTGGCGGATCCTATGATTTGGACGACGGCTCGTCTGAAACGGCCATTATACTCCCAAGTGTCATTATTCAGACGAGAACTGTGACTATAATGAATCACCATTGGCTAGTCAGTTAATCGGCTAGGTTGTTGGGTGCCGTAAACGCGTGATGTTTGTCAGTCTGGCGATAGGCTATGATTTCACTAAATTCACTCGTCACAGCAAGCAGAAGCTTATAATGACATCGTCCTATCTAGAAGTAGGCACACTATTCCTAATCACTTCAATAAATATCATACACCAGTTGACGTAAGTAGTGTCAGTGAGAAAAAAGTATAGTTTTCAACTAAGTATTTTATATCAACTTATAGTAAAGAAAGGTTCTTATTGGAAATCTCGTAACTAGTAATCTGGCTTTAAAAGCTAGTTCTGATTTTCCTAACTGGCTAAATTAGCTAGATTTTACTGGGTATAGGCCTTCTCTTTCGTGATAAAACTACATTACAAAAATAGCTTTTACAAAAGTTTGCGGTATATATAACGACCTCCACCGATTTAACCATGTCAATAAGCTGTCACGCTATCCCTTTACTAAGTTAAAAAGTTAATACGCGACATATTCATATTTGTCAATCGTGTAGAGACAGTTTAAATACAACTGAGTAAGCATTCCAAAAAAGAATAGAAGATCTCTGAGTCATATCAATCTGTTTTCGCCGGACCCATCCGACCTCAGTACCAGGGCTAATTGCTAGGCGTTTTAGACACTGAATCCGCCGATTGATACTTATCTAACAGATTGCTAATCACTTTATCGGCCAATTGTAGTAGGTTGATGCCTGAGTTGACATCGCTCGGCGGCAGCCGAATGTCAAATTGCTGCTGAACCCAAGCAGTCAGCTCAACCGCTGCGAACGAGTCCAAGCCCAGGGAAGTCATGCTCGTTGTAAGAGATAGCTGCTCCAGCGGTTTGACAAGGAACCCAAGCAGGGCTCTTCCTAGTAATGAAGCTAGTGAAACTTGGCTTTTTGTTGTATTGAGTTGATCCGGCTGTTCTCGCGCAAAGTGAATGAACTCATGACACTTGGTCAAAGTCATGTCCTCGGTGTTGACATTCTCATCATAATGGGGGCCGATAAAAGCCTTAGCCATCCTCGGATCACGCTCCCAAATAAATTGATTCGTTTGGGTTCCTGTGCTGGGGTCAGAAACCATACCCAAGACAAGTTGCGGTGGTGCGGCTGGCTGGATTGTGATGGCGATAGCGCGCATGACAGCCTTTTCTCCTAAATACACATAGCCGGCCTTGTGGAACTGAGCCGCAAGTCTTCTATCCCGCGCTACAGCTCCAACGGACCTTACGATGCCGAGATCAAGTACGCTGGCGGGAAGCCCTAGACTACGACGGTAGACAGCGAAAGCGTCCAGGTAAGTGTTGGCGGCGTTGTAATTAGCCTGGCCTCGCTGACCAACGATCCCGCTGACCGAGCTTAGAAGTAGGAAGAAATCAAGCTTTGGTTTCTGGCACTGTAAAACAGCATGTATGTTTTGCGCTCCGACGACCTTAGGCCCAACGGCAGCGGACCAATCCTCCCAGGACATCTCATCCATGGGACGGTCTCGAAGTAACATGGGCATGTGGAAAATCCCAGCAAGGCCTTCAGGGGCAGGCAGGGCTGCGTTGATGGCGGCTTCAACATCTGAGATATCTTCGACGTTGCCAGACACACAGGTGGTGCTGCACCCCATGCTTGCCAGTTCTCTGAAAAATGAAGTTTTATCCGCGTCAGAGTCCGCAGCCGAACGTGATAGAAACACGAGATGACGAGCTCCGTTCTCAGCCATTCAGCATGCCAGAGATCTGCCAAGGCCTCCAAGGCCCCCTATCAACAAATAACTGGCATTGTAACGGAACAAGGGTCCTCTCTCAAGCCTCTCGGCGTCAACCATCTGTTTGTCGGTGGTAAGGCTCGTTCTGCATCTTCCAGTGATGACCACCTCATGCGAGGGATTTGCACGATGCCATTGGAGGTGATACCGAACTCATGATCCGTATATGTTTCATGTGAATCGTTAGACTGGTTGCGTCGCAGTCCCTGGACGATACGCGCAATGGCTGCGGCACAATTCGACACCGATGTCTGCAGCGCTTCCACTTCGATGGTGGTAAGGTCAAGTGTGGGATGCTCATTTTGTGCCGTACGTGCAAGGCCTAAGATGCATCTTGCGTCAGGCTTGGGACAAAGTGCGTCGGTTGCTGCACTCCCAAGCTGAAGAGGAGGGACGACAAAGATCATTGATCCATGCACTGAAATAAGCTGTTTTATGAATGGCTGAAAAATGGTAGCTGTCAGCGCTTTTATGGGGTATACTTCAAGATACAGGAGAGATAAAGTAACAACTTCTTCGTCGTCTTGGAATCCTTCATGCACCAAGTCGCATATGCGGACTATGGCTCGCCGGCCAACAGCTTTCATTTGGTATTTTATTGCTTCTGCGAGGTGTTTGAACAAGACTGTCGTGAGGACGACCACAAGTCTTTGATCCTGGGAACTGATTTGGGCGGTATTTAAAAATGGATGAGCTGATAGACCGTTAAAAGGAAGCCTGACACTTTCCCCAGTTGTCAACTGCTCAGCAAGAAGTCCAGCCTGAGGGGTCTCGGGCGAGAGATAGAAGAGAGACCGAGCGACAGAGAAGCTTCCCAATGGGCGGGAGCATCGACAGATGCAACGAAGACCGAGTCGCATTAGCTGCTCTTCCGCTTCAATGGTGGAGTTATCAACCACGAACCAACCCCCTGGTGCTAGAATAGATGCACAGTGGTCAAAGCCAAGGGTCAAAACCATGCCCGAAAGGCTCCGGTGACTATCCAGGATGACGACGTCAAATTTGGCTTCTTGATTGCTTTGTGAAGATTGCAGAAGAGTCTTCTGAGAATCTGAAGAAAGATCCAGAAATTGAGGAACAGGTTCTGTTTCTCCACCATCGTCTAAAGCAAGTCGTCCTTGTTGAAGCTGCTTCGACGGCATGGCTGCATATGTCAAATTCGACCCTAAGTGCCCATTTGACATAAGTTGTGTCTGCAAAGCTTGCTTCACACTGTGGGCTAAGCTCGTGTTAACTCCATCTACGTTGCAGAACACTCGAAGGCGTGGGTTTTTGAAGGCAAGTAACTGAATCAACCAAGCTGTGGAGCTGACATAGTTCGTGTCATTCAAGTCGACATCAGGGGCCCAGTCAAAGTGTGATACCAGCTTGAGGCTTTCTAGACTGGGATGGATTTGAGCCCGTGGCTTGGCTGAGAGTGTGACGTCCCGCATGACGAAACGTGGATGCTCGCCTCGACTGCCTTGATGTGCCTTGATAGTGCCCTCCAATGATCGACCTGGCTTAACCCATTTGACCGCCGCAGTCATGCCAAGTCTACCACCGCTGAAGTCAATCATCTCCTGCTCTTTGCCTTCAATCTCTTGATATCGTGCTGCTACAACCACGATCTCCTTGATGAAGCTTGGAACCAGTAGCACGTCACATCTTCTTCTAAGTCCTTGGCACATGGCAACGAGATTGAGCTGCAAGCCCATATCAAGAACTGCTGGGTGTAGCAAGTAGCGCGAACTACTCTCAACATCATTGTAGGCTGATGCTGATGCTGCCATTTGCGTGGTAGAGGCTGTAATATCTTCGAGACCTTGTAGTGATGCGCCATACGACAAGCCTACGTCGTTGGCAGTTGAGTACCAGTCCGTACTATCCACCTTTCGCGAAAATGTTTCGTGCTTCGACACCTGCAATGGAGAATCAGAGTGTGTGGGCAGCCTCTCGCAAGCAACCAGCCCAGGGCAATGACTGGTCCATTGGTCATTGCCTTGAATCGGAACCAAAGCCATGATGTGGAAGTTGTGCCAAGTTCTTTCGGTTTCGTGGCCGTTAATGATAGTATCAGTTTTTGTCGGCGAGAGACGTGTAAACAACTCGATTGTCAAACCTGGAGGCACAACCAGCGGCGTATTGATGGAGACGTCCTCCAAGATGTAGTTGTCTGTGTCAGCCGACACGAGCTGGCGAACTGCCTCTCCAGCCATTGCAACGAAGCCCGCAGCTGGAAAAACAACCTGTTCATCAACTATATGGTGACCTAACCAGCTGGGCAGATCCTCAGGGTCCAAGACACTTCGTCAGCACGGCTCTATGTCGGTTGTGTCCGGCACCCTAGCCCCCAGAAGCTCATGCGGCGGCCGCTTTGCACTCTTGTAGACTTGAGCAATGCGGGGTTGATCAAAATACTTCTTTCCATGGTGCCATGCATAAGGAGGCAAGTCTGTTAAACACGAGGATTCCCCATAGTCCATGATGCATTCAAGCTGGGCTTCCGACAATGCTCCACGTATGAAAAGCTCGCCGGTTGCCTTTAGCATAGCGATGTCGGCTCTCTCGCCACGACTCAAGGTGGGTACATAAGCAACATCGGAAGAAGATGCCCTCGCAGAAAGTATCTGTCCCACGGGTCTTTGGAGCGCAGGGTGGGGACCTATCTCAATGAGAAGCAGGCTGCCTTGTGTTGACAGCGACGTTTCGCTGGCTATTAGATGGCTCAAGGCCTGGCGGAAAAGTCTTACAATGTGTCAGCAGAGTTCCCACCAAGACTGATGCGTCAGACGCTTACACGGGCCTCAAGAGGCTTTCTTTCCAGTATCTTGTGGTTAACACTGCTGAAGATGATTCTTCTAGCAATGAACCTGTGACACTGCTATACAGTTTGCAAAACTGTGTATTTTCATATCCATTCTTGAGAAACGGCGTTAATAGCTCTTCGTATTGCGCCGCACATTGATCAACGTGGTGAGAGTGAAATGCCGTCTCGACCTTTAGCATTTGGCTTGAAATTTTTGGATGAGCGTATCGGATTCTTTCTAGTACCGCCTGCACTGCCGACGTGTCACCTGAGATGGCTGTGCTGATCGGACTGTTCTCACATGCTACAACAGCGCCTGGGACTAAAAAGGTCGCTGTCTTTTCGGCACTTAATTCGACAGAGGCCATGGACCCTTTTTCTTTTTTGTTATGGCTGGTATGCAAGATGAAGCCGCGCAGGTATGCAGTGATGATGGCTTGGTGCACCGAGAGCACACCCGCGGCATAAGCGGAAGCCACTTCGCCACTTGAGTGGCCTACCACCGCAACGGGCGAGACTCGCCTGGACCGGAAGACGTTGACTAAACCAATCTGTAGAGCTGTGCAGCAGGGGAGAGAGAACTCTGTCTTATGCACGCGGCTGGTTGGCGCTGGACGTGATAACTCATCTGCCCCTTAGTGTATGCATGTGTGGGCAGTTTCAGACACAATCCGTGCTGGCAAAAAGGGGCAATGAAGCAAGACCTTAAAACGTACCGAATAGTTTCCACGTGGGTGCTAAACCTTCTGGGGGTGCCTGTAAAGCTTGGTCTAGATCTCGGATTGTACTAGAAAAAACTGTGTTGTTCTGAAGCAGCTCGTATCCCATATGAGGAGATTGTGCGCCTTGGCCAGTGAACACAAATGCAATCGGTGGTACTTTGCTTTCTTCAACTTGAAGAACTGACGGAGAATCCTCGAAACTCAGAAGCGGCGAACTATTCGCAAACTCTCTATCATGCTCGCTTTTGAGACCGAGCTGACGAACGATTGTGAATGTGCGATAGGAGAAGTGGCGTCGCCGGCAACTCAGGGTATAAGCCAAGTCACGAAGCAAAATGCAAGCTTCGTCTTGCGTGCGGACTCTCTGCTGAACGTAGTCGCGGTGATTATTGACCTGTTGTTGCAATGACCAAGGATGAGTGGCAGTTTATAAGAGGATATGTGGTCTTCGAAGACTTTCTAGGTCTGTTTTCAACGGATAGGAACACCCATGAGAATGTGATTCCGATATCACATGGGCATTGGAACCTCCAACGCCGAATGAGTTTACGCTCACCCTCTCCTTTCGACCTGCAGGCCAAGGCATAGAGTCGAGAGGAACGGAGTAGAGAAAAGGAGGGTTATCCATACTCATGGGGTTTGGCGTTTCGAAGAAGATATTCGGCGGTATGGCTTTGTGCTCAAGGGACAAAACAGCTTTGATGAGACCAGTCAAACCTGCGGCGCCTTCGGAGTGGCCTACATTCGGCTTAACACTCCCTATAGTAATTCCACCATGTCAGAACACATTGGCTATCGCACTTGTCTCTAGCGGATCACCTACGGCGGTTCCAGTCCCATGGCATTCGATCCATGCCGTTTCTTCGAAGCTTGCAAGGCCTGCCAAACGATATGCTTTGCGAATTAGCAGTTCCTGTGCCGCGGCTTCAGGTTTAAGCTGTCCCGACTTGCGCCCATCATGGCCTGGGCGCTAGCCCGTACCACAGCGCGAATGGGGTCTCGATCCCGCATAGCGTTTGATAATAACTTCAGGTAAACGCCGTTAACAGCTTCCCCACGGCCGTAGCCATCTGCACTGGCATCAAACGTCTTGCAGCGACCAGAAGGACTTAACAAGCCTTGATCCGTGTACAGCAGTGTCATGAGAGGGCAGGTGATGAGGTTGACACCCAGAACAACAGCAGCACAACACTCGCCGCTCCTCAGGCTATGGCAAGCCATGTCCAAAGCGACAAGGCTAGCTGAACAACCTATTTTGATTACCATACTAGGACTCTGCCAATCTAGCGCGAAGCTGATGCGATTGGCTTGGAGAAAGTCCAAGAAGCCGGTGCCTCGGTATAAGCCAGCCAGTTGGCTATCCATGACGTTCTCTTGGAGACAGTCCTCACCAAAAACGCCGACAAAGACTCCAACGTCTTTCCGCTTGGTCTCATCGTTGATCTTGTCCGCAGACATGGCTCCAGCAAGCAAGGGTTGCAGCTTTCAGCGTGTCAAGGAGAGTCGTGCATGTTGACATCATGCTATAGCTAAATCCAAGCCAGATTATCAGAATCTCTCATGATCGCGTCGAGTGTGAACTTGTCGTAATTATCCTTCAATGGACGGCCATCTTTGAGTTCAAACTCGATGGAAACACCGAGCAGCTGCGGAAGCTCTTGAGTGATTCCAGTGGCACCAATCATCAGCCTTATAGCTTGAAAGAACTCGCCCCTGTGACCGAAGGTACCCTTACCTAGGGTGATGCCATTATGTAAGAGCTTTGTAGAAATGACAACCTTCTCGATATCAAAGGCGGGGAAAAACTCGACTAGGAGGTCCGTGAATTTGCTCCAGCTGAAATCATCGGCAAACAGCGAATGAACAATTCCCATATGGAAGGCTTCCCGGGGTTTAAGAATCTGTGACATGATGCCATACAGCGGTTTGTTTCGGTCATTCGGTACGATGGAGAAGCGCTTGTCGATGACGGAGAAGGGAACAAACGGGAGGACGTATCGAACAGACTGCTGGGCGTATAAAGAGACGCAGTAGAATTGAGGTCGAACGCAGATATTTGATCGCTGCGCTGGGAGGGAACGGGCGGGCGAGTCAAGTCGAGATTGTATTGCCCGTCGGGTGTTCCCGGTGAAGATACGGAATGCTTATCATCGGACTGGTGGATGGCAAGTTGATATTCCTCGCGGTAGGATGATGCTTCAGACTTGAGTCGCTTGTTCGGGATATCGTCCGCAGGCGGCGGCCCAGGGCGATACGGTAGACCTGGGATACCAAAGGGCAACATTAGTAACATGTTAATCAACCAACCAAAGACTCCTTACATGTCAGTCTAGCCGCAGAGGCACCAGGCAGGTTTCCCACTTTGGTACCGCTGGCATCGTCTTCAGTCGGAGAAGGATGAATAAAACTCATTATGACGATGAGAGTAGTGGCAGAAGAGAGGCTTGGCAGATAGGATGCTCAAAATGAAGAAAAAGCAAAAGATGGCTGCAAAAGAGCAACAAGATGTGGATGTTGTGTTGCTTAAAGATCAGAAGCGACCTTGTTTCGTGGGGGAAAAGGAGATGTTAAGTTTACCTGCTAGGCAAGAACGGCTGACGAAAAGAAAGGAAGGAGCCTTCCACAACTAAGAGACAAGGGCTAAAGCGAACTTGTGAAGGAAAAAGCAATTAGGCAGCGATTTTTCACTTGATCAAAGCCAAGGTTTTCTTGGTCTTATTCCTCAGGCTGCAGGCATAATAGACAAGCAGCCTCAGTCACTTCATACAGCGTCTTTGTTTGCCGTGGCGTATATTGCATTCTCCCTTTGTCACATCATGATTCTGATTTACGACAGGTTACCCAGCCTCACCCCTTTGCTGGTTTCCCAGTAATAGCTACTACTGCAGACCATTACCATTTCGCATGCTCACAGAAACCCACAATCTCCAACAGTAATCACACAACTTAGCTGATCTTAGCCTCTTTCACTGCAGGCAGCAACCTCAACTGATCCACTCTGAAGTTTTAATGCGCGCTTTGCTATCGGCACCTGAGTGAATTGAGATATAGACGATTCAGTGAACTAAAATATGTGAAACAGGACCAAATTCATTGTGGCCTTCTATCAGCCGACAGTCTTTGTCATGTGTGAAACTGTCAACCTTGCTGCACTTTATACATGATGATATAACCTTATCATCTGTTGTAATATACATATACTTCTACTCTGTAAAATAGTGCTGCACCTGGATGAGTTGCTATGGATTAGGCTTTTTATAGAAAAGAAATAGAATTTACACAAGTTTGAGAAACACGCATACATCTTATTCAAATATATCCAGACACATAGTTTTGGCTTAATACAAGTCAGAGAAGCGACCTACTACTGCTGAAATGCTTTTTATATACTGTTATCAAAGTTGGTTGTGTGGCACACACAACGTACTCCCCGGCTTCTCCATAAGGTAATCTGTCTACCTTTCTTTTGTCCAGAATTGTAAACGTTGCCAGCTAACTCCAGCAAGTAGCAACTTGCATCTTGGTTGCAAATGGCTAGTTGGTGGTATCAAGCTAATAGAGGTTTTCTCTAGCAATAGGAGTTGGCGATAATAACGTTGCAATTAGTCTTATGGAAGACCTGGCCAGACACCATTGGAAACAAGCCCGAAGTTTTACAACTTCTGTAAAGAAAAAGGGCACCATCCGCAATTGACCCAAAGCTAGCTAGCTCCTTGGGTTGGGTATCATGAAGAAAGGTTTTAGGTTAGCGCCACAATCTTGTTCGCAGATAGAACGGAGGGTTTAAGGAGGAAAGCGGAAATCGTGGCGACTCATATCATTGCACCAATAGATACTAGCCCCTTGCCCCTCACTGCCCGAGCAGCTGACTTTCCCACAGTTACCAGGGCCAGCTCCGTTCCTGGACTTTTCGGGAACGGTGTACAAGTAGTCAATGCCCTTGCTGGCATCACCAACTCCGGTTCGCGGCCATTTGCCACCGCAGAGGAACGACGAGCCGGTGAAATCGGTGCGGCGCTTCAGGGCCGCAGCGTCGTCGGCCACCTTGGGGTCACCTACGCCCCAGTCGGCGTCAAAGTTGGGGTTGATTTCCACCAACCTCTTGTAAATCTGCTCGACTGTGCCGCCGAGGGTCAGAGTAGGACCGTCAGGGAAGGCCTGCACCTCCCATTTCATGTCAACCACGGTGTAGTTGGTACCAGTGAAAAGTTCAGCCTCGGTAAGTGGCTTGTCAGTAACTTTTGCTGGCATAGGAGAAGCCTAGAGTTACCATAAAAAATGTGTCAGTTTCTGAAAATCACGGGGTTCATTCAAGGGAGGTCTTGGATGTACTAGAGATTTCGAAGGGGACTACCTGAGTAAAGCTTCCAAAGCCAAGCATGGCGCTGAGGAGAACAATTCCAAAAATCATTGCATGTAATGGTTGGCTTTGAAATTTGTGATAATTGCGTCATTGGACGTGATGAGATGATGGGTGTACTGGCAGCAATGATAACTTTCCAAAGGGGGAATCACTGGACGATATATAAACTTTTTTCGTCAGAAAGCAGGTCATACGAGAAGCAAATTCTAGGGTGAAAGTCACAACTAGGTGTCATGACAGGTCGTTCGACTCAAGGGTCTGGTTTATCGGTTTTCACATCGCAGGGAAGTCCCGCACACGGTGTAGTCACGGCATCCGGTCGAGGCTGTGTAATGCGTGATATTTACAAAAGTTCCTAACTTTGACCATGTCATTCGGACATGTTCCATTAGAACGAAAAGATAATGTGGGTGTTTTGCAAGGTACAGGAGAAGATATTCGAACGTTCTCGTCGGTGATCGAGTCTGGCCAGGCTGGCCAAGGTGGCAAGTTCAGCCTTGATGCCGAGGACCCTGAGTTGCTCTTCGACCTTCACGTTGATTTACACATTCGTTACTAGACCCAACGCCAAGTAAGTGGTAGTCCCCTGCATTGCTCAAGAGTGGTTGACAGGCGCCACAAATGGTGGACAGCCTTACATGACCCGCTGACTCGATCTAGCTGCTGTTCTGCCCCATTGAGATTGAGATATCCCTAGGTACCAATGAACATTATACTGGCTATTTTAGTGGTTCTGTTGGCTTGGGCCCCCGTGGGCTTTCTTGGGACATCTATCTGGTTTGATGAGAGAAAAGCGTTAGTTTCCACATTTCAAGTCTTTTAGGGAATGAGACGAAGAAAGTAGACGTGAAACAATACTGTCTAACACTACATTGAAATGAAATTAATGCCGTCTTTTCTGACTCAAGAAATCTTATGGCTCAAACAAAAGAGATTCCAAGTTGCTTCGCTTGAGGAACACGAATAGTTGTCCTACCATGCTCTTGGGCGACTCATCCAACTTCACAAAAGCCCTTTCTCCCCCCACCTCACTTCTCGCATGGGGGTCGAATGGAGTTCTATAACTTGGCAGTAAACCAAAATTCTTTTTGTTGGTTCCAACTATGCGCTGGAGTTATCCATTCTTATCGGAACATTCGGCAAGGTTAAACAGACGATAGTGGATATGTAAGTGTCTCGTACATAGGCTTTCAGTGATGCAGTCTGAACCCAAATTTCTTGCGACTTGATCTTGGATTTGTATAATGTCTATCTCATTTATGTAACTCTATAAATGGAACGTCAGTATATGACTCTGCTGTTGGAGCTATTGTCTAAGAGTATCGGTGTACTCAATGATGCGCTGGGGCACATAAGATCTAGATACATAAGGCGCATGCATGAAATGTCAATTGATGCTGTGCCACCGGTTCGTCCCCTTGCAGATTTCATGTTGCAGGCTGTAACTGTTCCCAACGACCGACAACCCGGAGAGTAAAGCAACACAAGCTTTTGATTAGTTACTAACCCGTAACTAGGTGGATACCGACTTCCGCTTCGTTTCTTGTAAGACCAAAGTCCCCAATAGCTCCGTACGCACCGCCTTTTGTTGGAAACCCACCAGAATGAGGGCTGCAAGACCGTTATCCCCATATTTCTTGAATCCCTGGGCAGTTATGGAGTCAGCGGTTTAATATGAGGTTCAGACACCGCCATGCGCAGTAGGATCGATATTGAACGCCAAGGGTACTCGGTGAGCCGACAAGCTCGGTAAGTCCATCAAAGAACTGCTTCATGTGACCAGACGCCATATCAACAGGGACAGAATACCAGGATGGAAACAGAATGTATATAAAGCAGTCTCCCTCGCGTAGATTGACTCAATACCAACATCAACCATCAATCTTCCATCAGGATAACTACTCTTCCACTACTGTCTGACACCTTTCCACGTCCAAAACTGATCATGCTTCTCAATTCTCTCGTCATCAGCATTGCAAGCCTCTCCGGGGTCTTGGCTACTCCTACCGCTGGTCGCATCGTTGCGAGGTCTTTCGAAGACTATGATATCGAGGACTTCCAATGGGAGGTGCCAGCCTTTCCCTCTGGGCCAGCCCTGGTACTGAACGGGTCAATTGAACAGGTTTACCAACAGCTCCTGGAAGTAAACCCCAACTATGACACGGACTTTCCGCTGGTTTCTATGAAGGAGGAGACTCGGTGGACGAAGACGAGACCGATGCCTGCCTCGTAAGATCTACAGACTTCTCTGGCTCCCACTTCACGTGCGATAGTCGTGACTTTTCACCGGCCTTCGCAAGCCGCATCAGGGAAGGCATCTCCCACCTTTGAGGTCGTTCTGGGAAGCCGAAGAACGGGCCTGGTCCCGGAAATTGCAGGAGAATTAGCTGTTCTTGGCAGAGCGCCATCTGGTGGTGCAACGACGTGGGTTTTGTCTTCTTTTCGACCTTGATCATGCCTTAGACAGATCATATCGACCGGAAGTTGCCATTTGCAGAAAGCTAACGAATGACGGCATAATTTCAGGACCGCAATACCAAAGAGCTTGCTTCTTTCGGCTCTATCGCTGACGGTGCCCAATATCTCGCTGACAGATGTACGTTCAGACAAGACTGTGGCAACAACGGTCCGGAGCGTGTTGCCGGTCAGGTCTTCCACAACACCAACTGGAATGTCATTGTGCGCCATGACGGAGAAAACTGCGGAAGAGTTGGTTAAGGGGCTTTCACCTACTGAACAGGCTGTATTCAAGTTGTGGTCTTCCACAATCACCTGATGTAAGATGTCTGGGGCCACGACATCTTCCACCGCACCCCGCGTACCCTGTCATCTTGCTGCCCTGGATATTTAGCTGGTCAGCAAAGCGTGTTGAGATAGAAACTCTGAATGAAACTGCTTTTATAGAGCCGCCACTGAGGCTTAACTTTGATGCACATCTATTTTTGGAGTTGGCCTTTCAAGTATCCATTTTCGCTCGGCTTGCACCCCGGACATGGTTTGGCTCCTGGCGTACGAGGCGAGAAATCGGTGCAGCGCGATTAAGACGTTGAAAGAAGATTCTCCACCTAGTTCCAGGTAAAGTTATTCTATCAGTCTTGTTAAATGACCTACACAAGGCGGGTAGCATAAATTGCGTCTGATGCATTCTGGCGTCGCTAGCATTTACCTTACCTACTAACGGCCCACCACTCCATCTGAAAGCGTTAAAGGATAGAACGAAACGGTCGGAAAAGCAGGCCATGTTCTCAGGTTGCTTATAAGGGAGGGTAGGTAAGATGCATTGAGGTTGTTGCTGTTAAGTATATTTTGGGAATTATATAGCACCCGTAAATCTGATGATGGCTCTTTTTGTCGCCAGAACAAAAGAATCTCTAATGGAGCTCCTTCCTCCGACTTTAATTTACTCTCATGCAAACCCCACAGACCGCCAGCGTCACAACACTTGAGCCTACAAGCTTGAGAGGTCGGTATATGAACTTTAGTCCAGTTTTACAGGCATCTATCTTGAACGTCTTCCGTTTTTGCACGCTCCTCGTAACGACATCGCTCCCAAGCAACAGCCAGATCGGGCATTGTTGGCTCGTCAACCGCCGTTTCGCTATTCCCTTCGATACAGAGAGCTTCTAGTCACGGGCCTTGGCCCTGAGGTTGCCAACAAGCTGGCACATGGCCTCAACTCGCAATATTGTTCTTTTACTCCTCCATTAGTCTTCTATCGTTGTTACTATATCTAATTCTCTATTGTGACTGACGAAGCTGCTGGCTGTTCCATCTTGAAATCCGAGAGGAACTGTGAACAGTCAGCACTAGCAGCATCTTACGAGACAAATTAGGATTAGTTAACAGCTTGAGATAGACGAAGTAAAACTAGCTGCATGCATTTGTAGAGTTGCCAGGAGGCCTAGGAAAAGCTCGCTTCGCTGTTCAAATAAATAATGGTTCAAACTGAAACAGTGTGATCATTCTGTAGCTAATGACAAGTAGATAGAATGAATAATAACATCAATCTTTTCCCCTTCCATACTATAGTCCAAGCGTGAACACCACCTTATTTACTACTGAGTCAATTTCCACACCTTACAGCAAGTTTTTTATCACCCTTTCAGTAGTTTCTTTTTAAGGAATAGTAGATCTATTATATTGTGAAAGTTTGTTAGCTTGGTTATGTTGCAAGTGGTGCAGGATATCTTATACCTAACAACAGCGAGGTTGTTGGAATTTTGATGGCATGGATGGACTTCATTAACAAAACATGATCCCTGTGTAACAGTTACACAGTTCTCACTCAAAGGACCGTCACCGGCGTTATTAGCATGCCCATCATGCACATCAGCTCGGATGCCATTGGCCAAGTCGTAACAGCAAATTGTGTTCCCAAAAGAAGTCGTCCAGTAATGAGATGCGCCCATCAGACTTCTGCCGGGTTCGATCAACCTTATTCTGTCGACGTTTTGAACAGCTCTCCAAACGAGAAAATCTCCATCTCGAGCTCGGTATTTCCATATCATAACGCGGGTAAGTTCGCCAGCATATGGGCAGCGATAGGAGCCAGTAAACGTGACTTGCCAAGTATCATAACGACGCGCTGGTTGGCGAGGTTGAAGCAACTTGGCTTTTGTTGAACCTTCGGGATTAATTTTGCGGCTGTTTGTAAGATTTAGGGAGGCTTCAAATGACTTAAAAACGAAATCTTCAAAAGATTCAGACGGAGAATACATATCACCGTAGGTGATATTTACTACAGCAGCCTGGGCTACATAAGAATATAAGGCGATAAAAAGAGTAAAAGTAAGTAAGACATGCATTTAGATAATAAGATGAAAAGCGAAGATAAACTAGGTATAAAAGCACTTGCGCCGGTTGGGCTAAGTAGCTAAATTATATGGAAAAGTTATAGTGAGAGTAACTAGTAAGATTTCAGCATAGAATAGTTTACCATCTTGGAACATAACGAGTTATTAATTATTGTAGAATAGATTATATAGTTATTATTGTTGCCGAGTATGTGATTAGATATTGATCAACCCCGCCCCCTTAACTTTAATCGCAGGAGATGAGAATATAGGTCTGATGATTGGTTCCAAAATATCTATATGACGCGTACATTCTAATAGCCTGATAAAAGATGCATTTAGCCTACAAAATATTACTTTTTTCTAGGCACTTGCGGTGTCGCCTGAATGCCGTTTTAGCTCTCTGGAACTTGCCGGTATATAATCAGAAAGGAATTCTAGGAGAAGAACGTTTTTCTCCTCAAAGGTAAACTGTAAATTGGCTCGTATATAAAGAACAAGTTTTTAAAAGAATTCTACTAGTAAACAATATCTGTAATACTATAAAGTCTACCTCTACCAAAACACAGGCAGTACAGCTTGTTAGTATGGAGGTAGTAAGACACAAGTGTCGCTTAGCATACAACGTTTTGATGTCTAACCAGTACGTTTAATAGTAACTGTAAACCCAATACGCAAGAGCTAAACCAAAACAGTGGGTTTATTTCTCACGCGCTGATAAGAGCAGCACTTCTAACTGCTGTATCCTATTGACTGTGGCATTCATCCCCCTCTTTTTAAAGGCGGGGGCTTACGTGTCATATAAAAGTATCATACATAGTCGTAGACTATATTGGATGACAAAAACCTAATTGGCGACTTCCTATTCAGTGTCGTTAAGTTTACCTAACATGAGTATGCCAAACCCACCTGGGTTAGCGGCTATGTGTTACGACCCGTTGGACATGGTCGCCAACACGACCCCGCCTGGATCCCGGCGGCTAACGCAGGGCATATGTAACCCAGCCGGACAGGTGTAACCAGGGATCCTCGGAACGGAAGAACTATGGACAAGTCACGTGGCCTCGGGGATAACGCGGGGTAAGGACAACCCGGGCTGGATATGTTGGATATGTCAGATATCCAACCGATCCCCGGATATGTTGGATATGTCAAATATCCAACATAGCCAAGATAAGGAGGACCGTTCAGGACTTGTATATAGGATGGACTCGAGCCGGGCTCGAGGACAGACTTCCATAGCTCTTCAGCAATCAACTTTGTGATTACCCTAACCGGTACTTTCAGCTATACCTAAGTGACGACTACTCTACGACTCTTGTTGAGGCCTTGACTGATCACCAAGACCTTTGAAGATCTACGATTCTATTCGACCAGGACCACGGAACGACTGTTACTACTCTCAATCCCTGGCTTACTGTTAACACAAACCCACTGTCAGTTAGCTGGCCGTAACACTATGCTGCTAGAAAATATGTAAGATTGATTGATCTTGACAAATCAGATAGATCTGCCTTTTAGTCTCGGCCCTCTGTACAATGTCTGGCCCTTCTTTTGCTACCCTACTTTGCTCTGCCTGTCTCCCTGCCTCCTGACCCAGCCACTTTGTCACGTGCGACTTGGTCAAGGTCGACTCGCCTTACGCATAAGTTGCCAATCTAGCCTTACGTCTGGCTTCCTGTAATGTCAATAGTGCTCTAATGTCAGACGTTTTTTCATCCACATATAGTCGCTACCACTGGCCCGAAGGTTCCGGTATTTGGGTTCTCAAAGGGCTTGTATCGATTGCAGAACTAAGGAAACGGCTCGCAAGAATCAAAAGAAGCAGTCTCGTGCTCCTCTGAGTTTACCTGCCTACTCCAGCTCTTCAACCGACCCAACTGCTGCAAATTATACCGTTATCCTGATCTCTCAGTGTTGGGAAACTATAAGGTAAATACGCACTATAGCCGTTTGAGGCAGAAGTTAAAGAATTAACCAAGTCATGTCGGAAACATCACCGAGAGTAACATATCTCAACTCATTCTTGCAGCGGTCTGTGTGTTATCGCTCGTCTGATATCAATCTGTTGTAAAAAGCAAAAAAATGAAAAACGTCGGGGGTAACTTCGGAAACGCCGGTATTTAATTGTCCAATCGCAACCAATTTTCATTTCCTTTCATTTTTTCCAGACTGTATATGGGAAGAATAGATAGGGGTGGGATAAGAAAGGCAAAGAAAATGTGAGGAAAACAGGCATAATAGGGTAAAAGGAGGCGAGGGCGGTTCAACGTGTTCCACGACCATGGGGTGTCTAGAACGCGTTCTGTTCTCCAAGGTCACCGACAGGCGCATGGGGACTGGAGCTTCGTGGTGGCCTGTCAGGGATAGCTATGCTCAAGTAGCACAACGGAGGGGCGGCCTCTTGTGCGCAACGACCTGTTTGTTCGGCCTCCAGCCCGGAGCAAGGGTATCCTGCCCTGGCTGCTTAGGTTTGAGATGTTGTAAGCATCGCCACGATTGGGGTTAAGATGACAGAACATTTGTGCCAGACGAAAAAGTACCTTCTAACCCCCGGACTGCTGTAAGGATGCATTTTGGTGTACATGCCATATTGTGGTCACAAAAGTGGACACAAATCCATGCTAAAGTCAGCACAACTGACGCTGTGCAGCCATTTCCAGACACAAGAACAGATAATCCCCACACAACTCGATGAAAAATATCCAGTATGGGGAGGCGGTATCGCGACCGAGAAGGCTCGTGGGCGATAAACCACAGTCATAAGGCTCTATACGAATATCGTCAGCTGATCAGCCCCTTCCTTACGATCCGAGGCGGTCGGCCGACCTCTAATATGCAAGCATCGAGCTTGTAAGTCTCCTTACTGACGCAAGAATAGCCCCCTACACGAGTTGGGCTATCTCCCATAGAAACATCTCTCAA